GGGTGAGAGCCGTCGGGTTGCTGGGTTGCGGGTTGACTTCACAGGGCATGGGATGGGATTGCGTCTGTAGGAGAGAACTACATTCATGAGCCCTCGGAATCATGGATAAAGCATGCGGGTAGTCATCGCCATCGCGAACAACGTATTTGCTGCGCGGCAGCAACTGCCGAAGGTGATGATGGTCATGTCGTAAACACTAAGCATCACTGTCACCAAACTAGAGTCGTCATCGTACCAGCAGCCGCCGTCGTCGGTGCCGTACTGCCGAGGCGTGTTGTCCGAAACGAGTGTTCCCTGCATGCAAACAGGCAAACCAGTGCCTCGGAAGAAGCAAGAAATAGGAGTGGTGCAAGATGACAATGATTAGGGCAGGCGCTCTGGCCTAAAATCATCCTTCATGTGCTTGGCAGCGTTTGCGGATAAGGTTCTTTGAGAGACAAGGAGTTGCGGGATTTTGTGTCGATATGTTTCCTCCAGCTGCGCCTGCTGTTCTAGCACGAAGATTATTGAGAGGGCTTCGCATCTCACGGGCTTTGCCAGCACGTCTTGCATGAGAGGCAAGGCGTGGTCTGTTACGAGCTGCTTTGGCCTTGGCACTCTGTGCGGTGTTTGCCTTTCATCGAGCGTCGCTGCAGGACTTGGAGCCAGACGAGTTTTATGGTTCGGATATGAATCGCGAAACGCTAACTTCTAAATGACCATCACGGGGCTTGACAACTTGGGTCCACCGTAACACACTAAGTAAAGGGACGTACTCCGTGAGATGCGACAAGCGACCATGGATTGACAAAGCACCACTGATGCTGAGGATAAGTCCTCCGCTCTTCCATATTGCATTACGTGTTGCCGTCCAATGGTCTACCCATTTAATGGCTACTGTGCTCTCTGCAGTTGCTTCATCTCTCACCCGGTTGCATTCTGGCTTGTATCTTTTGCCTATAGCTGCATTTCTTCAAGCCCATTTGTTTACACAATACAACTATCTATCGACCTTGCTGTCAGGCGCATTAAGCTAGAATTTCAGGCAAGAGCTGGACAGGCAACAGGAACCGACGTAGTATACTTCCGGTTTAGAAAGGTGTGCAAAAAAAAGAGGCCAATGCTTGCCTTCTGCTGTTGCCGATGTGCATTCTGGATGCATACAGGAAACATTGGTTTTGCCAGCACCCCACAAACCAGGAAGCGTGTCTTGTGACCCTACACACGCCGTGGTGGTCGTAAGAGCAGGTAGCAGTAACACTAGCAGTTGCAGGAGCAGTTTCGGTGGCGGCAGTAGCAGTAGACGGAAGCAGCAGTATCAGTAGCAGTAGCAGGAATAGCAGCAATGGTGGCGGTGGTAGTGAAATTAGACGTAGACTACTACTGCGACGACAACTACGACTACGACTGCGACTACTACCCAATACTACTACTGCTACTACCACTATCATCATGATCTACTACTACTACTACCACCACTACTACTATCTGCTACTACTACTACTGCTACTACTACTACTACGACTACTACTACTGCTGCTACTACTACTACTACTACTACTACTACAGCTACTGCTACGACTAGTACTACTACTACTACTACTACTACTACTACTACTACTACTACTACTACTACTACTACCACTACCATTACTACGACTACTACTACTACTACTACTACTACTCCTACTCCTACTCCTACTCCTACTCCCTACTCCTACTCCTACTCCTACCCCTACTCCTACTCCTACTCCTACTCCCACTCCGACTCCTACTCCTGCTCCTGCTCCTGCTCCTGCTCCTGCTCCTACTCCTACTACTACTGCTGCTGCTACTACTACTGCTGCTGCTACTACTACTCCTGCTGCTGCTGCTACTCCTACTACTACTGCTAACTACTACTACTAATAACTACTACTAACTACTACTAACTACTACTAACTACTACTACTACTACTACTACTACTACTACTACTACTACTACTACTACTACTACTACTACTCCTACTGCTACTGCTACTGCTACTGCTACTGCTACTGCTGCTACTACTACTACTACCACTACTACTCCTGCTGCTACTACTACTACTATACTACTGCTACTGCTACTGCTACTGCTACTGCTACTGCTACTGCTACTGCTACTGCTACTGCTACTGCTACTGCTACGACTACGACTACGACTACGACTACTACTACTACTACTACCACCACCACCACCACGACTACTACTACTACTACTACTACTACTACTACTACTACTACTACTACTACTACTGACGACTAGGAACGACTACCACGACTACTAAACTACGACTGTACAACACAACAGCGGCATCTTAAATTATAAGCATAGATTTTACTACCAGCGTCACGTTCACACGTCGTGTTCTTATTCATTCATCTGCGAGACTGTGACCATCTCATAACATTAATAAGATCCTGGTACTCATCATTTTCCCTGTGTTGGTGGGCGGGTGCAGCTCGAGATCTCGATGACAGGCTGTTCTTTTCATGGGTTGAGGCCTGGAGTCTTCCAAATTTGTGGTGAGAGGATTTTCTTGGCAGGTTCGATCACTGGGTCCCTGCGACTTGCACATGCCCCTCAGTGGCCCTGAACTTCGTCTCAGGAGGCAGCTGTGTCATTGGCAATGTGGACTGCCTCCTCGAGGGCAAGATCGGGACGATATGATGAAATGAGGTTCAGACACTTGCAGGGAGGCCACGGTCCTCTTCAGTGCTGTATGGGATGATCGACAGGACTGGGCCAAAAATCTCCTCCTGCGCGATGGTCATCTTGTTGTCAACCTCAGGCAGAGACCGCAACCCAGACACCAAATCGCAAGAAGCGTCCGTGGCAGAGAAAACTGTCCAGCTCCTGCTTCCGCAAAGCAGCGCCCTCTTTACTCGATGCATCCCAGAGAGGTGTATGTCGGCGCATGCAACACCAGACTCTGATTGTAGCCCCTTTTGCAACAACCACTATACATCTGGTCTGCCAGGTGATCGACTTCATCGTATTCAGCCTTTGCAGGTCTGTAAATTCAGCTCCTGGGCAGTGCGACATGTTGCGTCACGCATGCCCACAAAACCTGCATGTGGCGGAGAGGCTTCGTGCAATAGACATGTGCAAGGTCTCTTCCCGCCAGCAACACTTCCTTTAGGTGCTTTGTCTCCCCTCCTTACCTGCCTTGCGCTGCAAAAATGTTCGTGCCGAGTCCTTGCACACTCCTCCAACCGAATTTGATGCACGTAGAGGCATATCGCAAGCCATGCTGTTTCCTCATCCCAGGACTATTGAGAAGTACACCTCCATCCGAGTCTCAATTAGGAAAAAGCATGGGCAGCAAGCTGGACTTGCTGATGCCATGCGTCTGCCTGTCATTAACAAATTCCAGCTCCTCACTTGGAAAATGTCCAGGGATGCCAACAGTAACAACGAACACCAGTAACATCCAGTGACTATAACTTTGAAAGTCAAGTGGACACTCAAGACACAACAACTTCGACACGCTCCGACCTCCGCACGCATCACAGTTTCCCTTCATTGTGGGCGACACAGGGGCGAGGCAGCAGAAACGGCGAACTATGATCGACCAGCATAGAGGCACGGTCCCCCTTCGGTGATCCTTCAGGCAAGTAAAGGTCACCTGTCGGATGGACTCTGCGCCTCAAAGGGCTGCCTGCCTGATGGCCCAAGGGCTGTGCAGGAATTAGCAAGCTGAATGGTGTGGGAAGGCTTCCCTACTCCTCCCTTTCACCACACGGCCGTCTTGCAGTGGCTTACCACCCAGGACAATCTGCATCCGGTTCTTTTATTCTTTCATTGTAACTCGCCGAATCCGAGATTTGAAGGACCACACCGGTGATGCGATAAGCAGGATGGCAACTACAGACGTGCAAAGATCGAAGCGGCTGGACAGCACAGGCATGGGGGACTGAGTTTCAACTACCTAATTCTATCCGTCTGCATGATACACACACATTCGAGCTTCGTGATAAGCAGGAACTGGAATCTTTTGAGCAGCATTTGCTGTCTGACTGTCCTGCCCAAGGCATCCGCTGATCCTTTCTTGTGAGAAAGCCCAGGGCTGGCGTGCTAAAAATTCCCAGGAGTAGCTAGCCATATCCCTTGCCAGACTCCAGATTCACGACTGTTGGACGCTGCATCGGCATGCAGCAGCCGTGCTCTGTACTTAATGCATATAGACATACAGGGCAATCAGCACAAGCAACTGTGCAGATTGAAGTGCTTAAACAAACAGATCAGGAGGCTATGTATACCTGAAACGGACTGACTTTGATGAGCCGATGTGACTTGCATTCTTGGTGCGTCCCGTTCGCTCTTCCTCTTGTGCTCGGCCCATCACCGCCACCGGATCATGCGCAGACAACCGAAACATCTTCGCAGCACATGCCGACTGTATCTGGCTTGGAGGCGCTGAAGCAGGTTGTTACCAACAATATCTGATATGCGAGGGGAGGGCTTCTCAAATCTCACCACAGATCAGCACGTGAATGATGTTTGCAGTTGCCTGCCGCTGGGGTGCAGCTGCGCAGGTGCTACGAGTAAGTGCAAGAAGTCCACAAGGGACGCAGCAGTTCTCGGAGACCTTGAAACCTGCGCCCGAGCACAGCCGCACCCCCTGGTCTCATAAGTTGAGATGATTAAAAGATACACGGTCAATTTTGGCCTTCCACGTTCGCCCAGACACATGAGCCCGGTGTCTTTGAGGCTCAACTTCGCTTCTGCAAATCTCGTATGTGGAGCCCAGTCAAGTGGGAATCACAAATACAACCCGCCAGCGTCGCAGTTCATCCCTATACACCCTAAACCCCAAACCTAAACTGGATGCTTCTGGCCGAGGTTTCTTGGCTGTGGCTACGCTGACCTTGACGAGGCTCCGCTTCAAACATCAGAAGGGACTTTCACCACATGATGACAGGGTTAGAACTGCAGCTGTCAAGAAATACATTGTTCTATTTTGGAAGCGTGTTCCCTTCCCTCCCGGGACAACTCACTAATCGCAAGGGCAGTCAGGAGCATATCCATCTTCTTGGTCACTGAACCCTCCGGGATTCCACCAATCCAGCTCCTCATCACCTGAGTTCGACGAGAGTACACAAAGGGGAGCGTCGGCTCGAAAATCCAACTGAGCCCGGGTGCCTTCTGTATCTGACAGAGAATCCTGAGAGCGCTTCGCTGTGCTTGCAGTACGGGCAAGAAGGACTGGAGCAGTAGTAGTGCAGAGCATCACGTAGCCACCAATACGTGGCCAGAGAGGCTTCCGTGCCAAGTAGCACTAAACCCGGCTAGCTGATTCCTGCTGCTCAGGCCAAGGCTTCATTGTCACACAGGTTGTCATCGTCTTGACACGGCTTCAGCGGAAGCCCGGCCTGGCGAGCGGCTGGCAGAACGTCCGGGTCTACGTAATCGTAAAGGCACTGGTTTCTCCCCGAAAGAGATTGGAACACACATGTGTAAAGCTTGTTTCGTGTGGAACCTGCCCGAGCTCTCTTGCAATCAACCATTTACGTGGTTCTGCGCGGGACTTCTGCGCACTCCTGCTACTTTGGGTTGCGAGTGCTCACTACCTAGGATTACCTACGATGAGTTGTGCAGTAGCAATAGCAATAGCAGTAGCAGCAGCAACAGTGGTGGTCGTAGTGGTACGGTGGATTACGGACATGTACATTCCGATAAGTTCGGGCTCACATGCTAGTCTCACCCGTGAAATGGTGCAATCGATCAGCTTCCTTTACAAGGCCTGCATCTCGCTGCCATCACATGTGGCGAGAGGAACAGGACACCTGCGAACGATTGTCTCCTCGACTTCTCAACATCTTTCCCGTTGAAACTCTTGGCGCCGGAAGCTGAGAAGCTGGCATTAGAGGTACAAGTGGATCCCAGGCTGCCTTGGCAAGGGACGGTGCCAGACTGGTAGGTAGGTGCTTGCAGGCACAGTCTGCAGAACGCTCTGGCCTTGCTTGTCGTCCCCATGACCAGCATGTTTAGCATGTCCGATGGGATTTTGGCCTGCAGTGCTAAGCTGCTGAGTGCCAGCAACAGTCAAAGCATCAAGGCCGATAGGATTCGCTGTCGGCAAGCCTCGTGCACGACCCCAGTCAGCAGGTAGGCGCATGCTACCTCGGAAGTGAACTTGCTGCATGCACATATGGTGCTGCATGAGGCTTCTCTGCAAGATCAGGTGGCAGACATGATGGCCATAGTCGGCGCTTCGCAGGTACATGGCCTGCATCGGAACAAAGGTCTCGTTCTGAACACGGAAATGCTACGGCTGTCATCAAACAGAGACCCGAATGCAGGTCGCCTCGCAGCTAGGAGTGACCACAAGATCCACAAGCCACTAGCAGACTAGCAATTCGGCAGATTGGTGTCCCTTCGTGTTTTTTTACTCGCAATACGCTGTACGCACACTGACACCTCCTTCCTGCATCTGTAACGACATGTGGCAGTGGGCTGTGTTCGGGACATCGGGCTCAGACACCTGCAACTGTTGCCGTGCTATGCCGTGCTGCCTCGCTGGGCTCGAGAACGGCGTTGTGGCCGGCCATGACAACTGCTTCCATCTGTACCTTCAGAGCCGTTGTCTTTCGACAGCACTGCTGAAAGCACTCCACGATGCCCGCAAGAGATGGCTCGGCCTTGAGTCAGGCCTTGAGTTCCTGAGGTCGTCGCAGGAAATGCGCCGGTGGCGAGATGGAGAGGGAGATTTAAAGCCAAAGGCTGCGGTGCAGAAACATGTCCTGTCGACTCCGGAGAGCACATAGATGCTCGTCATTCGTCATCAACTGCCAAGGCCAGCGCATCCGCAAAAACAGTCGGCTTGACCTTCGGGCGTTGGGGGATGGGATTGGCTTGCACCTGCGGGCCTAGAGGGCCTGGGGACCGCGCGAAAAAACCGTCAGATAGGCCGTCCGGCTTGCCAGATCCCCCAGTGACCAACCGCGCACCCTCCTGCAATATCACCACGCACATCACCAGGTTTACGAAGCCGCCTTCGCCACTGTCGCTCCATGACTTCAGAATTGCTCCTTAATTCCGGCGTGGATGTAACCCTGCACCTTGTCCCATTGCCTGGGCAAAGCGAGAACCATGTCCGGCCTCCGGCCTGTCCCACTGCGAAAGGCAACCGAGCGAGCCGCGCTTGGGAGGCTAACGGCCCAATCGATGCCTTTGGGACAGCGGGTCGCGGGTCCGGGCGAAGCAGCAGCAACAGCGGCAGCAATAATAGCAGTAGCTTAGCAGTAGCAACACCGGCAGCAGGAGCAACAGGCGACAAGTCCGACTCCAGACGAGATTCCAAAAGGCTACGACGAACAGACCTTCTTTTTTGAATGGTATGAAAGCGCATCCCGTGGGGTCCGTCGCAATCGCCAAAACTAGGCTGGCCGGCGCCCTGGATGGTCCACAATTCCAAAACCGGCGACAAAAGAACATGTCGCCGAGGTAACCGTCGAGGTAGCCGTCGACCACTAGACTTCAAACACGCTTGGCGCTGTGGCAGTCAGCACAAACATGGTCAGTGTGCCGATCAAGATCGGCGTCGTCTCCCCGCCGATAAAGGACCGGGCGGAGGCATCGAGACCGGAGCGCCTTGCAACCCGATTCGGTGCAGGGGTGGGCGCACCACCCAGCGCACCAAGCCTCGCCCGGAATAAGTTCTGGCAGACGTCCCCCCCGGACATTGGGGGGCAACCGCCGAACGAAATAGTATGCCGCTGAGGTCGAGGCAGGAACCAAGATGCCAGCTGCGTCGGGACCGACGTTGCGCTCCATGTGTTCGATCTGTTCCAAGGTGGCGACGGCGAGCAACGCCAGCCCTGCCGGCAAGGCCACCTTCGAGTGTGCGCCGCAGCGTTCCATCGCCACGACGTGGTCGCGGTAGGGCTGCGAACACAACATACGACGAATGTTGGCGATCCGCCGAAATTCTTCATCATTGCGGCGGTGCTCATCCGCCGACGCCGTTTTGGGCAACTTCGACGGAAGCCGCGGGAAGCCCTCACCGGTAAGAGGGTTTGCGCGCGGGTAACGTGCCTGGACCGCCGAAGGTGGCGGCGCTGCTACCTTGGCATGGCGGGTGGAGATGTGTTTTGTGCCTTTGTGTTTCTTTGTGTTGCTTTCTTTTCGGTTCGCTCTCCTTGCTTTGAGGTCGCAGCGGTTCTGGCAGAAGCAGCATGCGTCATCCATACGGGCGTTTCCGACTCATCTTATAAATACCCTGAACAGAGGCGTTTCGCGACTCTGGCTCGTCACATATATTAAACAAACCCCGTGCGATTCCGGCTCATCATATATCTTAAACACACCCTGGCATTTGACGATTCCGGCTTATCATATATCTAAAACACGCCCTCTCATTTGGCGTATCCGGTTCATCATACAACTTACACAGCCTTCTTATTTGGCGATTCCGGCTCATCATCATCATCATCATCCTATGTGTATATATGTATATATATATATATATATATGAGATGGCCTTACATACATATATAAGTATATGTATATGTTATACTCATACTCGCCCCGTCATGTGGCTATGCCGATTCTTCCTCTACCTCAAACACACACTTGATTTCGCGATTCCGGTTCATCATACTTTTGGGGCTCCGGCTCATCATATATCTCAAGCACCATCAGATATTTTAAGCACGCCCCCTCCCTTGTCGATTCCGGGTCATCATGTCTTTTGAACACACCCATTCATTTGGAGATTCCAGTTCATCCTATTTCTTAAACACGCCCTTTCATCTGGCGGTTCCGATTCATCATGTATCTTAAACACGCCCCTTCATGTGGCGATTCCGGTTCATCATGTATCTTAAACACGCCCCCTCATTTGGCCATTCCGGGCCATCATATATCTCGTAAGCACGCCCCCTCCTTTGGCGATTCCAGCTCATCCTATATCTTAAACACGCCCCCTCCGTCGGCGATTCCGGTCCATCGTATTTCCTGAACATGCCCCTTTGTTGGCGATTCTGGTTCATCGTATATCCTGAACATGCCCCCTCGTTGGCGACTCGGGCTCATCATATATCTTAAACACGATCCCTTAATTTGGCGATTCCGGCTCATCATATATCTTAAACTCGACCTGTCAGTTGGCGATTCCAGCTTATAATATATCTATAACACGCCCCCCGCATTTGGCCACTCCGGTTCATCATATATCTTGAACACACCTTCTTATTTGGACATTTCGCTTCACCACATATCGCAAGCACGCTCCTTCATTTGACACTTCCGGCTCATGAAAATCATAATCATCATATGCACATATATATATATATAATTCAAACACACACCCTCCGTTGGCGATTCCCGTTCATCATAGATCGTAAACGCGCCCCGTCAGGTGCCCTCTCATGTGGCTTCATCATACATATATCTAAAACACGCCCCTTCACGTGGCGACTCCGGTTCATCCTATATCTTTAAACACGTCCCCTCCTTTCTGCCTTCTCTCCCATCCTTCTTTTCCTGCAAGAGCGCAAGAACAGTTGCAAGTGTTTACGGGCTGTCAGTGCTTGAATTTGCAGCATTTCATAGTCTCAGCTTTGTTTGATTTCTTTTTGAACCCTTACATCCCGATTTGACTGTTTTGCAGAAGACTAGGATACCAAGTAGACCAGCGGAACCAAGAAGACAAAAAGACAACAAGGGGCCAGGAAGAGATGACAAGAGAAACAGGGTCCCCTTGCCTGGCCGCCGACTGCCCGATGGGCCCATCTTGTTGGCGCTGTCCGCGCCGCTGCCCCTCCCTGAGCCGAAGGAGGCCCGCGATCCGATGACGAGAGGGGCTCGGCGCGGGGATCCGCCGAAGATCCCGAAGGCGCCGTCGAGGGCATGGCTGCCGAATCGGCAATGGCCTTGGTGATCGCCTGCCGCTCGAGCCCACTCCAAAAGCGGAAGAGTGGCGCCAGGTCGTCACCGTCGGCCACCGCCGAGCGGACCACCTCCAAGGCCGCGGCAAGCTCGACGCGGGACGAAGCCATGGCACCGACGAAGAAATCTAGAAGTTCTGAAATCGTCGGGCGATGCAAAGCCGGCAGCAGCTGCGGCATATGCGTCGATCGACGGACATGTCGTGTGCTACACAACAAGACCTTATCCTGGGAGCCCAAAATACTCGGATTCATGAACGAAGTCGCGCTTAGACATCCTAGCTTTTGCTTTTCGCCCACTGCCCGGCAACAACTGTGCGGGTCGCAAGTAGTTCGAGCTGAGAGCCTTGTCATCCTGTGCAAAGCTGACCGTGGTCTGCTCCGCAACCTGAAGGGCCAAGGCCAAGTCATGCTCTTGGCTCCTGGAGATGTGTTCGCTGCAATGGCCTGTTTCGCAATCCCCACAGCCTCGTCGTAACCTTTAGTCAGGGTCTAATTGCGCCAAATCGAGCAGCGCAGCTGTATGGGGTCCGGACGACTTCTCGGAACCAGCATCCGGCTCAGTGCATTGCAGGACTGGCCGCTGTTGTTCCTGGTCCAGAAATCGAGCGACTCGTCCGCCGGCAAAATCGGCTTTTGCCACTTCACCGAGCCAGCGGCATCAAAGTCTGCATGAACTTGGGGACAAGCTTGGGCATGTCTGCATCCTTTGGCAAACCAAGTCGACACGCTAGCAGGCTAGCAGAGTGGACTTCAAGCTCGTGAGGGGCCTCCAGCAGCAATGCAGCACTCTTTCCACCCAGCTCTGTGCGGACCTTCCAGATTTGGATCCAGCTTTCAGTATCTTGTGGAGTTTGGGAGCAGTATAAGGACAGGACCACTTTCAAGGTCTGCGCGCCCACCTCGGAGATCCGCTTGCCTGCAGAAACGCCGGTGAAACGAAAGGGCGGAGTCCCGGAGACCACAAGAAAGGCAGCCCGTCACAGCAGGGACTTCCCAACCTGCTCGCGTGGAGCCTGTGAAGCTGACCTAGACAACAGCAGGTGAAGAGGCGACTCCAAGGGAAGGCTGGGGCCCTGGGGATGGCACCATGTCGACTCCGGGATGGGCTGCAATGGCCTGCATAGCCAAAGAACACTTAGAGAATCCCGTCTGGCTTGAGTCTCCGCGCGTGCTTTCAGATCGAGGGCCTCTCCACAATTTGGTCCATCACCCATCAGCATGTTGAACACGCCTGCGGGAACTCCGGCCTGCCCCAAACGTGCAGCAGAGCACCAGGTCAAAGCTCACTTCAACAGATGGCCTCATGCACAGCCTCAGCAAGGAGGTAAGCACAAACAGGGGTCACCTGCTGTTGTGATCTGAGCATCTCTCGGCCACAACTTGCACCGAAGGCACATCACCTCGCTCGGCTTCAGAACGATGGTGCAACCCACCAGCATCGCCGGGAAGACTTTGGCTGCCTGAGGTCCACGGGCACTCAGACTTCGGTGCCGAAGCGCACGAACGCTTGGCAGCAGGCGATTTGGTTCAGCGGATAGTTCCATGGGGTGATGCCTCATGCTGGTGTGCTCACTGTTCAAGACACGGTTGGTTAAGAAATATCTTGGGGCATCGTCAACTATGGCGAGCCAAGAACGAAGGGGACCCTAGCATGCAGCTGTAAGATGTCAGGGGAAGCGCATTGGGCTCAGTAGGTGTTGCCATCACTTCGATCTTGGACAGGCTCGAAAAGCTGCTGCCCCGCTGCAGCCAACCACGCCGATAGGTTCGCGCACAACCTCAGGGCGGGTCGGCTTCTGAAGACGAAGGGGCGCTTCCAGGGAACAGGGGCTCAGACCAGCGATCCGAATGCCATCCTCTCTTCAAACTTGACCATGTCGACGAGCTTTAAGCCTAGGCAACGGAAGCCATCGATCTCTGAGGTCGTGCTCATCATACTAGTAAGGGGAAGACTAGTCCCGAGATGGAAGTCAACCATGTTCACCTGCTGCTTCACGCAGATGCTATGTATCCTCTTCGACGGCCCGAAAGAGCGAAGCCCTGAAAGGCGCCTGCACGTTCTTGGCAAAAGCCGTCGTGCAGCCCAACTCTTTGCAGAGCCACTCAGTGGCCTGAGCCTGGGGAATCGCCAAATACGCCGTTCAAGTCACAGATACCAGCGGACCGAGCGGATGCACGCGCTTGCATCAGATCGTGCACAAGCATGTGCTGGTCGCCTTCTTGCCCTGCCACTTCTCCAAGACTTTGAGCAAGATCGCCTCCCAAAGCAATAATAAACCAATGACCGAGCAAAGGGCACTAAGACACAGGTAAACCAGGCAATCTTGCTTGTGCTGGCATGAACATGCTGGAGTCCTGCAGGCCTTGCGTTCGTCGAGGGGCTTTTCTGCCTTGCTCCACATTGTAAGCCGTCGCACGCGTGCGCATCACACAGTTTCTAGGGTTAGTCCTGCTGTGAGGACACATCGACTGCGAGACGACACACTCGTCCTTTCTTGTTTTCCTCTAGTCAGACACGGACACATGATGGTAGGCCGGCAATGGCAGGAAGTCTGCGAGTCTGTGATTGAGGTGTGCGGCGGTGTGCGGTGTGACATGCGGCTTTGGATGCTCCCTGCCACTCGACTTCTAACTAGCAACGGCGACATCAGTCTGGCAGCCGTCCCGAAGGTTTTCGATGCTCGGCCCATGTCCAACCGCCCCCTTTTGAACGAAACAGTATTCTCATTGCGACACTGTCCTTACCGTTTGTTCTGAGGTCCTGGCCCAGGAAGGAAATGCCTCACGGGCCGCAGCAACGGCTTTCTCCACGTCCTTTGCGCCTTGCCGCCACTCGGTGCACAGAAGGCCCGGACTCTTGGCTGTTCTGAGGGCCCACCCCCAGCGGGAACTCGCGCGCAAACCTGCATCGCGGGAGTGGAACTACAGTACCAGCTCCGAAACTAAACCCTAAACCCTAAATCCTAAACCCTAAACCGTGTTCGCCTTGCCGGTGTTCGAATCGATCACATCGCAAAACTTCTCCGGCGAGGCAGGTCGACTCCACCTGGCATCCGAAGGCCACAGCAGCGAAAGGAAGCGACCTTTTCACCACAACACTTCCTGGTTTAGGGTTTAGGGGTTTAGGGGTTTAGGGTTTAGGGTTAGGGCTATTGCCCAGATCTGCCAACAAACCCAAGCGACTCCAAATCCTGGTAGACTCTCAGATTGCCCGCAAGACGGTGCCAGCTTCGCTGACCGTTGATGTACACGTTCTCCCAGGTGGGGATCCCAGCTGCGCTGGCCATCGCACGGGGCTGGAGTGATACGGAGGCACCTCTCAGGGCCCTCACCCTGCAGAGAGCAGCGATGTCTGCTGCCAGCAGGGGAAATTTCATAAAAGCTGCCAAATGCATGGAAAGTAAGGTCAAGATGTCCCCTAAATGTAGGGCTTGTGTGTGCAAGCTTCAACACTCTGGCTAAGTGCTCCTGGCTGGCTGCGACTGGACATGGAGTGCTGGAGCAGGGCCCAGCAATTTACGGGCAAATGAACTAAAGCTGCAAAAGCTGCAGGAAATCCATCGATGGCGGATGTTCCCAGCTGGTCAAACACATGCAATCCTAGACACTATCACTACAGTATCTCATGTCCTCACCACGAAGGAGGTCGCCCGTGTTGCACAGCCTGAAAAACAATGGAATTGGCAACAACGATTCTTGAATGACTGTTGAAAGCCGGGGTGCGGGTATCCGGCACTGATGTCCCCTTGGGTGCTTGCAGAACAGCAGTGCAAGCGAGAGAGCCATCTGGCTTGCGACAGAACAACGCAAAAACTAATTTCCATGGGCCCCGGCGCAGCTTTTTCTCACTCGGCCAGGAAACCTGCACCCGAACATCAAGAGAGAGAGAGAGAGAGTGACAGAGACAGAGAGAGAGAGAGAGAGAGAGATGTCGTGAGGGAGAAAGGACAGACAGAGGAGGGAGAGAGAGAGAGAGAGAGAAAGAAAGAGAAAGACAAGAGAGGGGCAGAGAGAGAAGCATGATTTTGCAGCCCAGACCCTCTCAGAGATATCGGGCCCTACTGGGCGCCAATTACTGCACACCCCAAATACTAAGACTGTTAGGAACCTCATTGTAAGGACCCAAACCTTAGGCTCTACCATGGGCCTGGTGGAGCTGCGCCAGCGCTGCGGCCAGCTCTTTGAGAAGCTTCTCGGTCTTTCCCTGAGACAGGTTCGGGTTGCTGGTTTGGGGCTTTGGCGTTTTTCTGCGCTCGCTCCGGGTAATGATAAACGAAAGTACCTTCGCCTTCGGGAGAAGTTGCACTGGTCACATGCAAGCGGAGGCCTCGTCTGACGCCAGCATTTCATCTCCTCTCTTTCCCGTGATGAAGTCCAAGAGTATCGCAGTCCTTTCACATGTCCAGATGCCCTGTGCCGATGTGTCTCACTTTCCCAAGAAAGATGAGGGAGGGGCCGACCGCCCTTGACCTCGTAGAAGGCACCAGACTTGGAAGGATAAGGATAGTTCGTTGGGAAGGAGGTGCTCCTCAAGGCCAAAGTCGCAAAAACATAGTCTGGCCAGTCCTTTTGCAGAAAGCGTCCTTAAATGATTCATGACAAAGAGCTGATGCTCGATGTCCTTGCACGGAAGAGAAGCTGCCACTTCTTGAAGCTTCAGGCTTGCAAAATGCTCGCCCTAGGGACCGTCCTCAAGGTTCAAGCCATAGTAGTTGACCTTCAGGAGGTACGGTCTGCTCTCACCTGCCAACACGAGCTCATGCATCTTCCTGGCTGGAGATGTGGAGATGTGTTCAAGGCCTCCGTCCACCTTGGCCGTGACCTGCGAGCCGCCAGGCCGCTGCGAACATGACGGGAGACGCAGCTTTGCCTTGAAATTGGAGGAAGCATAGCCGCCGAAGAGCCGAACGGGCCTGGAGTTGAAGCTGGCATGAAAGCACTGCGAGCCTCGTCCGAAAGACTTTCTTGACCTCCCCCACACCTCCGGTCACCTCCGGTCCCCCTCCTCTCCAGCCGCGTCCTCCCCTCCCCTCATCCTCTCAGCCACTAATAATAATATTAATAATAGTAACATGAATAACAATAATATTAATAATAATAGTATGAATAATAATAATGATGATAATACTAATAAGAACAAGAATAAGAATAAGAATAAGAATAAGAATAAGAATAAGAATAAGAATAATAACAAATAATAATAAAAAATAATAATAATATTATTAATAATATTAATAATATTAATAATATTAATAATATTAATAATATTAATAATGTTAATAATATTAATAATATTAATAATATTAATAATATTAATAATATTAATAATATTAATAATGTTAATAATGTTAATAATATTAATAATATTAATAATATTAATCATATTAATAATATTAATCATATTAATAATAACAGTAATATATTAAAAATAATAGAACAGTAATGCTGAACTCTGACTGCGGCCCGCACTCGCCCACAGGCTCGGCCCCGAAGGCTCGCAAAAGCTCCAGAACCTCCCCGAGGTCTGCGAAGCTGCAAAGGATCTATACGATTTTAGGGTTATATTATATTATCATATTATTATATTATGGTTTTTGGGGTTGGAACTTAGGGTGGAAGGCAGCTTTCCTGGAAGCAGAGAGAAGCCTCGTCGTTCGAGAGGTTATCAACGACAACATCGGCCTGGAGAGCGAGAACAGATACGAGTCCCCACTGCGCTTGGAGGTTTGCATCTCGGCCTTGGCTTCGATTGCCATTATGGCTATAGTATAAGGGGCCCCGAAACCCTATTCTAATTATTAAGGCCCCTATCATGGCCGCACTGCTTTATGAACGTGCTCCTAAAAGGGCGGTTTCCTTGCTGGCTGGTGATAAAGACTTGCTAAGCTGGGTCGAACAGGGGCAGGGTCAGACACGCCATGTGAAGCTGTGAGCCGGCTCAGCTGAGAGCTTTCGGAAGAGTCAAACAGACTGAGACATACTCAGAGAGATGGCCCACAGAAAGCCTACCCAGAGGGTTAACACAGGGCTGAAGGCCGTGGTTTACGCAGTCCGTACTTAAAGCAGAACAGAGGCATACGGCCTGCGGCCTCAGAGCATGCATCCACGTTGGTCAGTCTTCTACATGCATACTTGATGCACATCATGCTGGCCAGCACAATCGCAACAGTCAAGCAAACCAGTACAGCGGCTTAAGAGTGCCCCTAGGATCATGATCATAGAACAGAGAATCACACCGCAAATGCTTCTGAACTTCACACAAGCCTCTGCGATGCATTCACTAGAAAGTTATGCTGTGGAGAAAGGCTGCAAATTTTGGCAGAAGTCTGCAACGGCAAACCACTCTGCGCCACGTTGATTCTGAAAGGCTGCAACTTGTGGCATGCGAAATCTGAAGTGGGCAGCCTTGCCTTGTTGCAAGGCTCAGTGCAAGTGCAAGTCGATGGAAACTGTACGCGCGCCCCAGCCCAAGACTGACCACATAGCCGCAGGCTCATGGGCTGGAGCGCGCGTTCCTAGTGTGACGGGCCGTCTCTGCAGCCGGAAAAAGGTTCGTCCTACTGCTCAATCCGTCTTGACGGCTTCACAGCCGCTTGCCTTGTCACTAGAGGAAAGGAAATACCTGTGCCCAGAGTCAGATCAAAGCAGGCGTTTAGCAGCCAGGTACCTGTTTTCAAGCGAAGCCGGTGGGAGGACACTGAACGATGGCATAGCCCACCACAAAGGAGATCACCGTCCAGGTCCGGTCGCTTGCCAAGAGGGACAGGAGACCGGCCTTCCGTCTGAGCTGCAGAGGATCAGAAGCGCTTCTGGGAAGCCCCGCATGCCTCAGAGTCCAGCTTCTCGGGTGCCACAGCCTGGCTGAGAGTCAGAATGACGAGAGATCGAGAGAAGGACCTTGTACAGGGTGTTCTGGAGGTACGTCGCAGCAAGAGTACCGTTTATCGCCCACCAGCGTGCTAAGGCTGCTAGCGGCTCGGCTGAGCTGGATTGCAGTGATCGCTCTCAGCTTCTCTTCTTTTCCGCAGGTTTCGCTCTTTGTTCAACTTTACGCACGTTGCTTCGCTTCTTTCGCTTGTGGCTTCCTGTTGCGCACGGCTGGGGAGCGACAGCTCCATAGTCCTTTCCTCAGCTGTCGAAGGCTCCGAAGTTTCCGGAAGACTTATATAGCATTTGCGATCTGCTTATGAACATCCCAATACCCGACCTAGATGATGGCATGCCCAGTCCGAAATATGCTTTAGAGTTTCCGCTTTGCGTACATTGGAGAATCTGTCATGGGACACAGCCGGACAAGTTTCAATCAAAGCAACGATGCGCGCATGCGGGTAAGACTTCATGTATGTTGTTTGTTTGCATGTATGTATGTATGCATGTAGCTACGTACAACCGAGTCCTGTCCTCTCATTTTCGTTCGCAGAGACAGACTTTGCAGCGAGGAAGTGAAGTGAAGTGAAGTAGCTACGTACGCATGTATGCGTGTATGGATGTATGTTGGTATGTTTAGGGATGCATGCACGGATGCATGCCTGCATATATGCAGACGCGCTTGCATGTGTACGTGTGTGCATGTGCGCGAGTGTGTGCGTGTGGATGTGAGTGAGTGACTGCGTGTGCGAGTGTGTGTGTGTGTGTGTGTGTCTCTGTGTCTGTGTCTGCGTGTCTGCGATTGTCTGTGTGTCTGCGATTGTCTGTGTGTCTGTGTGTCTCTATGTCTGTGTGTCTGTGTGTCTGTGCGTCTGCGTGTCTTTGTCTTTGTGTGTCCCTGTGTCTGTGTCTCTGTGTGTCTATGTGTCTGTGAGTCTGTGTGTCTGTGCGTCTGTGTGTCTCTGTGTGTGCGTATGTTTGTCTGCACGCATGTATGTACTTATACACTGTGCGTGTGTCTGTGCGCGCATGCCTTTGTCTAAGTGTCTATCTTCTCTGTCTGTCTGTCTGTCTGTCTGTCCGTCCGTCTGTCTGCCTGTCCAGCTATCCATCAACCTACCTACGTATCTGCCTATCCACCCACCTACCTGCCTACCTATCTACCTATGTACCTATCTACCTATTTACCTGCCTGCCTATCTACCCATCTACCTACCTACCTATCTACCTACCTAGTCCTACCTACTAGTAGCTTCTTGCCTGGCTAGCCAGCTATCCAACTGCCCATCTATCTATCTAAGCGTGCATATACCAATCTGTTTACCTCTATATCTCTATGCGCCTAAATTCGCGTAAACGCAGACGTGCTTATGATGCATATAGACATGTTCATGTCTTCGGCTTTTCATGCACGTATCGACATGTGCATACCGCAGACCTGCCCACACGGGCATGTTTGAATGCATGTGTTTGCCTGCCTAAGCGTTTAGGAAACAGAGAACTGTATACTTAAATATGCACAAACACGCAAACGAATACCTACACGAATCAAGAATGGAATGCATAAGTGAAGGAATGAACGAAATAACCAATGAATGACTCAAACATAGTAAATGTACATATAACTGAATATATGATTGCATAAACGAACACATAAGTAAGCAAACCGGCAAATAAGTAAACAACATGTCGTTTAACATATATACATATATACATGCCCTGACTCATTTAGACTTGCCTGTAAATTCATATTCACATGCATGTATATATGTATGTATATGTATAAATAAATAAATATATGTATATAATATATATACACACATACTTTTGATGATTTATGTTTATGCTCCTATGTGCATGTGTGTGTATATATATATATATATATGGTAACCCCCCCCCCCAGGACCAACCTCGGCCATGTGATTGCTCGTGTCTGTATTGGCGCCGTTCCGGATTCGATCGGAAACCCCTGCAAATATCGATAGATTTGGTGTTCATGGACACTATTTACCGTCTCGGCGCGTCTTGTCGAAGTGGAAAAAAACAGGGTTCAGTTTTTCAGGCTCTATTTATTGTGCTATTATGTTATATTTTATGAAAAATCCCTTCTCTCTTCTTGTATGTTAATCTCAGAGCCCACGCTGCTGCATATAAACATCTGCTCGGGTAGGCGCACACAGAAACTACCTCATTAGCGGTCTTCATCTTGCCGTAGTCTCATTCTTAGTTTCAATCTTAATAATAATATCAATATTGGTCTTGACTTCTTCTTGATCTTCGTTTGAATCTGAATACTGCTATTCTGATGAATAGTAATCTGTCGAAATCTTTGTTAGTGTTAGTATTCGTATTTGTTTTGTGTCAGTATTAGTTTTAGTAGTAGTAGTAGTAGTAGTAGTAGTAGTAGTAGCAGTAGCAGTAGTAGTAGTAGTAGTAGTAGTAGTAGTAGTAGTGGTAGTAGTAGTAGTAGTAGTAGTAACAGTAGTAGTAATATTAGTAATATTGCTGGTATCTGTTCAATATCACTGTTCGTTTGATTAATGTTACTGTTAGTGTTAATGCTGGTGTCAGCGTCGATGTCAGTGTTAGTTTGACACATGAATATGTGTATTAGTGCGTCAGTTTTAATATATGTCGGTAGTAAGTGAAGCTACTCGTATTGGTGTTAGACCTGGACTTGGCCATAAAATTAGTCTTAGTAGTTGAATCAGTATTAATACATGTACATTTCGTATATTCATACTCGAAAATCAGTATGTTTGTGAACCAATAAATGAATATATTCTTCTATTGAAATGTTAGTATATAAGTATAATTAGTTCATTAGTATATTCGTATATTTTTCGTATATGAGTATACTGGTATATTAGTTTATTAGTCTATTGGTGTATTAGTCCAGTAGTCTATTAGTCTATTAGTCCAGTAGTCTATTAGTCTATTAGTCTTAATATATTAGAATAATAGTATATAAATATATGTATGTTAGTATTGAGTACATTAGCATATTGATCTGTTAGTACATCAGTATATTAGTATGTTAGTATAACAATATATATGGGTATATGAAAATATTGATACTTGTGTTTTATTCTAACAGTATGTTGAGTAGTAATCGTATATGTATGAATCGTGTTGATATTAATATCTATAGTGATATTGGCATTGATGTGAATATGTAATAATATTTCTATTTCTATCTTGATATTAGCACTAGTATTTTTACTAGTATTACGCATGTGCGTATTAGCCGAAGTATTAGTGTTCATCTTAGTAATAATATTGATATAAACATAATAGTAATGTCGTAACTCGCACTGAGAATAGCTATTAAGAACATGATCATTAGTATCCGTAGGAAGACTAGCATTAGTATGTATCATGGCATTAATACTACTGAATATGAAGAAAGGAATATGGTTATTCGTGTTCGTAGGATCATTCGTATTCATATTAGTGTTAATATTACTATGCAAGTTAGTGGTCGTAAGAATATTAGGATTCATGATCATATCAATGCAAAAATTAGTTTTGGTATTATTTGTAAATACTAGTAGCAGATACTAATAGTAGAAATAAAATTACTATGAATAAAACTGTTTTTGTACTCGCAGGAGTATGCATCTTCAGGTTGCTGTTCGTACTAGCTAAAACGAATACTGATCTACGTACTAATGATCATATCAATACGACCACTAACATCAATACGTTAGTATTTTTATTATAACATCCGAATTAGCCTTAGTGCTAATATTAATTAAGATGAGTTTGAGTACTAGAGAATTAATAGTGTTAGTATTGAGAGTCGTCAATACGGATATGCATATCATTATCCGTAGGAGTATTAACAATTATTCCAATATTAGCATGAACAGTCATACCAGCTATGCATGTTAATATTGTTCTTAACATGACCATGATTATCAGTATTGTTGCGAACATGAATATTCATACTATCATTTTTATCAGTTTCACCATTAGAATTACGATGAGTCTTCATACTCATAAGAGTACTAATATTAATATTATCAAAATTCGTATAAATATCAATATCATTTTAAATACGAGTATTACGAACAAGACTAAACTGACTATGAATGTGCCTTTATTCGTAGGGATAGACATCTTGGTATTACCTCGTTTTGGCACTAGTATGAGTCATGCGTATTCACTGGCGCATGAGTGACCTAAGAGCTTCATGAATAATGAACATGTGCACACATGCAACCTTATTACGAACCGATGTAGGATGCACACGTCTTTCTGTATTGGTCCCGTCTTTGGGTTATGCCTCTGAGCAAAATAGTATATGAACAGAACTGGAAACCAACAATGTTAAACACAAGCAATATCCGGAGCATTTAACCAGCATCCTAATATGAAAGCAATGAAGCTTGCCCAGTTTTCTCAAAACGGCGATGTCGCGCCGTCGAGGTCCTTAAATTTCTTAATCACTGCCTCCTTGCATTGAGTTTACAGAACGCGTGAGTTCTTCTAGATTCCCTAATTTGCTCAAACTCCCTAATTCCCAGACCCATGTGTTGGTTTTCAAGCCTGAATTCCCTACATTCCCTAAATCCCCTAAATTCCCTAAATTCCCTAAATCCCAGCCCCATGTGTTGGATTTAGGGAATTCCCTAAATTCCCTAAATACTCTGAATTCCCTAAATTCCCTAAATCCCAGCCTCATGTGTTGGATTTAGGGAATTCCCTGATTCCCTAAATTCCCTAAATTCCCCAAATTCCTTAAATTCCCTAAATTCCTTAAATTCCTCTAAATTCCCTAAATTCCCTAAATTCCCTCCCCATGAACGGAAACCATTGAATCTTATCCATGGGGGCCAGAATTAGGGAATTTAGGCAATTTAGAGAGTTTAGAGAATTTAGGGAATTTAGGGAATTTAAGGAAATTAGGGAATCAGGGAATTCCCTAAATCCAACACATGGGGCTGGGATACAGGGAATTTAGGGAATTCCCTAAATCCAAAACATGGGGCTGGGATTTAGGGAATTTGGGCAATTTAGGGAATCAGGCAATTCCCTAAATCCAACACATGGTGTCGGGAATTAAGGAATTTAGGCAATTCAAAGTTGGTCCTCGGGGGGGGGGGGGGGGGGGGGGCTAGCATATATACATATATATATATATATATGCGTGTGTATGTATGTGTATGTGTATGTATATGATATAATATCAACACCGTGAGCCACCCAAAACACACACACACACACAACGTTGTATAATGAGGCTTTATCATACTTCTAATCCAAAGTGTCTGTAAGTGTGCATACATGTACATTAACACCATGTATGTCTCTGTGTGTGTGCATTCACGCAGGCACTGTAAGTGTGTAATTCTGTGTGCACGCGCATACTGTGGCTGGCTACAAGCAGGTGCATAGATTCGTCTATTCCGTCTTCCACTTCATGCCTGCCCCATCCATGTGGAGCTACAACTAGCGGAGAGCGCAACAGAGAAGCCAGTGGCCTGCACTCTTGGCAGGGCAAATGGCACTTCTTTCGGGGAGTCGGCATCCTCCAAGAGATCCACCTGTGGCCAAAGCTCGGCCAGCGCATGGCATCACAGTGGAAGAAGAACACTGGCCTCTGCTGGTTCAGCAAGATCCTGTTGGCTAAGCGTGCCTGAGCCCAGCAATCTACATCTGCCGGCAAATATCTCTGTGGATCAGGGGACGATTGTACCGTGCCAAAATCAGGTTACGTGTTTCTGTAGATGACCTCCACGCGCGCATGGGACTGTTGATAACAAGCAAAGTTATGAACTCTCCCGGTTTGATCGACGAGTGTCGCAGAAGTCTGAACCAAACCTCAGGAAACTCGGTGAAGCAGCGAAGCAGCCCTCCGGCAAGGATCCATCCCAACTACGCCCTAAACGAGGGGTAAATGACATGTTTTGCTTTCTGAGGAACCAGTGGCTGCCGCCAACTTGATGGAGTTCTTGGATGCTGCGAAGCCTGCCAGCGACCTGTTTGCTTGAATTCGTACTGCTGCAATGGAGGCACCTGCAAACTGGCACTAGCCGTCCAGATCATGCCTTACAGTTTGGCTGCTTTGCTTCATGAGATCTTTCTTGCACAAGTCTTGCTGGCGCGCCTCGTAAATAGTAAGGGCAGGAGTAGCAGCACGCAGCGCAGACCCACCACATCAGCCAAGGCCTTGTGGCAAAAGCGACGGACATCGGAGTCCGGGACTCGAAGCCTTCCTTTCCCAGTCTCAGGCCGGTGCACCACCGCCAGGTGCTGATCTGCAGCGAGTCATCGGTGCTCCTGGGATTCTTCATCTAAGAAGGCCTCCTCCTCTTCTGAAACTTGCGAGGCACGGGCCAGGGCCAGAGAGGTACCGGATGGAAGGGCTTTCGGTCTGAGATGGCTTACGCCTTGAGCCGGCACCACACAGGAGCGCTTCTTTTGGCATGCAAAGAACCCAAGGCACGCCAGTCTGCATGCAGGCAACTTTGAACGCAGCTTGGCGCCAGCGATCAGTGATATCACAGATGGCGTGAATCATATGGCAATCAGCCACATGGGCCGATGACACCAGAGGTAAAGAATCCTGGAAAAGAACTGATGCTCGCAATAGCATTTCCAGGCTTAGCATGGCATAGCTGGATACGAGATTGTTCATGGACAAATGGTGCTTCATCTTATCTGGCGGCAGGTCCGTGGCTATATCTATACAGAGCTGCAAGGGCCTTTGCTGGCACCGGGGCGGCGCTGCCCCCGACTTCTTAGCAAGATCCCGTTATCGCAAATTAACGCAGGATCCCCGAGCAGATATGCTCGTCGTCCAGCAACGTCGCATGTTGCATGTCTCGAGCTGCACAGGAGTGTAGGATTGTGGCAAAAGCCTTGAAGACATACGCAGCTACAGATGATGGAAAGGCATCTTCTCTTCCTGGTACCCCTGCGCAAGTCTGTATGTGGTACATAGCCTAGCTGGCTGGGGACTAACAAGTATGCCGTCTTCACGGCAAAGCGAAAAAAAGTATTGCATTGACAAGTTCAGGACACCTGAGCCTTCAGGCCTGCCACAAACGTGGCGACATCGTCCGTCTCAACGAAGCGCATGTAGATCTGACAAAGCTCTGCTGGAAAAACGACCCCGGCATCCCTTGCCAACATGCAACTCAGAGCGTCCAGACGCCCATATCAGCCCCCGAACCCCTCCCAGCGTCTGAGCCACCCTCCAATTTGACCTCCCTTTGGGATTCTCTTGATTTAGACTTCGACTTTAGCTCGCCGTAAGAACCCTTAGCAGCATCGTGCCCGCGGTTCCTCTTCGCCACTACCCGTACACTGCAGAACTGCTGTCTGTTCTCATGCATACAACTTACACTCTTTCACGAGCTAGCTTGCTTGCTCTCGTATTGTCCTATCGCTTTGCGCTGCTTTGGGGGATGGGGCAAATGCCGTCCCCCCTTACCGCGCGCATTCTCAGAGGACGGACTCGGCTGCAGCAGGTTGTGAATTTCTATGGAGGGTCCCAAGGCGGGGGTAAGTTTCCTAGCAACGGTGAGTGCCCCTAGGCCAGCAGGAGAGTTGAGTCGACAAAAACAGGGAGGGAAAAGCTTTAACTTTTGGTCCCGCAGGCTATGTAGGCTGCCTGCTGCCTGCTGCACACCCGCCTGTTGGTAAAAGCTTCTGCTGAGTTGGTGCGCCCTGACAGTCACGAACTAGGTTAGTTTATACAGCAGTAGTCCGTCTACCACGCTGCACTTGGGTCACTGTTGAATGGCTCGCGGGGCTCGGAGTTGACCCCGTAAAGTGTTGCAAGTGGCTTTGCCGTTTGTTCTCCTCATTTGCGCTGGCTCGCTGTATCTTTCACCAGGGCTGGCCTGGGGAGCTGCCTCTCTGTATCTCTTTTCTATTATGTTATAATATATAACATCATATTAGTACATCATATTATATTAGATTGTATATCTGTAATGTATATCTCTGTATCTCTCTTGCTTGCACTCGGACAAGTCTGTATCTCTCTCTCTCTCTCTCTCTCTCCCTGGCTCTCTCTCGGGCACGCAGGACGTGTCAGTTCCCGAGCGTTTCTAGCCCACCCGAAGTCTTTTAGGGTACAGGGGCGTGAAGAACGAAGAAATCGTGGAAGTTAAAGCCTCATTCTAATCTATGTAAGTTTTCTTGCCAGTTCGGTCTCTCACTCGCTCCCGTTCTTCGCTTGCCTCAGAGTCTCCAGCTTGTCTAACTCTTCCCGGCATGCTCACTTTCCTCACTGTCTCAAAATAACCCGACTGTATGACGCCTTCGTTGACGGTTATGTTCGGTTGGCTCTGCCTGGAGGAAGCTTTGTGCCCAGCGCGATTCGGCATCCCGTGCCGAACTGCAAAGCCGATCTTTCTCCCAGGCCTCACAGGGTATACGGGCTTGATTACCTTTTTGTGAAGGAAGCCATACTAGCAGCTGTAAACATCACTATCACCATGTCCACCAGCATCAACAACGGAAGCATCGTGATAGTGATGTCCTTCGCCATCGGCTGCCGGCCGCAGCATCAGAGACATCACGCACACGTGCCGACACGTCCTGTGAACTCTTGATCTCCCCGGGAAATTTTCAACTCCCAGAGCCTGAAATTCAGCCAATGAGGTCTGATCTGCCCAAACCTCGTATTCCGAATTCTGACGCCTACTTTGAAGGTAACATAAATAACGAACTATGGAACCACCAAAATTCAGATGAAACCTCCAATCCGCTCCTTGGTCTGAATGCTTTCAATTTGCGTCCGCCCGTCAGCCTAAGCCCTCACCACAAAAGTAACCAAGGTTTGGGGTTAAGGGCTTTTGGCTTTCAGGTGGTCCCGCGCCACGACGAGACCGTGACCCTTGGGGACAATACTAGCACGTACGCGTCTTGCTCGACGGGCCATGTCTGGCAAGATTACAATCATCCCTGTTTATGATCATGCCTGGTAAGAAGCGAGACGAAACGAGACTTCTCCGTCACTCTTCTGGGCTTTCAACACATTCTAGGGCTTAGACATGCAAACTCTCATCGTGGCGAATGCCTCCAGCCATCCATCTTCTGCCAACGCGGAGAGGAGGCTTGTGATGTGAGTCCTATCTGGCGTGTCAGCTTCAGATCGGCACCAGACAAAGCACAAATCGTACTGCGGTCCTCAGGAGGAAGCCGTTGAGTCGCACGAAGGATGCCACTCGAGCACCTCCCTCGCAGTGTGCAGCTTCATCACAGCATTCGGCCACACATGATCACACTTGTCGTGCAAACAGCTGCTTCGCGTACCTTCGGTGATCCAACTATTCGGCCGAAATCCGTGGACCTCCGGCATTGACTGTTGTTTTGCCCACGGCCTCCCCTGAATGTCAAATTAGCACCACTTAGGGACATGCCACTTCTCGCTCTGCATTTCTGCGTCCCGATACTGCGGACCTGGCCATAGGTTCTCGCGGTGCTAGTTGCTCAAAGGCCACATGCATTGTTCCCGAAGGCCAAAGTATCAGCCTGTGCTGGGCATGACGGGGATCGACCTGCAAAACGTGTATTTGGACTGTATTTGGTGCATCCTGTCTCTGCACTCTTTCATGTTCTGCTGGCTGCAGCCTTCCAGACTGGCCAGTGACACCAACTCCAAGGGCCTGCGCAGCCCAGCTCGCACCAAAAGGCATGCTCCGCTTCACCTACGAAGGGGCCTGGCTCGAAGGAGACAGAGCCGGGGAGGAGCTGTCCTACGGATCGCAGCAGTGGACAAAAGTTGCCAAGGCAAGAGGACACGAACTCTACTAGACTCGACGAATCACAGCTCGCGCCTGGTTGCCAGTGAGTGATGGCTTTGCCTTCGAGGAAGTCGCAGTGGCAACTTTAGTTATTATACCTGTAAGAAGTCGACATTCGTCTTCACTGTGGCGAACTCACGTCTCATCACTGCTACGCTGCTACAGGTGCGTGTGGCACTAGATCGATGGCACGCTGCAACTGCGAACTCGCCTACGTGAACCGCTTGCTTGTGCGACACCGTCCCGCCAGCCCCCGGTCACGGCAAAAGCTGCAGTCCTTCAGCGCATGCCGGCTGCTGCTGCCTCCGGTTCCTCCTCCACTGTAGCCCTGCGTGCATAGTAATGATAATGACGTCGATTGTGATGATCACCATATGTGTTCGTTTGCTCCTGTCGCGGCTACCAGTCTTGTTGCGAGCTCGTGCACAATCCAACGAGCTAAGCAACTCCCTCGCTTTTCAGGTTCATGCACAACCTGATGCAACTAACGGAACCAGATGCATTGCCTCATCCGTCTTCCTCTGATACTGCCACCCTTAGAACCCTATGACTCACCCAACCCATGTAATCCGAGGAACGGTTTCTGGCGTCTCCTGTCCAGGCTCCTGCATGAAACGAGTCCAACCGGACGCAACTGAGAAGTTGCAGCCGCTGGGCCTTCCCATGGACCTCGCCTCGCATCGCGGAGCACAGAGGTTCTGTACAAGCTAGGCCCTCCGAAAGAGGCCCTGTACAAGAGAGGCTTCCGCCAGGCTGTCGTAGCTGAGCAGCCCTATGCTGGCAGAAGCGAAAACTTAAGAGTTGATCACTTGCCCTGCTGCATCATCATGGAGCGCTTCTTCTGGGTCTTTTGCATCTGCGTCTCCTGAAGCACCAGAGCTCAAAATACACCGCAGAAAGGCAACATCTTGAGGACCGCTGGCGTCCTCATCACCATTGGGCTTCCAGAGCCCTCGATGCAGGACTTCTGCCGCTGCATCATGAACCTCGAGTTGGCAGATCCGACCACTACCGATGTCTTGCCGGAGATCTTGCTTCAGGATTCAAGCGGTTCAATGTTTGGCGACGCCTGTCTGAGTGACGGAAGCTTTCACTCCAAAGGCGGAGGCCAAGGACCTTACTCAGCTGCGAACAAACGGCCTTCTCCCAGCCGTGGAAGCGGCCGCGCTGGCTGAGCGTGCCGACAGCATTTGGAAAAGCGTGATGGACCTTGCCATATTTGCAAATTTGGACTGATGCAACCTGACACGTTAAGAGCAAGCAAGAACAAGCTGCAGGGGCAGAAAAGAACCTAACTACGCAAGGCCTGCACGATCACTGGGCATGGACTTGTGTTTAGGCAGTTGGACTGCTGCAACCTGACACAAGGTTGCTGGACCTTGCTTTAGCTACGTATTCGGACAGCTGCCACTGACGCGACCCAAGATCTCGTTTATCGGAACTTCACGCAACTGTTGACGACATTGGCACCCACGGTCAAGTTCCAAAACATCTGAGTTGCGTCGTGAAAGAGCATCTCGTTCCAGCGGTGCTTTCCTGCAACTCTTCCGAATGACATCTTCCAAAGCCAGGAACAGCTACTCTGATCTGAGGTGCCCAAACCCGCCTCCCAGAACCATAGCCATCACGTTGTGAAGAACAGGCCAGGTGCGGCCCGGATCCTGTGCCAGGAACTCGTTCCAAGGCAAGCCTGGGCTGTAATATCTTTCGGCTTTCGGACGTAGGTTTAAGCTTTAGGGCCTAGGGTTTGGGACAACATGGGGGCAGCGTTGGTTGGGATAGGGTGTTGAGATAAGCTACAGCATATTGATAACAAGGAAAGCCGAGGAATACTGTTGGTAATCAGCTAGGCTTCCTTCTCCTTCCACATTTGCCACGGTGCGAAAGGAGTTGTGGTATGAGGAGACAGTGCGTGCGGGCTCAGTGGCCGCAGATGGCCATGCGCTGGATTGCGCCGATTGCGCTGGAATGCGCCGATTGCGCTGGAATGCGCCGAATGCGTTGGAATGCGCTGGAAAGCACCGATTGCGCCGAATTGGGCCAATTGCGCCGTTTGCGCCGAATTGCGCCAATTGCGCCGAATTGCGCCGATTGCGCCGAATTGCGCCGTTTGCGCCGAATTGCGCCGAATTGCGCCGATTGCGCCGAATTGCGCCGAATTGCGCCGAATTGCGCTGGAATTGCGCTGGAATTCTGCCTACAGCCTGGCACACAGGCAATACTACCCTGTGGCTGTTGCAGCCTGGTTGCTACCTTGGTTTTGCAGCCTGCGATTTCCGGGCAGTGCCTGTCGTACCAGGTTTTTGTGGCTCATTGCTGGCAGCAGTTCCCGCAGTCCTGCGAATTCTCTTCAACTGTCAGTCAGAGAGAGTTTTTACATTTCACGTGGGGCTATATTGCATCCTATTCAGCGGATTTTTTGGTGAACGACCACGAATCTCGACTCAATTGACGTGCTCTTGTGCGTGCACCCGGAATTTGACGCGCACTTCGGAACTGTTTTGGGTTTGTTGTTGTGTCTTTGTTGTTCTGAAAGTCTTCTGAAATCTATGACTACCGACCGATTCTTGAGTCAGAACCCTGACAGGTCTTGAACTCCGAGGGTGGGGCGTTGGACTCTGATGGGGCCGGGCGCCCCTGATTTTAAAATCAGAACCCTTACGGATCATTGAACTCCGAGGGTGGGGCTTTGGACTGATGGGGCACCCCTGATTCTTAAATCAAAGCTTTGACAGATGTTGAAGAGGAGGAGGCCCTGGACTGATGGAGCGCCCATGAATTTTCGATCTCCGCCTCTTAGTGAGCTTGAACTCCGGGGGTGGGGCCTCGGACGCCCTTGGTTGTTTTAATCAGAACTCTTTCAAATCTTGAACTCCGAGGGTGGGGCCTTGGACTCTGATGGAGCGGGGCGCTCCTGATTTTTAAATCAGAACCCTTACAGATCCTTGAACTCCGAGGGTGGAGCTTTGGACTGATGGGGCACCCCTGATTCTTAAATCAAAGCTTTGACAGATGTTGAACTCCGAGGATGAGGACTTGGACTGATGGAGCACCCATGATTTTCAGATCACCGCCTCTTAGTGAGCTTGAACTCCGGGGGTGGGGCTTTGGACGCCCCTGGTTTTTTAATCAGAACTCTTACAAATCTTGAACTCCGAGGGTCGGGCCTTGGGTTGATGGGGCACCCCTGATTTCTAAATCACAACCCTTACAGATCTTGAACTCCGAGGGTGGGGCCTTGGACTCTGATGGAGCGGGGCGCCCCTGATTTTTAAATCAGAACCCTTACAGATCCTTGAACTCCGAGGGTGGGGCTTTGGACTGATGGGGCACCCCTGATTCTTAAATCAAAGCTTTGACAGATGTTGAACTCCGAGGAGGAGGCCCTGGACTGATGGAGCGCCCATGATTTTCAGATCAGATCACCGCCTCTTAGTGAGCTTGAACTCCGGGGGTGGGGCCTCGGACGCCCCTGGTTGTTTTAATCAGAACTTTTTCAAATCTTGAACTCCGAGGGTCGGGCCTTGGGTTGATGGGGCACCCCTGATTTCTAAATCACAACCCTTACAGATCTTGAACTCCGAGGGTGGGGCCTTGGACTCTGATGGGGCGGGGCGCCCCTGATTTCTAAATCCCAACCCTTACAGATCTTGAACTCCGAGGGTGGGGCCTTGGACTCTGATGGAGCGGGGCGCCCCTGATTTTTAAATCAGAACCCTTACAGATCCTTGAACTCCGAGGGTGGAGCTTTGGACTGATGGGGCACCCCTGATTCTGAAATCAAAGCTTTGACAGATGTTGAACTCCGAGGATGAGGACTTGGACTGATGGAGCGCCCATGATTTTCAGATCACCGCCTCTTAGTGAGCTTGTCCTCCGGGGGTGGGGAATTGGACGCCACTGGTTTTTCTTCAGAACTCTTACAAATCTTGAACTCCGAGGGTCGGGCCTTGGGTTGATGGGGCACCCCTGATTTCTAAATCACAACCCTTACAGATCCTTGAACTCCGAGGGTGGGGCTTTGGACTGATGGGGCACCCCTGATTCTTAAATCAAAGCTTTGACAGATGTTGAAGAGGAGGAGGAGGCCCTGGACTGATGGAGCGCCCATGATTTTCAGATCACCGCCTCTTAGTGAGCTTGAACTCCGGGGGTGGGGCCTCGGACGCCCCTGGTTGTTTTAATCAGAACTCTTTCAAATCTTGAACTCCGATGGTGGGGCCTTGGACTCTGATGGAGCGGGGCGCCCCTGATTTTTAAATCAGAACCCTTACAGATCCTTGAACTCCGAGGGTGGGGCTTTGGACTGATGGGGCACCCCTGATTCTTAAATCAAAGAGGAGGAGGCCCTGGACTGATGGAGCGCCCATGATTTTTCACCGCCTCTTAGTGAGCTTGAACTCCGGGGGTGGGGCCTCGGACGCCCCTGGTTGTTTTAATCAGAACTTTTTCAAATCTTGAACTCCGAGGGTCGGGCCTTGGGTTGATGGGGCACCCCTGATTTCTAAATCACAACCCTTACAGATCTTGAACTCCGAGGGTGGGGCCTTGGACTCTGATGGGGCGGGGCGCCCCTGATTTCTAAATCACAACCCTTACTTAGTGTGGGCGTCAGCCTCTTTAACTGTTGGGAGCCCAGAGTGTCCTGGAACTATATATAAAACCTAAGGGGTTTGTCAGGAACTATATTTAAATACAAATCACTCCCCTAACCTGATGTAAGGGATCCTTCCAACCCGAGCTGATGTTGCTAGATCATTATCCGTGGCAGCCCCGTCCAACTACAGTAAAACCCACAGCAGCTCCCCGCCTGTCGAAAGATTGGGGAATGAGCAATTCGGAATTGGTGTCTGAAATTGGGTTATTTAGATGAGTTTGGACAGTTTCACTAGTTTCGGTTCAATGCGGAACATGCGCTGCAGGGGCCGGCTAACGGCCAATCCATTTTCACGCCGGGAGCCGAAAGCTCGAACACTTCTCTCGGTGCCGTGCTGGCATTGCGACATGCTGCCAGCAGAAGCTTGCTAGGTCACCGTGTGACCACCAAAACAGTTGCCAGCCCTAGCCTCAAAACGCCTGCCTCCAGCGGGCTGTCAGGCGAACTGGCAAAGTGTGCGGTATTCAAAACCCTGCTATCGTGATTCATGCTGTTCTAAAAAGATGGTGCTAGCACCGAACCCCAGCTGACGGGGACCAACCAAGCTTAACAACATTTAACTTATATAAACTCCCACAGGCCCACAGGTCTAAACGCCGCACACGTGGCAAAGCAGCCAGATTCGCGCCGCTTTACTTTGTACCTTTCTTACCCCGAGCCCGCTTTGCAGGAGGAGCCTCTGCTAAGACATCCTTAGAATCCTTAGACTTGCCACTCTTGCTGGGCTGCGCCTTGTCAGCGTTGTCCTTATCAGGCCTCGGATTGGGTAGGCGTTACGGGACTTAAGGCCTGGGCATGGGTCAAATTCAGCTCGCTTCACACATCACACTTCTATGCCGACTATGCGTGCTCTTGAACACTGAAGTTAGGGCCGAGAGGCTTCGGACTGGATCCAAACTTCTGCAATCGTTGATTGAGTGCATCCGGCAAGTCTTTCATGCTGATCCCGAGCTGCTTCGTAAGATACGCGGAAAGCTGGCGCACCTCATTCAAGCGATCCTGTCCCGGGCCGTCCGGACTCTTGCTGTCATACAGCAATCCCACGCCCAGCAGGCAGCCCACAACCTTTGAGACGTCTGCTCGGGTCTCCTGGGGCCCAGCAACACAACGCACCAAAATAATGCAGACGGGACCAGACTAGACTGACTCAGACTGCCGCAGACTCCCTGCCTAAATCTGTAAACAGTTAAACGTTTGTTTGAACCAAATTGCCAGGGCCAGGGCTTCAACAGAGTACTGACCCTGACCCTAGAACAGGCCAGACAAATACACACACACACACCCACACAACAGGCTCCTGAATCTTCTGCTGCGACTTGGCCAACTGAGACCTGAGGCCGTCCTCCTCATGGTCCAGCTTCGATGATGCAATCAACGTTGTAGCAGTTCGGAGGAATTGAACAAAATCATCCGTCTCCCCTCTGAAATTCACCATCAACTCGACGTCCGCATCAGCGTTCGACTCCTCGGCCCACATCCAGTGAACTGGATCCAGGTTCCACACGGTTGCCGCTTCCACGATGGTCCTTCTGTGGCGGTTTGGATCTGGGCGCTTTGGGAAAGCTTCAAGGCTTTATCAGGCTTGACTCCGGCTTGATTCGGCTTGATTACAAACTCTTGGCTGCAATATTATGGGATACGGGAGACTGATATGACTCAGACTCAGACTCAAGCTCAGAATGATGACTCCGATGATGACCACGATTCCATGATGGGCTATGGTGTAGCCGGAGTATGGGACAGTATGGGTGTGGTGGGTCTATATATATGGACTGTGGAGGGCAAGCTCAGGGGCTTGTGTGGGTGAGGGGCTTGTGTGGGTTGAGGTTTAGAGCTAGAGCCCATCCCACCCCATGGCACAAAGCACGCATGGCAGCACGTAGCACGCTGTCCTGTACTGCTCTGTGGTCTCCGTGACCACCTGGATGAGCTCGTCTGCATGCACCATCTTATCACGGATGGCGGTACAGACCATCTCTTCGAAGGACTTGCACTTCTCCACAAGATCTGGCCAAAACTTTTCCAAGGTTGGGTAGTCCAAGCTCCAAACCTCTACCAAAGCCGTAGTCGCCTTGCTGTAGCCCGGCACCCAGTGGTCTGTGGACCCGTTGAGCTCCTTCCGTGTCGCTTCAAGGTCCAGGTCCTCAGCAACTTTGGCATGCTTGAAGGTATCCTTGTACTTCTGGATCGGCGGAGGCAACGTGAAGCTGCCGTCGCCCAAGAAGGTCAAAGCATCCTCCCTTCCGTTGTCAGCCAAGAGAGCCTTCAAGTGGCCGTCGACCGCCTTCATGAGATTGGCTTCCAGGCGCTTGGCCGCTTCCTCTCTCGCGTGTGAGCTCTCGTCGCTGCACTTGGAATGCAACGCAACCCAGACGCCGGAGCATGCTGCGAGATCCCACCCCATGCTTGACTGGGAGTTCTGCTTCTTGTATTTCCACAAAGCTTCTGCGATTTGCGAGAGCAAGGCATTGAGGCCTGGATGCTGCTGCAAGACCGTCGATCTCACATGTCCTGCAATTCACTTGGAACAAACAACTTGAAAATATCCATAAATAAGTTACAGCTATCTATCTAAGTCACCGAACTCATTCGGAGCAGGACCTGTTTACAGTCAAATGCAAAGCCCGGCCAAAGTTCAGAATTCAGTGGACACGGTCCCATGTCCACTGAATTCCGGACGTTGGCCGCGCAGTGCAAAATCTCAAATCAGTTGCACAACCCATGCCAACTTCATGCTGCGGCATGGTGCCATCAAGGCTGGCTATCTGTGCTACGGGTCAACACGGGTCCATGCTGCATGCATGCTGCTGCCTGAAATCACCATGTGAAGCAGCAACTGCTCACCGTCAATGCTGTTGTCGACCATCGACGGGAACGCAAAGCAATCTTCCTCGGAAAGCCATAGCATCTTCACCAGCTCCCAGAAGCTGCTTGGCTGGAGGTAGTTCTCCTTCAGGCAGTCTTCCACCTTCTGCATGGAAGCCTCCAGCAATGTTGCAACATCCTTTGTGGCGGGATCCGTTGAGGACTTGCAAGCCGCAAGCATATCTGCACACCTGCTGCATGCCTTGGCCAGTGGCTTCCACGGCTCATCTCCCATCTCCTTGTGAGCAGCGAAAGAGACCAACCCCTTGATGAGGCTCTCAATGTTCTCCGCTGCACCGGCGGCCTGCTGCAATGCTGACTTCTCGTCAATCACTTTCTTCGAGAGCTCTGTCAAGCTCAACCAAAGAGTCCTGCGCAATTGGTGCTAGAGCCTAGAGCAGAACAAAGCATCAGCATCGACGCATCGCGTAGGATTCTACTTTTTGAATTGCACGCTATCCCCTCCCAAACCCTCCATCCTGAGCAGACTCGGCTGTCTGAAAAGCAGATTGACCCGAGTTGACGCTGCCAACGATACTGTGATCTTGAAGTCGTTTAGCTGGGCCGCATCAACGAGGATCTCTCCCTCCGCTTTGTCTGCTGACGGCTCCGGAAGCTTCCCGAGGGCAACAAACCTCTGCAGGTCCACCAACATCCGCGGAGACAAGCCGGAGCTGTTAGTGTTGCCATCTGATGCATTCTCAATCTGCAAGGACTCCATGGGAAGCTTCTCCCCAAGCTCCCTTTGCCAGGTTTGCTGGTAAAGGATGATATTTGGGCTTTGGGCTTGGGGCTTTGGGAGGCTTTGGGTTTCGTCAAGCGGCCTAGTAGGAACAACAAACCCACAGGACCCGCAAACAAGCAGACGGTGACAGACGTATGGACCGTATGGACGTATGGAGTATATATCAGTGTATAATCAGCAGCAGCAGCAGCAGCAGCATAACAGCATACAGTATACCATATACAGAGTATACAGTATACAGTATACACTATATACAGTACAGTACAGTATACAGTACACAGTACAGGCAGTACAGGGAAACATATACACCACAGGCAAGCAAACTGAATGGCACAGCTATGAGCTACACATACTTTAACTCTAAATCTGGAGAGAGTCTAAATTTAAAGTCTCTGTGTCTAGAGCGCCGGCGCCGTTTGTCATCTGTTTCTATGTGGACTTTGCCTATCTCTCCCTATCTCTCGTTCTCTCACTCTCTTTCTGTGTTTCGTGCCTGCAGAAAGCCGGACGCCAAAATACAGCAGGAATCGCCCGAAGAATCTTCGGGATACCAAAACTGCTCTTCAAGTGATTGACCCACACGTTGAACAGGTTCCCTTGCACGCGAAGCAAAACACACTCCTCCATGCAAGCACGACCAGCATTCAAACACAACCCTGACTGGTCCATGTCTGCCAAAGCAATGAAGCCAAAGAAGGCCTTTGTGCCATTGGCGTCAGCATGCTGCACCTGGAGAGAGAAAGAGAGAAAGAGAGAGTGAGTAAGTGAGCCTGAGTCAGCATGAGTCATGAGTATGAGCGTGAGCGCGGGAAAGAAACTGATTACTCAACAATGCTTCATCAACAATGGCAAAACCTGGGCTCCGGCATCAATCAGCTTGCGGCCGATGTCAATGAAGATTGCCGACACGCAGTCGGCAGGAAGCTTGAAGACCTTACCCACTTGCGCACCGGTGAGATCCAAGACCTGCATTGGCTCTGACTTGCAGTTCCGCACGTGGTCCAGGATGTCTGACCAGTCATTGCACTCCTGGACTGCCTCTTTCAGCCGTTCCAAAACAGCACAGGCTCTGTCCTCGGTCGGAAACTTCTCCAGCGCCGTGCAAGCGGCCACTGCCTTGTCAAGCTTCGTAGACAGGTCCTTAGGCTTGAAGGAGCCATTCCAATACTGCACCGGCATGATTGCTTTGATGGCTGCCTCGCACACGTCAGCCACTTCCACAGCCTTGTCGACCTTCTCCGTGTTGGTCGGAAGCTTGGAAGGAGGAGAGGCTCCACCCTTTGGTCCGGGGCTAGTCGTGGTCGCGCCATTCCCTGGTCTTCCACCGATCTTGGGCCTGGCCGCCCTCTTATTTGACTTGGCAGCCACAACATCTGGCTGCTTCTTCAAGCCGAATCCGACACTGTCTTCATCGGAGTCGGCAACCTCATGGTCGTTCGCAGATGGGTTGGCTGCCGTGTCCTCATCCTCCTCTGCGCCAGCTGCAGCCAGCTTTGCCTGCACTTCTTCCTGCGAAAATTAATGAAGAACTCCACCCCGAATTTGACCCCACACCCTACTGCCACGTAACACCGTCCGACCCTACCTCCACTCACCCCCAGGAATCATGCTTTTTGAAGTTGGAACTTAGGTTTTTGTCACCTGTTCCTACATGTTGAACACCCCAAGCCCCAGGACCAGCCACCCTTGAGTCCTCCGTGTTGACTTCCGCTTGCAACTTGGAAGAGTCTCGCTGGAAGGCCGCTTCAAGGTCAGCACCGGTTTCAACCTCACTTCTGCGGATCTTGTCAGCAGCCATCTTCGTCCCAATGAGGACTTTGCGGCGTTTGGAGTCGGGAAGGATGATCACACCTTCCACCCCCCTCTCGTCCTGTGGCATGCGTCATGCGGCATGAGTCTCACTAGTCTAGCATGGTATGACGGTATGACTCATGACCCACAGTCATACGTTCCTTTAAGACTCTCGAACCCTATCGACGCACGCAAAGTGCACACTGTCTTTGAGGGAAGCCCCTACACAACATCCCGTTCTGTCCTGCTGGATCTTCATGTCCAGAGCCTTAGTTCACGACCACGCTTAAGTCAGTCATGCGGCCATAGGGCCATAGTCTAGTCCATAGTCCATAGTCGAGTCACGAGCCAATAGTTACAATTTACAATCCAGTAGGTAAGTCAGCAGTAGGTAAACACACAACACTCACAAGACTACAGACTAGGAACAGGACTGGACTGGGGGGAACCAACCCTCAGAAGCACCAACTGACACCAATGCCAGCGAGAACTACCTACCTACACTGGACTGAATCCTGGTTCCCTAAGAAAGCCTAAACTAACTTGAACGTCATCTGAACCCCAAGGCCAAAAAAGAACTATATGATTTATGCTAAATGTTGAAATGATTCATAATTTATTATTTATTGTTTATTTATTGCCACAAGCCCACAAATAATAACGGGAACCCGGGCACAGAGTCTTTATGTAGTTAGCGCTACTCTGAAACAGAATCTGAACCTGAATCGCAATGAATGCCAACGCAGCAACGTTCACAATCCAGTTCTTCTTGGCCGCAAGTGTGCGGCACTTTTTCTTGATGTCCGCGGGTGCTTTCTCTTCGAAGTAATCACCAATCTCGATCCAAGTGCCTTCCTGACCAGAGGAGGGGCTTTGGTAAACTATCAACCTACTTCGAATCTTATTCCGGATTCCGGCCTATTAAACATAACTTTTTCGCAAACTTCCTATTCCTATTTCCTAGCTCCAGGTCAAGCTACAAACCACTTCCACTTCTCCCTATGACATCATCTTATCACCTTCTGCCTCTTCCCGGAACATACCCCAGCTTCCGCCTGCTGGAAGTTGATGTAGGAGCTCGTCCGTTGCTCAGCATACAGACGCACATTGATGGCCTCGTGCCGTGGCTTGGCACCAGGTTGAAGGCACGTCTGTCGAACGTGATTGCGTCTCAGGTTGATGAACCTGGCCGACACAAGCTTGTGGCTGCTGTAGTCAACCCGCCGAACAAACAAAAAACTTCATGTTCATCCTAGTGAATGCCAGCGCATCAGACACCCACACTAAATTGGTCCCAGCCACTTATCGTTCAATGATGGCATCATTCGAAGTATCGCGATAAACTCCCGGACGGAAAGACGCTTGAAGGAGCCTCTTTTCACGTAGAAGCACTTCAGGCACAACAACTTGTTGTCGCCTTTGGAACTGACCACCAGGAGGACGTGCCCAGCAGGGGCATCCTCGCCGGCGTGGAACTTTGATAGAATTGAATTGAATGAATTGAATGAATTATTGAATAGCACTGGCACTGACTATATTGACTAGGTAGGATGAGAAACAGGATTGCCAATCGTGGCCAACAGAGCAAATACCGATACAGTATACAGTATACAGTATATACATATTATATTACATGATAATGTAATAATGATAAATGATAATGATACTGTATGAATGATACTTTAAAAACAGTGGTAAACAGGAAAAGACCAAATACCCTGATATCGCTGATATCCCAAATAGCAATCACGAGCACAAAACATGAAAATGGGTCCCGGTCTTGGGCTCCAAATTCTTGGTTGCAGGCAGCACAGCAGCCTATAGCCAGAGAAGAGAGGTCCACCTCGCTGGTGTCGATGCCCATGGCCTGCAATGATTCCTCCTCATGCAGCTCAGCCTTTGCCTTCGCCTTTGGCGGCATGGAGAGCTCCAAGGGCTCCAAAGTCCAAAGCTTCACAAGATGCAACTCGAGATACCAAAACGACTTCAGTATCAATCTACTTGCGTCCATCTACGATGGAAGCAAACGGTGACAACTGTGGCAAGAGCAACCAAGCAATGCGGAATTGCACGCTGCACCACTGCAGCTGCACTCTGCACCCACACGGCTTCGCAGGATCTGGGCTCAAACCTTTCGTTCATTTCTACAACGCAATACGGCAATGCGTGCGACGATTGACAATGGCCCTTCGATTTGGCGTGTTGAAGATGGGGCCTGTGCAGGCTGTGCCCTTTCAAGACTGTCAAGACTTGCAAGAGCAACACGGAATACCTAATATGAAATATGTAACATGTAACTGTATGTGTCATGTGTCGCGCTGTTACCTCTAATCTAGACTTGCCCACACCCGCAACACGGCCGTGGGCCTCACATGTTGTCAACAGCTTCAAGCTGGAAAATATGGCCGCATCTACTTCAGTGCTTGCGCACAGAATCAAAATTGCAGGCTTGCTGCCTGCGTGCCTGCACTGTCGGTCCAAGACGGAACCTTGTCCCTAGGGATTGCCGCTGCGGTGGCTGCAGCCTGCATCATCTGACAAATCCGCTTGTTCTGAAACGGTCCTTTGCGAATCACACAAAGCATTCCGCTCATGATCCACGAGCAAGGTAACTTGCTGCAAGATCTCCCCACACACGGATTTTAGGGTGGTGTCCATGCACTGCCACTCAAAATCGGCCAACACTGACATCAGTTCACGTCCAAACCCCTGCGCTAAAGCCTCATCTGCAGCACAGTCCGCATGCAACCAGAAAATGCTCCTCAACGGCGTAGATCCAGGAAACCTGTCCACCCATGACACCATCGGGGTGCCAACTGCTATCGAGCCTAAGCAATGATCGCATAGGGTAGGCTGCGCAGCAAAACTCAGGATGCTCACATCAATGGGTGGCCATGGGTCTTGCTGCTCAGAGAGCGCGGAGGCACTCTGAGCACTCCTGTTACTCTCCAGCTCCGAGTCCTCATCCGACTGAGGGCTATCATCATGATCTGCAAAGACTTTCCTTGGCTGACAATCCCCAACACCGAATCACATACTGATGTTCAGAGCTCCACGCTGCCACAAGACATGTCTTTCAGAAACAAGGAAACCGGGAAACCATACCAGCTACACGGCTACACGGGACCACACGCCGGGCCTAAAGAACAGACTGGAACCTGACCTGAACACATAAACGCAACGAGCTTCAGCAATTTCATTTGCGAGACCACTGGAGGCTCTGGGTTGAGAGCCAGGGACACTGCTGGGCGTCCATCATGGCCCGGAAGTAGGCAAGTGACAAAGGAAAACAAGATTGCAGCCGCGACTGGCACGCTCCAAGATTCACCTTTGCTGTCCATATATGTGGTTCAGACTGATATGACATGATATGATGACTTATGACGGCTGACTGCTGCTACCCACACAAAGCCATCCACAGATCACTTCGCAGACACATGTTACATGATTTACATGACTCTGAGTACATGACTTGACAATGATACACAGTCAACACAGATTCAGATTCTCTCAACACACTGAAAAGTCTACCCAGTCGCCTGCCAACTTGTTCATGTCTTGGTAAGACATGCCATCCAGCTCCAGGCCAGCAATGTCGAAGCCTTGAACGGCCAACAGGTCCTGCAAGGCAGAAAGAATTCAGGCCGCACGCGGCTTGTGACTTGAATGATCTGAGAGATATCAACCAATCACTCAGACTCACTGTTATCTGGCATCACAACCACGGTCTTCAAGAGATGTCTGAGTTGTTATGTTGTTGTCAATGTAAGCCAAGTACCAAGACAGACGAAACCACCGACCACCCGGAGTGTTCGGAATATTGCCGAAGCAAAAGCAAACCGCAACCGAAGCCTGCCCCGTGAGGAACTTCCGTGTGGCGAAGTCATAGAGCTTGACGGATGTCGTCACGGCAGTCATGTGGCCGTCGATGCCGATGTGGTGTCTGCTGGCCGATCCTACAGACCGCAGGACAAAACTAAACAAAGCCAAAATCAGACAGTGACAAGCCTGTCATACACACGGTCGAAGGGACAATGCATCTAGGAACATCATCTCCAAGACTCTAGATATTCCGTGCCAGACAATATAACCTGACAACCTGCAAGCAACTGACACCACATGCGCAGTGCAAGCAGGCTGCTGGCCAGGTCCACGTTGCAAAGCCGATCCACAGGATCAATCCCACGTGCCTTGCAAAGTCTTATGCAGCACTATTACTAGACTGGACTGTTACCGTATTACCCATTGCCCATTGCCAAGAAAATCTGCCGCAACTGCCAATCTTGCTCCTTAATTCAACCGGTATTGGTGGCATTGCATTGGCATTGGCCCTGAACGCTCATTCCATGCCTGGGGCCAGTTTATCATCACCATCACCAGACTCAATCAAACTGAAATGAAACCAGTTGAATTGGACCCGACAACTCCAGCAGCATAGGGCGGCCAGTCACCATAGGCAATATGGACTAGTATGCTGGGCCGAATGTATTATGTGACTAGGCTGACTAGGAGACAGGAGACTATGTGACTCTGTAACTATGTGACTCTGACTCTGACTAAAGTATATCGAAAATCACATCGAATCATATCATATCGTATCATAATATCATATTCAGAATATAATATATAATATAAATAATATATAGTCTATTGTCTATAGTTATAAGTAGTTATAAGTTATAATTATCTATAAATTGCCATAGTTATTTCGGTTGTTATGTACCGTTATTACCGTTATGATATGATATATAATTATATAATATATGTTCTATAAGCCTGTTTTATATACAGTCCAGAACGGTTCGGAGCGGTTGCGGACTATATTTAAATACTTCTTGATATATAGTCCAGAACGGTTCCGAGCGGTTCCGGACTATATCTAACCAGCGGTTCTATTCCGGACCATTTGGAACTATTTGGAACTATTTGGAACTATTGGCTCTGGGAAGTTATATATAGTCCAGAACGGTTCCAAGCGGTTGCGGACTATATTTAAATGCTTCTTTATATATAGTCCAGAACGGCTCCGAGCGGTTCCGGGCCATATCTAAACTGGTCCTTGTATCATATATGATATGATACCATATCATATCATAAATTCATAAAAATTAAAATAGTCGAGATGATTTGATATGGTGATATGAGGATATGATATGATATGGTTATGAGTTATGAGTTTTGAGTTATGAGTTATGATTGATTTTGTTAACTTATGTCACAACTGAGCTTATTGGCTAATGGGCCACGGCCTATGGACCTGATAATCTTCTGGCCTAGCCTGCCTAGCCTAGCCTAGTCCTCTGGTGTGTCGTTTTTGGGCCTGGGCCTGGGGAGCCACCGCAACCGCACAACAGGGCCTGGGGTGCAAGCAAAGTGCACGCAGGAGTGCGTACTGGATATCCAAGCTCTCTCTCTCCCTCTGGTTGAACATGGCCAACTCTTCAGCAGAAAGCCGCCCACAATAGCCACCCCCAGCATCTGCATTCAAGCTCGCCCGAAAGCCTGGTTCTTGGCGTCCCCAGCAGCGGACGTTCGCCCGTCCTGATTGGGGGGGGGGCAGGGCGGGAGCTTCTCTGCTAGTGACTCAGGACCTGTTAGTGTTGGTGGCCTGGGGACATAAGCAGAAATATGACTGGGACTATATATAAACCCCCTCAAACTTCCATTGGAACTATATATAAATATAATTTCTTGGGACCCCCGTGACCCGCCCGGCGACACTCCCATGTCCTTGGCCACGGCTGGCACTGTTGGCACCAGACCCAAGGTGTCCATAACAAACGCGTTGTAGGCTTGGATCTCTTGGATGGTGTTCCGGCTTGGTAGCTGGTTGGGCAGCACATGAGATATAATGTGCTTCAGTGACTGCATGCCAGCCACGTCAACCAAAGTCTTGTGCACAAGCACAAAATAGACCCTTTTCCTGCTCTGCGGCAGGCCGAATCTGGATGCCCTGTCGGTTGGCACACATAAATTCACATAAACACACACTCTCTGTCTATCTCGCTCTCTCTTTCTCTCACTCCCTCACACATGCACTGCATACATCACTGGCTCACTTACTTGCAAAGCTGAGCTACTCGAGGGTCACTGTCTCGACATGGTACTCTTTCAAGAAAGCCAGGCCGATCTTTTCTCCATCATCCAGCTTGCCGTACAGCATGAAGTCCAGTGGTGTCTGCGGGCGGTTTTGAGTGGAACAGGTAGGGGGAATCCGAGGCAATCGTCTTAAGTCTTAACACACACCGTCACACACCTTCAGATTCACCTCAGGAGACCTGTGGCATCACCTGCATTGTCACTCTGCACACCGTACAAAGACAAAACCGACAATACAATACCCTTGCGGCAATTGCGGCCCTTGCAAATGAAACTAACCGTACTAACCTATCTCGACATAACTTAGAAATAAGTAGTAGCAGTAGAAGTAGAATTGTAGCTGTAGATTTGTACAATGAATGATTTGAACTCTGCGACCCTGGGCCTAGGCTACAACTGACAGCTGAACGAGCGTGTTTTTTGGAACCTGCATGCAATCGTCGCTGGCAGTCGTCTTCTCAGAGAAGACCCAACGCTGAATTATTCAGCCGCTTCAGCAAAGCAGAACACTTTGAGTAATTGCCAGCTGCTGAACTTTGCATCGTTGGAATCACTCTCGACTCCTATGACTCACGCTGCTCATGCTGCTTCTCCTGCTTCTGGTGTGACTCGGCAATACCCATTCGAAAGCGCTCATCGCATTCCACAACCCGCTCAAGGCGAGCCCCCAACTTCCACGCAGATTTCCATTCCTGTGTCGATAATAGCACTACTGCACTGCTTTAGCATTCAATTCAACTAGTAGAGCTCCCCTACAAATTAAACGACTAGACTATACTGTAATACTTAGTAATACTGTAATCCTGACTATATACTGTATACATATATGAATTACTTATAACTTATAGTTTCACGAGTCTAGTCCGGTTTCATACTGAGCTGTAGGCTATAGGTTATAAATAAATTATAAACTATAAGTTATAGTTTATAATTTATTTATAACCTATAGCTCAGTATGAAACCGGACTAGACTCGTGAAACTATGGTAGAAGTAGTAGAAGATACAAACAAATGGTTGCTTCACTTCATCAAGTCATGGGTCTGAAAAGCTAAGCTCATCAATCCTTCGGATCAATTTTGGCACATCGTAACGTCCTGCTTCTACCAGGGCAATGGCCATCTTTGATGAAAAATAATTCCGCGCTGAAGACATGGATGGAGCCGGAAGCTACCTCGGAGTGCTTTCTGAAATGATCTGCTCTTCAAGTTACAGCGGCTGCGGCCTGCGTGTTGCATCACAATTCGAATCCTGCTGGCACAACTCATCTGGGCTATTGCGCATGTGCCGCATGTAACATACACACTCACAAAACAAGTGCACACTTTGCAGCGCAAGCTCTCACAACCGCAAGGAAGGCCCTTTCGTCGCAATCCGACATCCAAGTCCAAACCGCCAGGCCAGACCAAGTAATGACTCCTGGTCCATACATATTACATACCGTTACATAAGTTACATACCTAAAACTACATTACATAACCAGAAGCCAAACTCTCTATGTCTATTACTTGTTTGGCAACGAGTTTGAATTTAGCATTTGGGTCCAGGCTTTGTGCACAAACTCGGGGGCCTCGATGGTGATCCCGTGTCATGGACATTGTGACATTGTCAAAGACTGTAGACTATGACGACTCCTGACTATTCTGAATTCTGACTTATGACTTATGACACATGACTTGACGACTCTGTGACTCTGTGACTATGATGCTGAAGACAAGGGTATAAGGGTCCCCAACTTAGGATCCACGTCAAGTCTTAGGATCTTAGGAGCCTAGGGTCTATAGGTCTATAGGGTCTATTAGGCTATATGATTATATGATGACTATATGGGCTATATGGCTATATGAGTCTATGAGCTATAGGCTATGGTCTAGGTAAGGTCTAGGTCTAGGGACTCGGGCCTAGGGTCCTGCCTAGGGTCCTTAAGCCAACTGGTAATTGACCTTAACTTACCCTAACAAAGAAAAACACACGCAGACTGAAACCGCTAAGACCTTGATAATAATAATTAATCACTGATAATACCTTATCATTATCACTTACCACGTATCACCACCGATCACCTTATCCGTGTTCCGCACTAGACCCTAGGCCGCCCTAGAGCCTAAAGTTTCGAAAACGGGACTCCCTCATGGCTTTCGAAACCACGCCGACCTCTCTTTTTTAAGCTGCCGGCGGTCACCACTTCCTCGCTTGCAACGAACTGAACAGGTGCCTCTGCTGCTGTCGGTGCCCATTTGCTCAGACTGACTCACAGCCTAAGCGCTCAAGGCCTGCCTGATACTTCGAGCCATTTCAACAACCTGATTGGGCACAGCAGGCGCGCTGCTCGAAGAGCTCGCACTGCTCATCTGCAAGATGTTGTCAAGGCGTCGCAAAGCGACCTCCTTCAGTCCAGTCGTCTTGACGAAATCGATGACACAGGACCCGTGAACCCAGCCAGGAGGACGGTAGAGGGAGTGATGCCAAGAAAAACGCACAGAGTTCTTTGCAATCGCACTCTTGCAGCTCAGGCACACTGATCGTCCGGAGGCCGCCAAGGCACCACTGTCCAATCCCAGCTCCTTCGCAAAAAAACTGGAAGTTCGTCCTGGCACTGGCTGGTTTGCACGAATGCTTGCTGCGATCTCCGCCCTCGCTGCATCTGCATTGTCGATCTCTTGCTGCAGTGCTGGCAGCTGTTTTTCTTCTTCGCGAACACTGTCTGCAAGAACCACACGGTCACCATCTTCCAGCGTCTCAGCTGGGTCCGCTGCCTCCGAATCAGAGTCGGAGGCTTCGTCATCAGATACCTCCTGGGCTGCTTTCTTGTCCGTGGTTTTGCGTTTCCGAACAACTTCGGACTTCGGCTTTGCTTTCTTCTGCTTGCGCTTGGGTTTTGGAACTTTCACCCCAAATGGCAAAACAACTGGACCACGCTTTGCTTTCTGTGGAATCTTCACGTCCAGATTGAACGAACACACATGATCTTGAGGCGCAGCATACAGCTCGCACTGTCCACGAATCTTCGCTTGGAGGCTCCAAACCTCAACCTGGATGCAAGTGTCACTTGCACCACCCGCCATTTGGAGCAGCTGCAGCATCACTTGGCGGTCGGTTTCAATCACTGGGGCACCGTTCCTCAGCTCGAACTTTACCTCGGACTCTTCTCTCTCATGCACGGATACCTTCATCAGCATGCGCAAAGCGGGCCTCTTGAGTGCGACGCCCAAAACATAAGCAAGGCAGCTTGGGAAAGTGGAGCTTGTGAAAGTCACCAAAGCACTTGACTTGATGTTCCGGTGCTCAAGATGGCGTCGCAGGCAACTTCTCCACTCCTCCACCAACCCGTACAACGGGTGCTGCATGCAAAGCTCAGGACAACACTGAGCTTGAGTTGGAGCATCCTCCTCCTCCAAGTCCTCAGCCTGCATGTCCGCCTGTGCTGCAGAAAGAGGCTTGTGCATCGTCTCTTGCAAGAAATCCGCGATGTTCTCGTCAGTCGTTCTGATGTCTATCAAAGATGCCTTCAGCGCCCCAAGGCCTAAGTCTCTATGAGTCTCTACGAATTATACCGTAGTTATACAGTTAGTTATACAGTTATAAAGTTATACAGTTTTACAATACAGTAGTTATACAGTTTTACCGTTACTGCAAGTTATACCGTTATAAGTTATCAGTTATACAGTTATAGTTATAGTTATAGTCATAGTCCGTTATACCAAGTTATACCGTTATACCGAATTTTACCTTATAACTTATAACTACTATACCGTACACCGCTTACAACTTGCAACTCACAAGCAATGCACCATTGGCCGTTGAGGTGCTGTCTCCCAACTGTGTCGGGAGGTTCCAAATTGGATGGTGTTGAAAAGCTTCCGTATTCAACTCCAATCGTCTCAACGATCTCTTCTTGCAAGCATTCTTCCAAGCACTGTCCACCGGAGCAGCATCAGCCGCACCCTCTGCTGCTTTAGCCTTTGTGGTTGCAGCCGAATCAAGCGGTTTCTGCTCCAGCTCATCCAAAAGGGTCTGCTGGTGCGCGGCTTTGACAACGAAGGGCTGCTTCTCCTCCGAGCTCATTCGACGCCACTGAGCCGACAACTCCCGGATCCTGGCATGGTATTCATCGCCTTTCAAACTCTGTCCAGCCCTGCCTTCCCTCTGGAATACATTCCAGGCACAGATGCTGCGAATCTTGCGCTTGCCGGCTTTATCCAGCCTCAGATGCTTGTCCTGGGCCGTCTCGCGAGTCGTTTTGGTGCGGCTTTTCCCATCCTGGGCTGCAGACTGCAGACTCACTGAGCTGTGTGTACAGTAACAGTAAAGTAACAGTACTAGACTAAAACAGTACAGTTAGTACAGTACGAAGAATGTAGGTATGTGAATGTGAAATGTAACATGTAAAGTAACACCCGGAACTCGAGACACACATCGAGCAACCTCGGTCTGCTGTGTCTTGACACCGGACATCTTCTTGATACTTGAAGCTGTTGCCTTTGAAGGCATCGTCTCGACGCCGGCAGCAGACTGTACCCATTGATTCTGGGCTACAGCGGAATGTAGGAGGCTCATTTCCACTGCTGTCCGGCCGTTCCGGACGTTCTGGCTTGCTCTTTTCGACACAACCCACTGAAGCTGCCCGTTTTTGAGCTCAACAGCGTCTGATGTTGTTGGCGAGAACGTGCTGATGTCACTGAGCAGGGATACGATCTCTGATTGTGAAGCCATTTGTTCTTCCACTGTCTTCACTTGCAAACCCGAAAACTTCTTCAAGAGGACGGTTGTAAGTTCGTGGTCCACGCAGTTCTGGCAAGCAACAGCTTCTGCCTCAAGCGCAGCCCAAGCATCCAGGAAGGCAGCAAGGTCGAGATCGCAAAGCTTGAAAAGCTTAAACGGTGCACGGCTCAGCTCGTAATTGCACCTTCTGTGCAGGTCAGTGCACAGCAGTACGATGGCATCAAAGATCTTGTTGAGGCTATCGTCTGTAGCCTCAAAGCCCATGTCAATGAGTTCAAACAGGCCTCGCTCCATTATGACCGTGTACTCCCGCAGCATTTGGTCACCAAAGTGACCGCTCATGCACCTCAAGAACAGTCCACGGCTCTTTGAACAAAGCTCCTGGTACTCGGGGTGGCCCTTTCCCAGAAAGGTCAAGTCATGCAGGATCCGGGTGTGGGACAACAAAGTGTTGATTCCGTGCTCCAAAGGCTGGATCAAACAGTCAATAACAATCGATGCTTGCTGGAAGGAAGGCTTGGAAATCTCGTGAATGACCATCCTCCGCCGTGCCCCATTTTGTGCAGCAAAGTCTCTGTCAGAATCCAACGCTGAGGCGAGAAGGTGCTGCCAGTAGTTCTCCTCTGCAGGAGCCACGCCCCCAGGCCTGCTGGAATCCTGTAGAAACGCATCCACATACTGAGCCAGCTCACCGTCATTTGCACTTTGAACAGCACTGCTTTCCATCTCGCACAGCACCCGGCGTAACAAGCCAAAGCAAGACCCGGCAAGCTTCATGTATGAAGATGCAGGCCCATAGTGCTTCATCCGATACAACAGCGGGGTGGGAAATCCTCTGCTCAAGAGTGGTACTGCTTGTGCAAGGAATTTGCACACCGATTCGTCGTGTGACGAACAGCATGGTGGCTCTCCCTCCCTCGGCAACAAACAGTGGTGAACTATGACGTCTTTCGTGGAATCACCGTTAGCAAAATCCAGGGGAGACCGAGCAAGCTTTTGAGCTCCCAAGGACGTGCTTTGATAATCTCGCAATATCCAAGCAGTTCGCTTCTGCCAAACAGGCATCTCAGGCGGGAATGCTGCAACCGGGATTCCTTCCATTTCAAACCGGATCGGTTCGTTTGTATTTCCAACCGTGACTCCGTCTTAAGGTCGCGGGAGTAATTTACTCTAGCCTCTAGCCTAAAACCGAGTACAGTACAATTCTGACAATTCTAGACTTCGAGTCTATTCTCAATAGACTAGAAGTCTAGAATTGTCAGAATTGCATTGGTCTATTCTGAACAAATGGAATAGTGGACCCCTGGATCCAAGCGGCGGACGAAGTTGCCAGGCTGCTGAACCAAGGATATCAAAGCACCAGCAAAACTTCTTCGAAAGGAGTTCAGCTCGAAAAGATGGCCCAACCTCACTAATGTGGCCCAATATCTCTCTATGGACAAGACCAAGGGCCGCCTGATGAGTGCACACTGATGGTTCAGACACTTCAAGCGAAGCCCCAATGTACGATGAGGCACATCCGCAGAATCTGTCTCCCTGCGCCGTTGCAGAAGACTATTCTTTTCCATGTTCCACGCTGTGTTGTTTGCCTTGAGGGCATCTCCCATGAGTACCAGCGTTTGCCAGGGAGATTGAGATGCAAGATTTGCAGGGCATTGCAAACTCAATAGCCTGCCTCCCACACCCGTCCCTGTGATCAGCAGCCAAGCCTTGAACGCCTCGTGGATGCTTTTGGCCTTTCCAGAAGGGAGGATCTGCAGAGGTGTCGGCATGTGCATGCACTGGGTGGCCCCATCAGCATACCGTAAGACCAAGCTTTGTGATGTATTCATGACGGTATACACAACGCTCTGATCGAAGCCTGGCCGGCCTTGAGCTTTCAGTTTCGTGGTTGTGTCATCCGACACGACAGTGTTCAAAACATGTTTCATTGGCAAGGCATCCGAGCCGCTTGAACCGCGGAAAAGCTTGACCACTGCATCAACCATTGCCTGCAAAAAACTCTTCACACATCTAGCTCGTTCTCTTGAGAACTGGTGGCGCTCATCCTTGTCCATGAATGTGGTCCCATATTTTGTTCGCACAAACAGCCTGGTGAACTGCTCGCGCTGCAATCGTGACTGGAAAGGCTCTGGTGGCATGCAGTTTGTGGCAGCTGCCACCTCTGCATCTTTGCTTTTTGCGACTCTCGAAGCCGCCACAGCAATTCTCGCTTTCTCGGTCTGCAGTCTACGTCGCATGAGACGAACATTGGGATCATCATTCTGTCTGGGCTCAGCATCTCCAGACTCAGCCTCGAGATCAATCTCAGGCACGATGCCGTCTGCCACTCTGTTTCTCCATAGACGCTGAAACGGCATGGCACAACATACAACGCATGTCACCGAGTCATTTCACACTCAACCGCCATCGGCTGTCAGAGCTATCATGTCATGTCAATGCCACGACAATGTCCACAACAATATCATATGAATACCACATGACAAGATCTATCAATCACAATATAGGCCCAACCGGTTTTGCAGCTTTCTACAGCTTACAGCTTCCATATGGAGTGAGCTCGAACATTGCAGTGTGTTTGTTCTGTCTGTGTTTTTGTTGTTCTGTTCAATACATCCGACCTTCTGCTACTCAGTACTGATATAATCTGCTGAGCTTGAAGCTCCCAAGCTGATCGGCGATCGGTTTGCCACGGGACAGCAGAGCAGCAGAATGATTTGCAAGTGCAGTGTACGTTAGAAGCTGCCCCCACCCTGTAATAGTGGTATAATAGGAATATAATAGGGCCCTAATATACTATTAATATAATCCGTATGGTCGGTATGGTCACTATTACAGGGTGGGGGCAGCTTCTAAAGTGTACGCTAGTAGCCACACAAACCCTCGACGGCTTCACCCGACCTTGTACTTGTCGAAGAAGTCTCCAGCGTTGCCAGCTGGGAAGGGGTCCGAGATGCTTGGCACCTGCACAGCCCAAGTCCCAAGGCCGAACGGTTTCACAATACTCAAACTCTGACAGCTGTATCAGGCTGTATTACCATTGAACCACCGCCCGCAACAGCTGCATGTGCTTATGTTGGCAATGCAAGAGCTGCGGCCTCTTCCAGCAAGCCCAGAAGCGGCATCCTGTCTCCTGGGCTTTCGGCGGCTTCAGGCTTGGGCTATTTGTGGCTCGAAAACTCAGACCATCAGACAATATGTAAAGTCTGTGTGTACTAGTGTGAACTTAATTCAGAACTGCAGTACTGCAAATCAGAAAGGATAAACGCCGTCGTGGGTCGAAAGTGGCGGGCTGTGTTGAGAAAGGCCTCTCCGTTCACTGTATCGAAGAAAGGGTTGAAGTTGGCGCTGCGCTTCCGTCCATTCAGTCTAGAGAAAGGCTGGCAAGGAGGCCCGCACGTGTAGATGTCCTGCACTGCACTGATAGCACTAACATCCCCAAACAACCCGAAAGCCCTCTGTAATAGATTAGGAAATTAAGCAGCCCCTGAATCCTGAATCTTGAAGCAATCCTGAATCCTGAATAATGGCCTAGTCTCGTTGTTGGCGGGCCGGGCGAATCCCAAGCCGTAAACTTTAAGGCCGTCTATAGGCCCTAAGTCTCCAAAAATCCCCAATGCCCAAGGCCGCAAAAATTAAGCCCCGGAACCCTGGCCAATTCCTGAAACCTTAGCGGGCCCTCAACCTCCAAAACCTAAACCAAAGTCCCTTGCCGCGGCCTTTGCCCTAAATCTAAACCCTCTACACTGCCTATGCAGCCAGCCAAAACCCTTGAGCCGAGCCTACAGCGCACCGCCTGGACTAACACAAACCCTGTATTTAACTAAAAGTCCACCGCCTATCTAAGCCTTACGCAGCCCCTCCCCCCTCATACTGATGCGATGGTCGACGACGGTATGATTGGGTATGGTGCTGATGCTCCTCTATAGGTGCAGTTCTGGCGCAGTCGGGGTTGTCGTGCACGAAGCATCGTCCGTCGTTAATCAAGTCGCCCACGTCCATGAAGATGTGTTGGACTTGGCTTTGCTAGACAGGAATCTTTGCAAGACAGCCACCATGTGACATGTCAGTACATCTGTGGGCCTGCGACCTGTCAGTCTACGGGCTCTAATTTAGTCTCTAGTCGTCTATAAGTCGCAGTCGTCTATAAGTCTACAGTCTACAAGTCTAGTCTATGGGCGCCTATTCCTCTGGGCATGGGCATGGGGTCTGTCACTGCGAGTCAATCCGATGCTAAGCTGAGGCTCCGTGAGGCCCATAGTTGCGAAGGATGAAATCCACCTTCGACTGGCTGCTCTCTAAGCAGGCCAAGGTGTGCCACGGCAGCTCCAGCTCATATCCAATCTGTCGCCTAAGGGCAAGGTGAAAGGTCCGATGCCAATGACTCCAGTAGCGTAACGGCTACATACGTAGCGCAACAACAGCACACAGCATGCAGAGTGCACACAGGTTACAGGCAACATAGGCAGTATACAGTGATATGGATATGATATGATATGAGAGCACAGTGTGCAGCATGCCGTATGCCCCTCGTGACTGTGCTCCCAAGCAGCAGGATGTATGTCCCGGTAGCCGCTCCAGCGCAACCCTCCACCAGCTTGATCCTTGAGTTGTTGCATCTGTCCACTACAGCCCCAAGCCCAAAACCTCGAACTTTACAGTCTACAGTCTATGGGGCGAGGCTGGGAGGGGGGGGATCGGTTTTTGGCGGGAGCACTAGGGTCGACGATACGATAGGCAAGCGGCTAGGGCTAGGTATGTAGGTGAGGGTAGGATTAGCAGGGTCCCAGGTGGAATAGTCCCAGGATCTGTTGCATACGCAGTGCTGCGGGAACCTTCAGGGCCTGGGCGAACTTCTTCACCCAGTCAAAGCAGGTCGGCGTCGGCACCGCCTCCGACCTGGGACACAGATTCATAGGCTATGGGCTATGGGCTATGGCCCCCATGGGCTATGGGCCATGGGCTGGGGCTTTGAGGTTTGGTACTGGAGAGTGGCTCAATCGAGATCTGACAACCAATGGGCCATTGGCCAGACTGTCACAGACTGTGACTGTGACCGTTACATAAAAGTCCGAGGTGCCCAGAAGAGCCTTCGGAACCACTGGCGGGGTCCATCCGAACTTTCAAACTTCCGCACAGCTACTTTGCGGCGTGGCTAGGCCAGGCACATGCGGCACACATCTCCGCAGAAAATGGCAGCAATGGTGTGGACAACACAGTTTGCAAGAGTCCACGAAACTCCAGCATGGCATGCCTGGCATGGTTCCCTTGAAATGCTACATACATCACATCACACATGAGTTCGCATGAGCAACTATTTCACCGGGGAGGGCGTCGTGGTGGTGGTGGAGGCGGAGGTCGCTTTGCGACCCTTTGCTCTGCCAACTTTGCAGCATGAATCACATGGACATGGCGTTCTTGTGGAGACACCCTGGGCACCCTGGGTGGAATTGCCAAACCCAATGCTTGCAACTGCTGTATGCAATGCGGCAATGGAACTCCTATTGCCTGCAGTGCCATCTTCTCCTGCTGAGCGTACATCGGGGGCGGAGGAGGCAGCTGTAGCTGTTGAGGTAACTGTACGTGTTCCGCATGTGGACGCATCTGTAACTTTTCTGTAGGCAATGGCAGCTGTAAGTTGCTCCCACGCCGCCTTCGGACACGGACACGCCTGCGGACTTTCACCTTGATCTTGACTCTCACCGCTTTTTTTCGCTTCTTCATGCTTGCATTGCGCATGGCACTACTCCTGGACCTGTTGTTTGGATTTGGGCCCCAGCAACGCCCAGATCATGCAGATACACACGGTACGCAGTGTCGTCACATGATAAGATGTGTGCCGCACATGCGGTATGCAGCGTGGTGACATGCTAAGCCCTGCGGCAGACACACCGTATGTAGTGTGGTTAAACCCCCAGGCTGTGCGAAAGACACATGGTAGGCAGGCACATAATAAGGGCCAAGGCTATTATATATAGTTCCTACCAGAATCAGACAGAATTATATATAGTTCCTACTCCAAAACAGCCTTACATAAATAAAGAGGCCCATGCCGCCACTAAACCCTTACAGATCTTGAACTCCGAGGGTGGGGCCTTGGACTCTGATGGAGCGGGGCACCCCTGATTTTTAAATCAGAACCCTTACAGATCCTTGAACTCCGAGGGTGGAGCTTTGGACTGATGGGGCACCCCTGATTCTTAAATCAAAGCTTTGACAGATGTTGAACTCCGAGGAGGAGGCCCTGGACTGATGGAGCGCCCATGATTTTCAGATCACCGCCTCTTAGTGAGCTTGAACTCCGGGGGTGGGGCCTCGGACGCCCCTGGTTGTTTTAATCAGAACTCTTTCAAATCTTGAACTCCGAGGGTGGGGCCTTGGACTCTGATGGAGCGGGGCGCCCCTGATTTCTAAATCCCAACCCTTACAGATCTTGAACTCCGAGGGTGGGGCCTTGGACTCTGATGGAGCGGGGCGCCCCTGATTTTTAAGTCAGAACCCTTACAGATCCTTGAACTCCGAGGGTGGAGCTTTGGACTGATGGGGCACCCCTGATTCTGAAATCAAAGCTTTGACAGATGTTGAACTCCGAGGATGAGGACTTGGACTGATGGAGCGCCCATGATTTTCAGATCACCGCCTCTTAGTGAGCTTGTCCTCCGGGGGTGGGGCCTTGGACGCCACTGGTTTTTCTTCAGAACTCTTACAAATCTTGAACTCCGAGGGTCGGGCCTTGGGTTGATGGGGCACCCCTGATTTCTAAATCACAACCCTTACAGATCTTGAACTCCGAGGGTGGGGCCTTGGACTCTGATGGGGCGGGGCGCCCCTGATTTCTAAATCCCAACCCTTACAGATCTTGAACTCCGAGGGTGGGGCCTTGGACTCTGATGGAGCGGGGCGCCCCTGATTTTTAAATCAGAACCCTTACAGATCCTTGAACTCCGAGGGTGGGGCTTTGGACTGATGGGGCACCCCTGATTCTTAAATCAAAGCTTTGACAGATGTTGAACTCCGAGGAGGAGGCCCTGGACTGATGGAGCGCCCATGATTTTCAGATCACCGCCTCTTAGTGAGCTTGAACTCCGGGGGTGGGGCCTCGGACGCCCCTGGTTGTTTTAATCAGAACTCTTTCAAATCTTGAACTCCGAGGGTGGGGCCTTGGACTCTGATGGAGCGGGGCGCCCCTGATTTTAAATCACAACCCTTACAGATCTTGAACTCCGAGGGTGGGGCCTTGGACTCTGATGGAGCGGGGCGCCCCTGATTTTTAAATCAGAACCCTTACAGATCCTTGAACTCCGAGGGTGGAGCTTTGGACTGATGGGGCACCCCTGATTCTGAAATCAAAGCTTTGACAGATGTTGAACTCCGAGGATGAGGACTTGGACTGATGGAGCGCCCATGATTTTCAGATCACCGCCTCTTAGTGAGCTTGAACTCCGGGGGTGGGGCCTTGGACGCCCCTGGATTTTTAATCAGAACTCTTACAAATCTTGAACTCCGAGGGTCGGGCCTTGGGTTGATGGGGCACCCCTGATTTCTAAGTCACAACCCTTACAGATCTTGAACTCCGAGGGTGGGGCCTTGGGTTGAGGGGGCGCCCCTGATATCAGGTTCACCGGGTTTACCGGGTTTATCGGGTTTATCGGGTTTACCGGGTTTATCGGGCTTATCGGGTTTATCGGGTTTATCGGGTTTATCGGGTTTATCGGGTTTATCGGGTTTATCGGGTTTACCGGGCTTATCGGGCTTATCGGGTTTATCGGGTTTATCGGGTTTAACGGGTTTATCGGGTTTAGCGGTGCGCGTCCGCTGTTTGCGCGCGCAATGGGAATTTGGGCTTGAGGTTTTTTGGTTTCGGTGGGGTTACCCTAGCACAGGGTTTAGGGCTTTGGGCTCAGAGTGAACCTTCTAAGACCAAACGGGAAACTCAACATATTCCCAACTTGAAGCCGCCTAGAAGCTATGAGTGAAGTTGGTGATGAACATCCAGGCCGCGGAGTAGCCGATGCGAGCGAAGAAGGACACGGTGAACATGAACCGCCACCCCTCGCTCAGCGGACGTCCCAGAGGGTAGGTACCAAGCAGCCAGATGCAGGCCCACAGGGAGAGCACGAAAGCATTGTGCTTGATTCGGCGGGGGATCCACTTGCTCCAGAACCTGAGCAGGAGGGGAATTGACATGCAAGCCAGCAACAGGTCTGGCCTTTTTCACTGCCTTCCTGTAGCTTTGATCGGCCACCAACCTAAACGAGCCGGGAAGCTCCTTGTTGCACTTGCCACCTGCACCCTCGTCGGGGAAGTGCATCCACCACTCCAAGGCGAACAGGGAGCCGGTGTCGTTCAGGCCAAAGAAGTGGATCACAGGGATAAAGGGAACGGTGAGCAGGTATTTGTACCAGTTGGAGCTCCATGGCCCGGCCCACTGCTGCAGGGCGTAATGGAACTCCTCAGGGTCCCAGCCGAACTCGCCCTGGATCAGCAAGTCCACAGTTGAGGCATGATGCCTGTTGTGCTCGAGGACGAATTCCTCCCACGGCAAGCTGAAAAAATCGGCAAAGGGGTGCGTCAAGAAGCGCTGCCACTCGTAAACCGGGAAAGTTGCGCCATGCATCACATCGTGATCGATGTAAATGTTCTGGATGGCGATGTACGAGAACGGGACGCCGAAGCAAAGCGTGCAGGTCCACCAGTAGTCCGGGAAGGTAGCCAAGGCTGCACAGTAGCCGATCACCATCAGCACTTGACTGCAGAAAATTGCGGTAAGGACATTCCACCTACGTAGTCCAAAGTTGGGATAGCATTGAAAATGTGAATTGCTATTTCTTCTTGGGTTTAAGTGCTCATAATAATGCAAAACGTTGCCCAACTATGACAAAGATTCATGTAGATCATCTGCTCCTCGCTCGCTCAAATTGCTATTGAACAGCACACAAAGAGCAAAGAATGTGTTCTCACATCACATTCGCAACTCTAGACAAATGACTGAGCCAGACATCCCTGCTAGGAATCGAGACACAACAACAAGGACACTTTTAGCCAAAGCACCGGGGTGATCTTGGTGAACAAGAAGGCCAGATTCTGCGGCATGGGGTCTGGCTTGTTCGGAGTGGGGAAGAGCCGATTGGTCTTCAGGCTCCTGTTCTCGTTGTTCTTCTGAACGGAGAGCATCTTGTCGTTGCTTTGCGCAACGCCTGCTGCATTGGGATCCCCCTCGCCCGGCAGAGCATTCTTGAGCGCAGCAATTTCATGGTCGTGAGCGTACCGCTTCTTCAGCTCCTCAAGATACTCATCTGCTCCATAGAAGATCGATGCCTTGCTGTGGGCGGCCTTGCCGAGGAGCGGGGCACTTGTCGCCATGGGCACGATGGCAACTGAAAACTGAAAAGGGTCGGTTTGACTTCGAGACTTCAAAGTCTGGCCTGCGGCATAGGCATGCTTTCTGTGTGCAGACTTCCTCTATTGCCTCTCGCTCAACCGTGTGACTGGGTGAACACATGTACTCCCAGCACCAGTTGTCTGGTGTCTCCTGTCCTATTCGCACGACTATCATCCGCACCCATCCTGCAACCACAAGCACTAGACATCAGTAGACTAGCAGTAGCATCGACTGTGCTGGCGGGAGTGGTTGTTAATTTAAACTGGCCGTTGTCGCCGGCATAGCGCAAGCAGGTGCAGCAGAAACAGCAACAGGAAACATCCGTTTCTGTAGCAGTTAATTATTGCTGCTACTAAGAACCCAGAAACAAACTCTACACAATGATGGTAGACATGAGCATAGCGGCACTATTAAAAGTAGCTTCTTGCATGCAAATAGCAGCTACAGATGGTACAAACCGCAGCCATTGCCCGGGCACTGTAGCCGAGTGACTAAGAGTACCCAAAGCTGAACCCTTCCATGGCCCGTAGCTAGACATTACACTCACAGACGTGGAGCACGCATTTTGCTCTCCGCTCTTGGAGCACCACCAGGTTTGAATGCGGGCACATTTGTGCCATGTTGCAAATTGGAATCTCGTGTCGCTTTGAAGCCGGAAGCAAAGATCGCTGTTGAACTCGGTGCAAAGGGGCTTTCCAGGTCTGTTCAAAACGGCACGTGGGAAAAGCGGCTTTGGCCTTTGATCAGCGTCTGTCGTTAACTGCTGCCAAGCAGCTGAGGCCTGAGCCTACGGAGAGAACTACCCGAGGCAGTCTTTGAAGTGCTACATGCTGCATGCCAGATAGACTTTCAATGCCTACCTGGCAAGGGTGAGAGGTTGTGGTCGTGCGGCCCGGAACAGCACACAGTGCAACCCGCGAGTATTCCGTTCATAACTGATTATGCAAAAATCTGCTCCAAATCCCGTTCTACTTGTTGATGGTGTACGGAATGCTGAGCCACTGCTGCATCGAACCGAGCACCATTTGAAGGCTGAAGATGCCATGGCTTGGACTTCCCGAGGCCTCAGAGTGTCAGCAACTGAAAGGCAACGGTGTCATAATACATTTCCCTGCAACTGGAGCACTGGGTGGCCCAAAGTGGCCACGCCTCATTTCTTGGCCTTCTTGTCCTGTCGTGCAAACCGGTGGTGGATGGCAAGCATGGCATGCCTAGGCCTCGGACTTCGAAGCCCTTGAGTCAACGAGTGCTAGACGAAGCCGTCCTTCTTTTCCTTCTTATCTTTTTTGTCACCATCCTGCAAGCAAGATGCGCATAGACATGCATGAAAAGTCAGGGTCAGCATACAGGTAGCAAAGCCGGGGCAAGGCAGGAGTGCCTCCTCCTTGTCCTTTTTCTCTTTCTTCTCCTTCTCCTCCTGTCGTTTACATCCGTGTTGAGCCCTTTGTGCATGCAGCGCCCATCCAGCTCTGCGAAAAGCATTCTGCATTTCCCGGAGGTGGATACTTAGCTAGGCCACTGCAACGAGACAGAACGAGCTTGCAGTATCCACCAGCCCCAGCTCCAAGGTCTCCACAACAGACTGCTCGCCGCTCGCAACTGGTCCTTCTTGTCCTTTTTATCCTTCTTCTCTTTCTTGTCCTTCTTGTCCTGGCTGCACCACTGCCGCGCATGTTCTGGACATCTGGCGGGAGTTGCCTTCGCATCGGCCGGCTCATTGCCCTCGATCTCCTGCGCAGGATTCTGGATTGGAATCCTGGAAACTTCACACAGAAGAGGGCGACTCAGAGCCACTTGCCTGATGTCCAGAAAATCACGTAGCGAAGTGCCAGTATCGGCGAATAGCAAGGAAACTACATGTACGTGGCGCAGAAACCCGAGCCCTGCGCACACAACAACCATACACCCCGATCACACCCCTTGGGCCGCACCTCCATCGATTCCAACATGACGCTGATGTCACCTCACGAAAAGATGAGCATTGGAACCCAAAGCACAAAGTCGTGCACCGATGCTTCCGTACAGACGATAGAAAAGCATGTACGCACACAAGCAACCCAAAAAGCATGCAAACCCACAGACATGAAACGTGAACAGAGACACAAATGAGCATTCCAAATACTAGGTGCACATGTGAACATAACTCAGAAAGCGAGAGAGCGAGAGCGAGCGAGAGAGACAAAGCGAGCCAGGGAGAGGGAGAGAGAGAGAGAGAGAGAGAGAAAGAGAAAGAGAAAGAGAAAGAGAAAGAGAAAGAGATACAGAGAGAGAGGGAGAGAGAGAGAGAGAGAGAGAGAGACCCTTTCCACGGCTAAGCAAGGAGCCAACGTTCCTGGAGGCGACTGGCGAGGTGGAGCCTGGCCTCGGAAAGTCGAGAGCAGCCGCGCAGAGAGTCGATGGATCATGGGTGACATTGGGTCATGCTCTGGTGGTACTCAAGAAGACGTATATTGATGTCTTGGTGAATGTGACGCTGGCAACCATACGAGTAGCAGGCATAGTATGAACAGTACAGAACGGAAAAATTCAAGAAAAGACACAACAGCACGTCCGTACCAGCAAAACCGATCATGATGCCGATAATCAACAAATCCTTCAACCTAAACCTAAAAGCCGTGAACCCGAAAACCTGAACCCTTAAACCCTGAATCCTTTAAACCGTAAACCCTAAAATCTGAAGCCCCGAAGCCCAAAACCCTAGTAAAGCCTCAATGAATCGAGAGCCAGACCGAGATTTCATGCTGGCCGTTGAAGCGACCTTTGCCTCACCTCGGGGCTTCGGGGGTTCGCGGCTTAGCGTTCAGGGTTTCGTTCGAGGCATTGTGCCTTTAAAGGGTCATTTGTCCAGCGCGATGACGATGACCATCAGCAGAAGGTGTTGAGGTTGAGGGTTTTGGGGGGGCTTTCTTGTTTTGTGTTGTGGAGCACCCAAGAGGGCTTGGGAGATTTGTGGCTTGGGGTTGAAGGCGGCCGAACCAGCTCGCAAGTGTGCATCTGGGGACTGGGCCATTCCCGCTGCCGAGCACCTCAACTGCAGCTCTGCAATGAGAATCACTGCAGCCGTGCGTGCAGTGCATCATGAGCTCCCTAACAACTCCCAGCAACACGCAGTGTGTAGGAGAAGGAGGAAGGCTTCCTTCCTGCTTCACGTGATGCCGGGTCATGGACCGCCAGAGCCAGGAGGAACTCGGCATGCAGCTCCGGACGCTGCCTCAACTTCATGTCAGTTGAGAAAGACATCCTTCTATCGTTAAGCGTTGCTCTACCACTACCTCTGGCATTCAAGATGATAATACTCGTGTTGGTTGACCATTGGAACCTGTTGCTGCAGCGTGTTTTGTCATGTGACCGGATTTTTCGGAGCCGTGGGCCTGAGATTCCAGGGCCTATTCAAAGCCTCATGGGACTGCGTCCTAAAGCACGGCAGTTGACGTTTTTGTGAATGTCAGTGGGTCTTGCATGAAGCTCATTGATGAGCTATGGCTATGATGAGCTGCAAGAACTTTGTCATCCTCACCGAACTCATGGACACACGGCGTCCTTGCAGAAACGCTGCAAGCGGAGCTGCGTCATTGAAGCTCCTGGAAAAGAACCAAAGAACCTAACTGCGCCCGAAGCTGAGTTCTGCGCTCCAAGAAGAGCCAGGGACCCTCGCCCCCTGCTCTGACCGCGATGGAGCGGTCCTTCCAACAAGTTCGTGCGACGATGTGCGAGGTCTTCAGGGGCTGACTAGTTCAACCCTAGCCCGGACTCCTGCTCCTCATCAGAAAGCGATGTAAGTGGACCTCGCGACTCGCATCTGCCAGCTCTGCTGCGGCCAACTTGCAGAGTCTCAGCCCGTGGCTGCTTTCACCCAGCCCAGCCAGTGGCCCTGCGCAGGCCTGCGAGACTTCGCAGTCCACTCGCCGAGTCCGGATGACTCGCTCGCAGCGCAACTTGCGCGACACGTATGCCGATTTTGCAAGATCGTCCCACCTGAACTTTGATCAGCTCTGCGCTGCAAACCTCGGCTCCTGACTCCTGGTCAGAACGCGGCAGCGACGTGCATTAACGACTTTCTGAAATACACGACGGAAGCCCATTGAAGCCAAACCAAAGCAATGCTTAAACTTGGTTTTGGCATGAGGAGCCCAGATGACAGGACACAGGAGACACACCACAAGACGTCGGTATTGTCGTTAATCTAGTTTCGATTGCTTTTGCTCCTGTCTAAAGCCTCTTCTCTCTTTCGACCGGGTTGGTCCGTCCTGCTCCTCACAATTTCCAGCCCCTTGACCCCGCTGTTTCAAATTCTTATCTCAGCCTTGTATCAGGTAAGCGATTTGCCCCTTACTCTGTGCTTGCTCTTGGTCAAATCCTCATGTCGTTTTCGAGGTGTGCTGCTGTTGCTCAAATCTTTTCGTCCTTCTCGACTGGGTTGCTTCTGTTTGTCGAAATGTCCTCTTTGCCGTCGTCTCTGTCTCTTTCGGACGGCTTGCGCGACTGGTTTGCTCCGTTTTCGCAGATTCTCTAGTCTCTTTCAATCGGTTTCTCCATTCTTAAATGGTCAAGTCCCTTCCCACTGGTGTGCTCCTGTTTCGAATAGTATGCTTTCCTTTCTCACGCTATCCTTGTTATCGAATTCTGCGGTCGGCTTTGAGCCGGTGTGCGCCTATTTGTAGACTCTCTAGACGCTTCTGATCCCTTTTGGGTGGTTTGTTTCCATTGTCAAAGTCCTCAGTGTCAAGCAAGTACCTTCACATCCCGCGGTGGGCCCCATCCTATTCCTCAGATTTTCTAGTACGTTTTTGGTTTGCTTGCGCTTTCCAAACTCTCCTTAAGGTTCAATACCTTGCGACTGTTTCGAACTCCAATCTTCTCTTTAGTCACTCGCAAGTGGTTTTCTCCTGTTTCTCAGCTTCCCTGGTCCACTTCGGCTGGTTTGCTTCCCTGTCTCACATGTTCCTCTTTCTCAATTCTCTCACATTCTCTGGTCTCTTTCCAGCAGTTTGCTCCTGTGTCTCAAAGCTCTCATCCCCGTCCAACTTCTTGTCCCTTTCGAACCGGTTGTTGCTTGTTCTAAGGTTATGTTTGTTTGCAAATTCCCCTGTCCCATTCGAGCGGTTTGCTCCTTTTTTCTCAAACTCGAACATTGCGCTCCTGCTTGTCTCGTGTTCGTCCGGTTTGCTCCATTTAGTTCATGTCCGTAGTCTCTGTCGAGCAGTTTGTTTCTTGTTCTCATAGTTTCTCATAATTCTTCAATTTCTTTTGACCGATTTGAGTCCCAAGTTTCTAGTCCGTTTCGACTTGTCTGCTCGTCTTTCTCAAAGATTCCTCTTGGTCAACGTCTCTAGTCTCTCTCGACCGGTTTGTTCTTCTTCGTCAAATTTTCGGCATCCTTTCCATTAACCTGCAAACCCGAGTCCTCTTTGTGAAATCTTCCACCTTCTCTCGAGCGGCCTGTTGCTGTTTCTTAAATGCTCTAGTCCCTTTCGACGGGTTCTAAAAACAGCTGACAAGTGCTCGAATGGCTTTCGGCGTGTGTGCTCTGCTCTCCCGGGTTCTCTGATCTCTTTCGTGCGGATTGCTTCTCTTTCTCAGGTTCTCAAGTCTCTCTCAAGCGGGTATGCTTCTGCCATCAAAACGTTCGAATCCGTTTCGACCGTTTTGCTAGACAAGCGCAGACAGGTGTGGAAAACAGAAGGGAGACAAGGAGAGATTTGAAAACACCGGCAGTGGCCACTTCCACCGATCCCAAATGAAGCGAGGCCATTGGCCAGGCCTTCACGGGTCCCAAATGGGAGACAAGCATCGACAATCCCTGCATTGACCACACCTACAACTTGAAATGTCGGCATTCTGTTTCAAAAGTATTACGCCAGCGAAAGCCAAACACCGTACCCACACACGAAGGGAAACAAAGGGAAGACCCGCGTCGATAACCGTGGCATTGGCCACTCAACAAAAGTGCGAAACGTAAGCATTCCTTGTCAGATTAACAATAACCCCGTAAATTGCTTGGTGAATTAACAAGAGCCCCAGCAGAAACACGGCGCCTCCTCGATGCGCAGTTTGCGCATAGCAGGGTCGAGCTTACAAAGCACCTGCACAGCTGGCAAGGACGGCTAATCCAAGTAACCCGGCCGTGCGATTGCCAATGGTCACCCTGCAGAAAACGTGGGGTACTGGCACCATCTTATAGTGGCGTTGATGATTGAATGGGGTTTGGGACCACATTATACTCTATTTATAATGCATCTGTAAGAACAAACGTTGACTCCCTGCCCATCGCGCCTTGATTTTCTTACCCTTCGGGTCGATGTGCATGAGACTTCGGCCTCGCAAAGTGAGACCACTGGCAGATGTTTACAGAACCTCTGCACGGCGGGATATCGAGGGTACAAATCGGTGCACGTGTAGGCCACCGCACCTGCAAAGCAAGAGGTGACGAAGCGGCGCGTTGACTCGGTCGTCATCTCCTGCGCCTGTCAAGACAACTGCCCTACAGTGCAGCATGTTGCCCGTTGGCTGATACGCGGTCCTACCTTCGTCAACTCCTCCTCCTCCAAGTCGCGACCGAGTTTGATGAACTGGCGAGTGATCAGGCAAAGACTGCTGTCAGTTCTGTGCACACCTGGCTGGCCCGACGCATGTACAGAGGCGTTACGAAGCTGCGGCTGCAAATAACATGCAACGGGCTGTTTCAGTGGGCTGAAGAACGGCGGCACGTCTAAGCGGGTCTAGTAGATAACCACTTCTGCAACGAGCTACAGTTACAGGAACACTGTCTGTCACCCAGCCCACCTCGATGCGCTGTCGGAGTTGTTGCAAGTGACTTTCAGGGACCTGATCACAGCCATCCGCCAAATAGTGAACTCGAGTACGCTGAGATACGCTCAGAGGCCGACCCCATGCTTCTTGCCGACTTCGATTTGCTCCTGGCGGCCGGGGCATGGAACCAAAAGGCGGCACATGGCTTCTCTATCAATAAAGGAATCTTCAAGACGGCCGTCGAGCAACTGTTGCATGCACTACAGGCCATCGTGCTTGGCGAGATGCCGCGTGTTGCACGATGCCTGGCACTTCGCTTCGTCGTCAGCATCTTCAGAGCTGAGGAACTTGGGAAGCTCCTGACCGAGCGTTGTGGACACTCCGGCCACTGGACTCCTTGTGCTCTCGGGTCTTAGACGGGGCACCTAGTTCGCATGTAAACTCATGACTGGCAGGCACCACGTGCCTCGATGAAAACTTCCCGCTCTCGCTGCACCTGCCAAGCTTCCCTTTCGATTGGACCAATGTGATACCAGACGGAATTGAAGGATGAGGGGCTGCAATGCCATACGGGTTGCGGCCAGGGCGATGACAGGAACTCCGGTCCAACCCTGAGGGTGATGCCGAAAGCCCGGAACATGCATGTTTCATGAGGTTTACATGTTGCATTGGTGAACCCAACAGGGGCCATGGGTTTCGTCAAACTCGAACACCTAAAGAACTGAATGGTTGCGACAACCAAATTCCCGAACAGGAGTGATTGGTTCCAAAAATGACCCAAAACTGTAACCCTGGAAAATGGGTGGCAAACCCCAAACCATCCCAAACCCTAAAACGTGTGACTTGCTGAGGTGTTTCCGAAAAGCCCACATTCGAAAACCTCGAAACATTCTGCAAGGAGTCGGTGGTTGCGGAAAACCCTGGACCTGACCAGAGGCCACTGCTTGTGCAAACCCGAAACCTGAACGGATTGAGCGCGAAGAACCCCAAACCCAAACACTGCAGAAAGGATGGCAGGCACAAACGGGAGTGACCTGTCGAGAATGGAGCTAGATGGAGTGCGTGGTTGGAAAAAGCGCTAAACCCTCAGAAAGACAGGACTCCGAGCCCATCAAGGTGTGAATGGTGGCGAAACACCCACAACCCAAAAGGAGTGACAGCTTGCCAGACATCCAACAACCCGAAAGAGCTTCCCGATGAACATAGCAGTCATGAAGAAGACAGTCATGTGGCAGGAGCGCAGTTTGTGTGTGTGAGAGGGCAAAAGGGAGGTTCTGCTCCCCCTCCTCCTCCTGCTCCCTCCTGCTGCTGCTTCTGCTGCTGATGTTAAAAGCATTAATGGGGACAATGATGAGAATACTGCAACGGCGACTGCTACTCACCACCACCACCACCGCCGCCGCCGCCACCACCACCACCACCACCGCCACCACCACCACCACCACCACCACCACCACCACCACCACCACCACCACCACCCTCCCCTACTAAACCTACTGCTATTCCTGTGACGACAAGGACGACTGCGATTTCCTCTCTCATCACCATTATGCTTTTTGATCTCTTCAACCTGGGAACATGTAACATGTTTTACCACAAATCGACCGCCGTACTGTACTGTCGCAGTCCAGTTGCGGGCCTTGTGCTGCTGTAGCTTTTTCTCTGCGTGTGCGATCATGCTCTCGTCGATGCCCACCGAAGTCGCATGTTCGATGGCCTTCCGGAAACTCCATCTTCAAGGGTGAATCTTGACATTGCAGTGGTGAAAAAGTCTAGGCACAGATCGTCACATGATCAATGGCAATGCAACCGTTGGAAGGGCAGTCAAGCTTAGCCAAGCTTAGTCTTCTGACATGCGGAGCTCGAGATGACGGTCCAACTCCCCGAAGATCCATGACTCGGCCATCCTCCTCAAAGGCAGCGGTCTTGCCGCGCATGAGGCCACCCTGCCAAGGTGTGAGCTTTCCCTGCCATCTGCGCTACCTAGGCGACTTCTCCAGCCGTGGGCCTTTAATGCTTTTTCCGCATCTGCTTTCACCGACGCCTCCTCCTTAGCTGCGGCGGTGCGATGCGAAAAGAAGTCGCGCCTGCAAAAACGCGGAGCCGTACGCTTGCTGCCCAGTACAACCCGCAGGCTGGTAGTGGCTGGGGGAGCTGCATCCTCTTCGTCCTCCTCCTCTTCAGCCTCCTCGTCCTCCAAGCGATGAACAAAACCGCAGATCCGTGCATCTCCGCTGACCAATGCTTTTCATGAGACCCCCCTCGCCTCTCCATCGTCTTCGTCCTCTTCTAGGAGGGCCTGGGACATGAGCTCCCAGTGCACCCAGCGGGCCCCTGCACCCAAGGACCACCGGAAAAGCCCCCGGCCTCCGAAGGCTTCACCTGGGAAGCTGTGCCCGTCATCATCTCGCTGCATTTGGCCCCCATGGCTTCGAGCTCGGCGGCGCATCTCACGCCGCGTTTAAGCTAGAAGCTCCTTGGTCGAAGCCTTCTTCGTTGGCTAAGGGGGTGTAGGGGTGGGGCTGGAGGTGCGTAATGTGCCTTTATGGCAACCCACGCAAGACCAGGGAAAGCTTGCTTGGTGGAAATCAATGCCGGAGTCCGATCGAAGATGTTGTACGGTCTGTCGGAGTGCTGCTCACATGAAGGGTCTGTCGCCTCTTTTAGGTCCGAAGCTGGGCAGGGGCCACCAAGAAATGATTGAGCCGGGAGGGCACAGCCGTAGTCATCTCTTTCATAGGAGGTCATCAAGTCAGAAAAGCCGCGAAATTGAATCCAGCCCCGTCACAGGTCCCGGGAGCTGTCTGCCGGCACAGCTTTCGTTGCAAAGAAATCCAAAACTCAAAGGCCCTCGGCTCAGGGCGGGCTTAAGGGGCGCACCACAGTGCCGCCACAGTACGTGCCACCTGGGCGGACCCAGGCCACAAGGCTTTGGATGATTTCAGGTTCGCACCAGTGGCTAGAACCACATGGGCACAGAATCGTGTAGGTTCTGGCTTTGGCATGCAACATACGTGCGCAGAATCGTGTAGCCTGCTGGTTTGGGCATGCAACCTGACAGGCGTGAAAGGCTCCTTTTCGTCACTGAGCAGCGCTGCTCGAGTCCTCTTGACCCTCCTGGTCCCTTCGCAGCCGCAGGACGTTGGGGAAGCCGAGCGACCGAATCTCATCTTCCCTGTGTGTGACGAGGATGATGGCAACATCCGAGCTCTGTGCGAGCCGCCTTGGGGGATTAACGGCCGTGACAGTAGCCGCTAAGCCTCTGCCGGCGACAGGCGGCAGCCCTACCCATTCACTCCACATCATGCGAAACCCATGCAAGACCTACACGCCCACTCTACTGGCTTCAAGCTTTCGAGCCTGGTCATAATTGATTTGACAGGCAGCTGAAGAAGCGACAAGAACTTCGCACGGTTGCTTCCGGACAGCCCATGGGTGGGCTCGTCGAGAAGGAGCAAACGCGGTTCTTTCACCTCAACAGCTCGCAAGCGACCGTAGTGCCACCACCGCTCCAACGATCTCGATAGACACGAATGCCAAAATGCTCCGAAAGCTGCGCATGCATGCTTCACAATACGTGGCTGCGAGTTCTTGTATCCATAGGATTCTCTCAGCCTAGTGGCCATCGCTCGACAGAGCAGCACCAGTTTCTGCTGCCTTGGCAGTGTTTTGGTGACTTTCGCATCGAATCTAACTGCGTCTTGCCGAAGCAGAGTCACCCGTGCGAAAGATCGAAGAACAGAGGGCTTGATGAAAATGGCGCCAAGGCAGCCAAAGCCTTGTCACAGCTTGGAGAGATCACCAACTCCTGCAGACCTCGGAGAAGTTCGGCGGTTTGCAAGTCGAGGGCTGGCCCAACGTCCCCCCAGACACAAACCGAGGTCTCAGCCGAGTTTGTGAACCCATTCCAGCACAGCCCTCGTCTGGACTGAGGTGGGCTCCACGTACAAGCCGATGCTGTCGAAGAGCCCAGAACAGACCACTTCCCAGGCGGTTACTTTGCGGTCAAATCGTGGATCTGAAAAAATCACATACTCCATGTGGAGCTCACTGGAGATCACGCCAAGCTGCTTCTTGATCTCCCAGACACTCTCCCCACTTCCCTTCTGACGGCCGAAGAGATGAATATCTTGCTGGTAGCCTTGCACATTCTCACCTGTGATGAGATCTACCAAAGTAGTCTTGCCCGTGCCATTCCCGCCGACCACAATCCATTTTTCAGACTGACGGACGGTCCAATTCAACTTCTTGAAAACAAAGATCGGGCCATACCTGGCTGAGAAACTGAGAGCTCTCGCAATCGAACATGTGAATCCGCAGACAGAAAGCAAAGCACAGGCTTGAAAAGGGCAGGGCGATATGCTGATATGCCCTGGCAAGTGGCTGGATCGTAACATTCCTGAATTCCACAAGTGCTTCTCCGAGTTGTCCGTTCTCCTGTCATGCACGGCAACTTTGTGGACTGTTTGTTCCAAGAAGTTACTGCGCTGCTGCACTACATCATGCAATAAGGTGACTTCCAACGGCATCCTCTGATTTCGTTTCGCCTCCTTCCTTCTCATGTTCAGAGCTACAGCGACATCCGGCCTCTGGAGTGGCTAGTCTGAACGATGGCTGGCTGGAGCCTGATGCTGCCGACGCCGCAGCTATCTTGTCCGCCTGGGCGGAGCAAGCTCCACGACTTGCCAACGACACCGCGAAGTCGCACCATCTCGCACCTGCAAGAACCCGGAGATGGGTTCCCTCATCTCGGCCCAACTGCCAGCACCTCGAGAGCTTCGGAGATCCCCAACTTAAAAAATTGCTGCGACCCTCACGCCAGACCATTTGAAATCCACGGCGCTGCAGGCCGTGCCTTTCGGGCCTTGCCCAAGCAGCAATGCGTGCGTCGGGACAGGAGTGAGATCTTCCACTCGGTGTGCAATCATCACCTACCAGTAAATGCGAAATCTCTTCGGGATCAGGGCCGTCAAGCCATGAAAAAAATCCAATGCTTCCGGGGCACAAGGGTCCTGCTCTTGTCCTCAAAGACCGCTTCGAGAACGCTCTGCAGCTCGGCTCGGGAGTCTTTGTCCAGGCCGTCAAAAGCCTCGTCCAGGACCAGCAAACTGGACCTCGCTACCACCACCCGCTCGGACTCTGCCAGAAGGCAAGGAATTCCTGAGGCCTAAGGAGCGAGCTGCCGCAGCAGCGCATCGACGAGCAGCAGCTTCCGCCCCTGCCATCGTTTTCTCTCATCTCCATCTCTGCTCGAGGTCAGCTCCTGAAATGTCTGGCCTCGCCGGTGGAGAGGGCGAAGAGCGGTCGGTGGCGCAGCTCAAAGAGGCCGAAGAGCTTCAACAGCCGAGCCGCCTCACCTGCCACGCAGAGTCGCAGAGCCGCAGAGCCGCAGTTCTCGGCTCCGATCTGCGTCAAAGCCGGCACCTGCGGTCGATGCCGCCTCGAGCTCACCCAGCAAGGGATGGGAACTCGTCGCATCGTATGGCGCCGGGAGTGGCGACACACGCGTCCGCGGGGGTCGATAACCTTCAGATTCAGGGCATCCAGATGTTTGCGCCGTCTTCAAGCTCTCCAGGCATCCGAGGCGCCCCAAGTAGCAGGATCATAGTCGGGATCTGCTGGATAGCAGTCTGGGAACAGATAGGACGCAACCTGAGACCACAACATTCCAGACAAAATCGCATGGCGACAAACTGAAAGTTCTGTTGACCGTTATAAGTCCACTTACAAGCCCAATGCGCCCAAGATTGTCCAAGGGGCCGTTGCTCGCAAGTGTCGCGACTCGTAGCGGCTCTCTTGGAAGTCCCTCCGCTCATCCTGATCGAATTCGCTGAAGCTTCTTGCAGCTGTGAAACGAGAAACGGTGCATCGATCCTGAAGCATTTTCGTCTGCAGATCAAAAGAAACGTGACCTGCAGATGAAGGACCGCCGGCAGCGACCTAAGCACACGAGGCATACACAGTCCCTCTCTGTCGGCTTGTCGGCGGCCTGGGGTCGATACCCATGTCTCCGTGAGAGCTTGGGCGACCCTGCTCTTGCCGGAGCCGTTGGGGCCTACAAGGGCCCATCGTTCGCCGCGTTGGACGGTCAGATCCAGGCCCTCGATCAAGGTGGCAGCTCCCACCTCCTGGCAAAGGACAGTCCGTGGCACCGTGCATCTTTATGTGGAGGTTTCCGAAAATTGGGGGTGCCTTATTTTGGGGTCCTTATAATAAGGATCCTACTACTTAGGGCACCATATCAGGGTCCCCTATTTTCGGAAACCCCCATTTTGTACATTAGCCGCATCGTGTTGCCGCCGCGCTTCGAACTGCTGTCTGCGAAGGGTCGCCGATGCGGGAGGGCCGCTAGCCCAGGCTCTGTTCTCGAGCCTCCACTTGACAGGGATCCGACGGAGGCACCTTCACGCAGCCCCCGCTTGCAGCAGCTCACACTGGCCCAGAGCTCAACATGGTGCCTCCGTGTTGCGATCCATGGAGCCCGCCGCGCTAGCAAAGCTCCGCTGCAGGCCATGACGGTGGCAAGAAAATATGTGCTTGCCTGCACTGCTTTGTTTGAGAAGTCTGAAATAGCCGGAATTTGAGAGATGATGACGCGCAACTTTGATTACAAGCGCAACCGTTTGCAGGCTTCTATGCGCAGGGGTGAATAAGAACATATTCAAGTGATTCTCATCTGTGTGCCTTACGGCTGCGAAAAATCAAACTGTCCTTTGCTTCAAGCTCGAGCAGTCGCTGTTTCGAACTGTGGCTCGCACCGGGCGTCAGCGAAGGCGCCATGGCACGGGGCGTCGGATCACGGCTGTGACCTCAGAGGCCATGTCCAACGTTAACGAAACGAGAGCGCGCGCACAATAATAGACAGACGGATGGATAGACAGACAGGCAAGCGGCCAAGAGACGGGCGGATGGATGGAAAGACAGACAGACCCTCAAAATTCACTCCAATGGGTGATGGGGTTGAGCACGATTAGATACTGCAGGATGCAGCCTGTTGCCGTGCAGATTCCTTGATAAAAGTCCTCCATCTGCACACCAAGAACCTAAATGAGGCGTTGCTTGCAAGGCAGCTTACTAGATACAAGGAATGGCAGGGGAACGAAGTCTTGAGGATAAGGACCCTCTAGACTAGCAGACTGCGCAAGGACCCTCTAGACTAGCAGACTGAGCGCCAGGCTGGATGTAGCAACGGGTTCAGCTGGAAGCCGCGGGCGAGAGGGAACCCCCTGACAGGGACTCAAGGACGCACCAAAGAGCGAGAACGGCTGACCTGTTCTCTGCCCAGCCTCGACGTTCGCGTAGCCTCCTGCGAACAGGTGGCGCATAATGACACATCCACTCTCAGCGAAAACTCCTCTTCGGGGCTCCTGTGCTGTAGATGTCGTTCAGGCATCCGTTCAGGCGGCCGACATCTGACCAGTCCTTTCTGCGAGCTTCCCAAGGAGGCCTGCAAGCGACATGCAATGGAGCCGCCGCGCAGAGTCTGCTTGCATGGCACACTTCGTCAACGCCTCTGAGCTGGGACACCCGATCGAGGGGTCACAGGCAGGCTCCTGTCGAGCACAATGCCAAGCCCTCAGGTCTCAGAATCTCTCCCAACCCCCCGAAAATCATCCTAAAGCGTACCTGCCCCAACTCCAATCCACCTCCTCCACGGCAAACCCAAAACTCCAAAGCCCCTGGTGGCTGTCCACCCCTGCCTCGGCCTTCTGGAACACGGCGACGGGGTACGGGAGGACCTGCACAGGGCACAGAGGAGCTCAAGGCCCCGCCGGACACGGAGGGAAGACGACAGTATGACTGGCTCCCTTCTTCTGCTGAGCGCCTGTTGCTGCACACGCTGCGTGCGCTAACTGAAAGGTTCGGCCACCTGGCCTCCCGACAAGTCCGGCATAGGAGCTTCTTGGTGATGGCCTGCCAGCACGTCCCGAATCTCGCCGCCGCTCCCCGTAGTACTGGTCAATCACTAGCTAGTTCATCCTTCCGCATTGCGGTGGCACCCTAAAGCATTTGCGTCGTGCGAAATTCGTGTCACAGCCACGGACCTGCACCCGATTGGCTTGCGCCTCAGGGAATCTCGGGAGTCCCGCAGGTTGGTCTGCTCCTGCTTCAGGGTGTTATCCTGCGTCGCGCGAGTCTTCTCCCCCAATGCCCAAAGATCTCATGAACTCATGCGGAACGATAGGCTCTGATTTCCAGGAAGGGCCAGAGCTCGTCCGCTTGGGTCCCACATCGGATCCCACTCATCGGGCGTGGGCGCAGAAGCCGGAGCCTCTGCGAACCAAGGCCCCCAGCACCGGGCCGTAGCTGCCTCGACCAGGGGCATCCTCTACACTCTTTCGGCTTACAGGTTTGGGCGCCCAAAGGCATAGCTGACCCTCGCATCAACAGCGCACACGGCACGGTGGCATTTTTGGCTGTACGGCTTGCATCTTGAATATGGCAAAATGAACATTGGTGAGTCAGGCAGGACACAGGAAACAGTGCGACGACAAGATCCTGCCGAGGGGTTGATGCACCTGGCTCGCAACCTCATAGATTCCTGCATCCGTCCAAAGTCAAGACGGGCAATGGTCCGAATTCTTGCAAGGCGTGCTTGCACTGCAGTGCTCCAGAGTTAGAAGCTCGCAGTGCCTTCTCTGACCTAACGTTAGCATCCCCCGACTTTTCAGCCGCACACGAACCAAATCTCTCAGACAGCATCCGCACGCCAACCACGGCAGGACTGTTGTCTGGAGCAGACGAATGAGTACTCTGGGCTTTTCTTGCGACTAGCTCCTTCAGTAGCACTCCAAGGGCGCCCAGTTCAGCTTGCGATCGTGGCCCTGATGCAGCGCTTTGCCGTTGTGCTTCACGATTTTGGGACCTCCGACTTGATTCTCCGGGCGCATGCCCTCGATCAGCCGGTCCAGGGCCTTGCGGTGATCCTCGTTTCTTCGCATCTCGGTCACCTGTGCGAGTGCTTGTCGATGTTCGGAGTCCACCTCCATCCTTTCCATGAAGTTCATGGTGCTCCGCTTGCGCCGGGCCTCCCGGAACCGCGAAAGCGCGCGGCTAAGCTCCACCTCTCCCCTCTCGGCCCTCTCGGCCCTCGGTGGTTCGTGCCTCCAGGAGCTGCTTCTTCTCCCAGAGCGCCGAGAAGGTGCTGGCGCTGCCCGTCTTCGGCGCACTGGCCACCTCGGCTGTGGGGATGAACCAGAAGCGCTACCAAACGGTCGGAGGATCCTTCGATTTCTCACAGCTTCTACGTGCATGCTTTCACTCTCGAAGCACCTCCTGCCGGCTTACTTCCCTGCCCACTGAGCTCGGAGCATAGGCGCTGAGGTTGGCTTGCCGAACGGGATCCATGGCAGCCTGACTATCGAGACGACGAGGGGTCACCCAAGACTTAAACTGGCGCCTTCATCTACATCAGGAAACGATGCTTGTTTCCCCCTTGCAGGCAACGTGCTCAATTAGCATAGCCGCGCCTGGTTCGACGAGAAATGTCAGAGGCAATGAAACAATACAGCTGGAGCCAAATTTGCAACGGGTTTAAAGGTGCAGCTACAAGTGCCTCGACTCACATCAAGACGACAAAGCTCGGACAGCTCAGGTTTAGTCAGGCTTATCCATGCACATCCGGATGCCTGTCGTGCTTGAAGTATCGCTCCAGCTTGTTCCAACGTCTATCCGCCGTGCAAAGTTCGCCACGTACCTGAGTAGCTTCACAGGACACCCCTGCTTTCCCTGTCTGTCTTTGCGGGTGCCTCCAAGATGCCAAGGCTCGTCGCTGAAAACCTGCAGACACGGCGAAGCTTCCATCGCCACGCGGGTGAGGTGCCTCCAATGGGCACGTGCAGCGGTTGCTAAGCAACAACGCCAGCATGAACCGACTCCTCGCCTTCCGTGCTCGTCTCTGTAGCGTGAATCGAGGCGTGGAACATCATGTACAGCAGCCACGCGCAGCCCAGGAAACCGTCTCATCGCGTCCTCACGACTCAGAAATGCTCGGAAGAGTGAGTCGGCATGGCAAGGCCCCTCCTCTGCAAGACGCACGGCTACCCTGCCCTTGGGCCCATCCAAGAGCAAGGCTGTGGCATTGCCCGCAGCTGCCAAAGCCTCGGCTTCTGGCTCACAAGGCTCCGGTACTCTACAGTCTCATGACCTGCATTGCGGAAGAGCTGCCGAATCCAGCATGTTGAAGGTGTCGCCTTCCTTCCTCAGTTTGCACTGTCGCATGATGCCCAAAAGAACATGCTGAAGCAACGCCGAGGCTCAATGTGAGAACGCCTCCACAGAGGCTCTGCAGCTCCGCAGCGACGAAAGGCGACACAGAGCGCTCCAGGGCCAGGACCCGCCTCGTCAAGTGCGGCATTCAAAGTGACGGTAAGGAACGAGGCATTGGAGCTGCCTCCCGGGAACGGCGCGAGCCCAAGCGCAGGCTGCCCTTGTAGAGCCGCCCTGGCTGACCCCGGATTCCACGATGACCTGCACTCCTCGAGCAGCAAACCGCACCAACACGCGCCGTTCCGACCCTCAGAGCACCCGCTTTTAAAAAAATGTGAACTGTTGAATCAAAAGTTAGTAGTTGATAGGGAAAGGAAAGGGCATCTATAGGGCCAAGGTCCTTCCAAGTCGGCAAGTGCGTGGAAGAGCAGGGCCTCTGATGGCAGCACGGAGCCCGGCAGCGTCGCCAGAACACTGGGCTCCGGATCCCACTGAGCGGCTCCAAGCTGGCTCCACAACTTTGACAAAAACTCCTGCCTTACCTCAGCTGAAAGGAAATTGTCACAAAAAAAGCCACAGCCTCAGAACCCGAAATCTGCCCGTTGCCATTTGTTTACATCAGAGGCTCCCCGGGGGGCGCCGGTCCTTCTGGGACTTGCCCTTGTGGCTCCACTGCAAAGAGCCCCATTTCCAGCAGGGAGAGTGACTCGCAGACCGGCCAGGTTGTGGTCAGAAGGTTGCGCTCTTTGCTTCCTCAAAAAACCATGCAGCTTTTTGCAAAGTGGACCCCTTCTTCTTCGCTCTTCTGGTGACTTTTTGGGGGGTCGTTCGGAGGATTTGCCGCAGAGGGTCCCCGTCTCCAGGAGCGCAGGTGGTGAAGCTGCAGAGCCGCCTCCGCAACCTTCACGTAGCCGCGGCGCAAGGTCGGCACCTCTCGGGTGGGCACCCGAAGCTGAGGCCACTTCCCTGCAGTCGAAACAGAAAAGGCGCCTCAGAGGCCGCAGCCCTGGTGGCAGCAACGGCCGCCGTCCGGAGCCCATCAGCCAATCCTGAAAGAAGCCAAACAAAGCTGCAAAAAAGCGAAGGCTACTTATACGTTCACAGATGGATGCATCCGTGCCTGAAACGGGGCGAGGCCGGAGTCGAGGACAAGGCTTCCCTGAAGCTTTTCGTGACCAACTTGGAGGTGCGTAGAGGACGCCGCTTTCGGGCGGCGGTGGCCCCACCTGAGAAACAGAGGGCCGTGCTGTACTACTATGCAGGCGATGCTCTGTTCCACTGCGGAGCTGGCCTGCGGAGCCGTTCCCCAAGCTCTTCGCACGTGCCGAACCCAGTCGGCGGTTCGCCGAGGGGGCCCGGCGCCTTCTCCGGTGCTTACCTTGGCCGCTCTACAGTTCTGCGTGAGACGAGACGAGAGGACTGCTCTGGGCGAAGGGACTCCTCCTGCCTTCAGCAATGCCAGCAGGGAGAAGAAAGGCCAGCCGGACTCGATGAGGTTGGCCATCCCACAACTCTGCACAAGCAGATCGATCTCTGTGAGCACCGCCTCTTCGTGCACCTCTGAAACACAGAACAGAGGTTCTCATCACGTGGATCCAGAATATGTGCCTGCCTTCAGGGCTTGAAGCTGCTCCTCCCTGCCCATGCCGCAAAGAATGAAAAGCTGCCTCAAAGCAGGGGTGGGCGCCCTCGCCAGCTGTAACAGGATACCGTTGACTGTCACATTCTCAGAGTTATATCATATGTCAGTCATGGGGAATGTCTCGCATACACAGCACCGAAGACAGGCAGCTGAATATGTGAGAAGCTGCAATGCAAGCTGCGCAAGCCGGCACGGAAGGGACCTTGCTGCCAGACACACTTCGACTCTTGCACAAACAGAATTTAACACAATCAACCACATGTTTATGCATGGTTTTGTCGTCTTTACATAATTGAGTTGCGCCGGGCAGTCATGATATGGTCTGGACAAGATCCTAGGCGTCTCGGAACCAGCCTAAAGACAAAACTGGCAGACCACAAACCAGGGAAAAGCCGTCCCAAAGACCCAGAGCAGAAATCGAGCATGAACGTGGAGTCTTGCATTGGCTGCATTCAAGGCAGGATCCCCAAACAAAGAAGGCCTGGCCTGGGGGACCTGTATCAGAAGTTTAGGCTTGAGGATTGAGGGCTTAGGCTTCCGCGTGGCTTGGAACGGAGTTTCGAATTCCATCACGTTTGTAAGGCTGCATGTCCTGAGTAAGGAGACCTTTCCACAAAATAGCTGTGAACATCTCAGGCGGGAGCTCTGCCCTCATTGACAAAGCCCGCTCTGCGGCTGGCATTAGATCCTCAGCTTCAAAACCGATACGAGAGCGCAAGGACAGTGAAAGCTGCACCCATGGTGCGCCTGTGGTCGGATCTCCAGCTCGGCGACGCCTGGCCAGAAGGTCCAAACGCGCAAGGCCCACTGGACCTCGGCAGCTTGGGCAGCTGAAGCAGCAAGGGCTCGCAAGGCAACAAAGCAGAGCCCGGGTTCCTATAATAGGCCTTCCCCCCCGCACAGCGATGCCTTCGGCAGGTCTGCCGCAACGGAGTGGCAGCTCCCTAGCATGCAAAAAGCAGGTGAGCGAACTGCTGCACGTCATGACCGACGAGAAACCATGGCCCTGCTAGCAATGGTGACTCGGTGACGTATCGCCCACCGCCCTGCGAAGTGCCTCTGCATGCTGCCACGGCAGCAGGAAGGAGCCATGGTAGAAGCATGGCTGGCCATTTGCTGGCACATGGTCAAGCTTTGGCTCCCTGCCTCTCCCTGTCTTCAGTCTAGGCAATGACCGGCCCCTGTTGCTCGTGGTTCCAGACCGACTAGATATGCTGCGCTTATAGAGTCTATCCTTCGTAATATTCGAAGTAAAAGCCTCATTCAAGCTTCGTTTAAGCTTTCCGTTCTGTTGAAATCACTTTAGGTTGGAACATCGACACCAAACATCGCAAGATACCCGCACAGCAACAAAGCGGCTCGAAAATGTCAAAGCCGCAGTGCAAGACTCGGCATCGGATTTGGACAGGCGCACGCTGATGGTGGAGAAGCGGTTCCTTTCAGCTGGATGCAGACCCAGTGAAATTATGCACCTTCTACACTGGCAGACTTCACCTTTGCTGTCAAGCGGCGGGATTTTCAACGACTTGGAGATGTAGATGCCGCCACTGGCAATTGCGGTCGCATTCCGTGGCTTTGGCATGCACTGAAGCGTAAACATGACGCAGTCCCAGCCGGTCCTAGCCTTCACTGCCCTCGCTTGGGAGTTTCCGAAAATAGGGGACCCTAACATAGTACCTTAAATAGTAGGATCCTTATTATAAGGACCCCCAAAATAGGGTACCCCGTAATTCTCGGAAACTCCCACTTGATGTAATGAGGCTCCTACATTATTATAGTACCCTTCTAGATCCCTTATAGAGCCCTTTAAAGGAACCCTTTGATGCAGAGCAGACTCTGGGCATCTGGCTGTCTCCGCGAGGCGACGCTGCCGTACTTGCTGAAGGTGGAGACAACCTTGAAAAGAAGGGGCGACCACTTTTTAGGGTTTTGGGTTTAGGTTTTCACCCCAGAAGGGGACTCCACAGCAAGCAGAAGCGATGAGAACGTCCGAGCCTCACCGAAGGTGACAGAGCTCTTTCGCGGGAAGCCTTCTTTGTCTCGCGCCTGGGGCACGCAAAAGGCTTCACATGCTTCACAAAGCAAAAAAAACACCCACAAGCCATGCGGTCTGCTGAAGCACCTGCTGACAACATGCAGTAAGACTCCAGCGAGAATCTCTGCCGGTGACAGCGATGGAAGCGCAGGTCGCGGGGAAAGTGACATGCTCTGACCCACCGCGCTTGGAAGTGCGTCTACGACAAACTGGTTCTTACATCAGAAACACAACTAATCGCCGCCTTTCGATGTAGCAGCCGGGGCGCGATGGCTGACGTGAACTTGAAGCTTGTTGAAAATCGACACTGTGAACATTGCGATAAGATCCCAGGCTCTTTCTAGATTTAGACCGTGAGACCCTCCTTGCAAAGGACCGTGGCTACATGCTTCCTTGTCCCTTGCGCTCTTGAGGCATCGCGACGACCTGAAGGCATTTTGACAAGAAGACGGAAGCGCCGTGCTCGATGTGTAGGCTGCTCTTGTTTTTTGTCTCGTCGTGCGCCTTGCCGAATCTTCCTCTCCTCGCTGGTCCCCACATGAAGATGTACAGTACCGAATGGATCCTCCGAAAGCTCAAGCTCGCTGGGATGTGCTGGATTTCGCAATCCAGTTCGCAAGGCATCTGCATGGCCGCCAGCTGCAGATTCTTGAGGAGAAGTTTGACCGAAGGCCATTGTAGACGACTGCTGCGGATGTCAAACATGAAGGCAACAGGACTGAGAGGCGTGGGTGTAGATCTCCCGAGTTCCTAGTGGCAGCCAGGGCACAATCCAAGGTTACCATCCGAGAACCGCTTGTGATTCGGAGGCGCATGATTCCGTTCTCGAGCAGCTCAACCTCACCATACTGACGAACGATGTCCAAAGCTTCGACGGGCGGGTCGACTTCAAGGTGCGGGCTTCAGGCGATCGTTGAGTCCGCACGGCAGACAGTCCAAAGGAGCCCAACAGCCTTGACAACCTTGTCGCTCTTGTGGCCCAGTTGACTGATGGCTCATCGGCAGACAAGCCCTCCGCGAGCAAAATCTAAACGCAGGTACAGACTCCAGAGATGGACATTGGCAGATGAGGTCCGTCTGGCCGGTCTGGCTGTTGTCTGCCTGCCTGCCGGGTGCGGCTTGCTCTTGGCTGCCAGCTGCTGGCTGCTGTGCACATCAGTGCGCACTGGCCGTGGTGACAAACCAAAATTAAAGAGCCCGAGACGGCCCCTGATCATAGGAAACTCCACGAGCATGCCTGCCCGGATATATGCCTCCTCTTCCGCATCAAATAAATCCGAGATACGGTTCCTCACCAGCGGACTAGTACTAGGGTTTAGGGCTTACAGAGATTAGGGCTTGGTGTATAGGGTACAAAGCCTACAACCAGCTCTTGAGAAACTCGATCGAGGGCGGCCTAGGTGTTTGTCAGGTGTGAGCGGGTGGAAGAGGAGCATGAAGTAGGACAGTAGTAGTGTTGTAGTAGTAGTAGTAATTACTGTAGTAGTAGTAGTAGTAGTAGTAGTAGTAGTAGTAGTAGTAGTAGTAGTAGTAGTAGTAGTAGTAGTAATAGTAGTAGTAGCAGCAGCTGGCGTTTCCTACCGATGTCCTCGATGCCCAAAGTTGGTCAATCGGTGGTGCTCGTCCTTTTTGTGGCGGCAGGTGTCGCACCGGTCGCGCTTTCGGCTTGTGAGCCGGTGCCTCCTTGGAAGTTGGAAGCACTTCCTGGCTGCCCCCATTGAATGAATCGTCCTCATCGCCGATCACGGCTGCTGGCGCCCCTTTTCGGCGGGCGGTAGCGAGGTTATACCACGATTCGGAAGAGGATATTGTGTTTTCTCCTTGCCGATACAGATGCTGTTCGGGCTGATCAAGCAAACTCCGCGAGGTCGCCCAGGATTGCGTTTCGAACCCGCAGACGTTGGGTTGAAGGGTTGTGAGTCCAGGAAGGAGGTGGGGTCCCAGTATACAAGACGCGGCCCGGGGGAGTCTTCCCGGTGACCGGTGAGATCTTCTGGTCGCCAGCTCCTGTCTGCTGTTCCTTGCCATTCCGGCGGCCAGTGCCAGCCATGCTGCTCCATGGTCTGTCGCTTGCAGTCTTCGTAGTTCCTGCCACCTGGCACCTTTCTCTGGATCTTTCGCTAACGATGCTTTCTTCGTAGCCTTAGCCCACTTGCCGGCCGGTTCCGGCTTAGCCTGTCGGGCTCCATGCTATCAGAGCTTCCAGTCGATATCGAAGTCTCCAGCTCCTGTTCCCTTAACTGTATCGTGAGCGAGTTCGTGCCCACTGATCGCACCGGTACTGAACCTGAACTTTGCTTCTTCTCGATGCTGCCCGTGTAGTGGCTGTCCGCATTCCGTCGAGGGCACTTGACCTCTTTGCCGCCCTTTGGAGTGCTCTGCCGGTTGAGCTTCCAGTCGATGTAGTGGGCTCCGCCGCCTTAAGGGCATCAGAATTACCACTAGGCTACCGCGGCGGAGGCAGACGACGCGCACCACTTTTTGAAACATATGCCTACAGGAGCCAACCCATCCTTAACATCCCCGTGCATCCCTTGGTCTCCTCGCAACTTGCAAGCAGGGTCAAGTCCGCACTGCCGCCATCAGAGTCGGAGTCTCATGTGCCTGTTCACGCCATGTCCGTGAAATAAACTCTGTGTCCAGCTGCTCCCGATGACTGCCAATGTATGAAGTAGGCCTGTCAAAGGCCCAACCAAAGCCAGCATGCAGCTGAACCCTGGCCTCTCGCCACTTGCGCTGTACCAAGGCTTTCCAGCTACGGCACCAACACCTGTCTGGTGTGTGGGAACTCGAGATTCGGATCCATGGTGCTCATACGACACCAGACGTGTACATCGTTCCCACCAATGTTTGTGGAACTTGTTCAAGACACGTAGCCGTCGGTTGTTGAAAGTGGCTACTTTGCCCGCACGTGTCTCCACATTGGCCAAAGCGTTGTCACTGAGGTCGGCACTCCAGGCATCCATGCTCTGAAGACCAAAGCGACGCGAAGTGATCGTGGTAAAGACCGCATGGATGTAACCGTTTGTCTGACGAACATCGGCGAAAACAAAGCCTCACTTGCAACTCGTCTCGCTGGCATGCTCGGCCTCCTCGCCAGATGCGGCTTAGATCCGAAGGATCTGTTCTGCCGTCGAGGCTGCCAGCACTTCGGTCGGACTTCTACAGCTCTGCTCGCCCTGTTTCCAGCCAGGTCGAACCTCGTCTTGAGGTGCACCACTAGTCGAGGCAAATCAGATCCTGCAGACTGAAGAGCTTCAAGCTTTCATGTGACTGTTCGCAACACTCTCTTCGGCTCCTCCCCAGCGGCCAAGGGACTAGGAGCCGCCTGCCTCAGGACGCGGTTCTGCTGAACACGTGGGACAAGAGCTCGCATCAACGGTGCGGCTCTAGTCTGGCTTCCCGAAAACCAAAGTCTTTGCCACACGACTTGCCCGCCTGCTTTGCACGTCGATGTCGGGAGCCGCCTCGACTGTAAGAGGACGGTAGTCCTGCAGACAGCACAGACAGCATGCGACGAGACCAGCATGGATGGACTGTGACAAACTCAATCTTCACGACGAGCATGGTTGGTTTACTGCATCATGGAACCTTCCAGGTGCCGTCGAGGTTGATGGAGGGGCTCCCCATCTTGCCCGGGCTGGCCGTGGAGGCTCCACGTCGCATTCCACCTCCTCACATGGATGCACTGAGCAGACCTTGCCTGTTTCAAGCCTTTCTTCCAATTGCGTCCTCCAAAGTTCTGGACTCTACAGTAGGATTGTGCAGCCGTGGCACGTCGGACAAAGAAGCCCGTGTGTCGGTTCCTGCCGGGCTTTGATCGAATGGCACACGAAAAAGCAGACACCACTGTTGCATTGCTGCCCAGTTCGGATGTATGTTGAAAATTGTAGTGCAGGAATGTCAGAATTCCGTCCTCCTCTCCTCCTTGACTGCCTCTTCGGGATCCGCTCCTCAACGACACGGCTTGTACAGCTTGAGAGCCCCAAGATGCGCTCGCTACATACCTGTTGCATGCAGGGCTCTCTGCAGCAGAGCACGGCGATTCGCAGCAGCTTTGTCCAAGATCTCTGGCACATCCTCGATGAGTGCTTGCTCACAAGATTTCAGGCTCGCTTTGCATGTCCGGCTTTTCTGGGACTGCCCAACGAACTCCTGAACAATAAGTGCGCCATCGTACTCATACTTCCAATCATATTCCAATCATAACCCACAATCCTCAAGCTACTCTGAAGACGTCTCCGCAATGTCCTGGCCCAAAAGCTTGAGGAGGGTGCAGAGCTCCTGTGCCTGGCCACGACGATTTTCAGGATTCACCAGGTTTCGGCCTTTAAGGTTTCAGGGGTTCAGAGTTCCCTGTGCATGAATCAAGCTCTTCCGAGCTTCGAAGCTTCAAAGCTGCTAGCCCAATCACCCACGGCAGCATGAGCCTGCAGCAGATCCTCCTTCCAGCTGACTTGGAGGAAGTTTGTGCTCTCACTCTGACGATGCAACAGGGGGGCAGGTCCGCTCCAAGTCAGAGAGCCATGATTACACTACCATAAACCCTAAACCCTAAATCCTAAACCTAAACCCTAAACCCTAGGCGTTTTGAGCTTCTGCACGCTTGCGGTTGGAAGCTGCTGGGCCTAGACACTGCATCCACCGAAGCTGCCAGATCCTTCTCTGATGAAGCCAAACCAAACCAAACCCGGTTACATCAGAAATGTTGCAACCCTTTTTCGACAGCAAAGGTCCTCTAACAGGAAACCCTCTTTTGCAGAAATCAGTCTCTGGAGAACATTCAGACACATCCGAATAGAAAACCTTGTCCACAGAAAACCGTTTATGCACACGTATTGATGACCACGCCAAGCCAAACCAGACCAAGCCAAGCAACGCTTGTTCAAACCAGAACTCTCACGGCTCTTGTCCAACGAACAACCTGTCTGCCACAAACAGGCTCTAGGAATACCTCCATTGCAACGGCATTGCAACAACGGCATCAAACAAGCACTCGGTTTGTCGTCGCCGACGCCGCCGTCACCATCGCCACCGTCGCCAATGTGTCGTCGTCGACACGTCATCGTCGGGGTTCTGGTCGTCGTCGTCGTCGTCGTCGTCTTCGCGATGCTTCGTGCTAGAACCGGTACTAGTACTCGCCCTAGCGCTCTCAGCACTACTGCTACCACCACCAACACCACCACTACTACCACTACGAGGAGGAGGAGGAGGAGGACCGCTAAGCATAAAAGAGTAAGAGAGCAAGAGTGGGAGCATGACAGCAACAACAATGCTGCCAGCAAGAGCACGAGCAAGAGCGACCTACATGATTGGGCGGACTCCTGGCAGAGGAAGCTCAGCGCTGAGCCAGGACCGGTGGATCGGGCCGCCAGGCGAAGTCTCTGCCTGGGAGGCTCTGCGCACGTCCAGGTCTCGCTGGAGGGTCGGGAAGGAGGGTGCGGCGGTTGCTGGCACTTCTGCGCCTAAATGGCTTCGCACTGGGAGCATCAGAAGTTGGTCGATTGGTTTGGGGAGCCCATCATGTCGAGAGTGTGCTGAGTGTACGTGGTGTTAAGTCCTGCGGCCATCAGTTCGCTGATTTTCAGCCCTCAATCCATCGGGAGCTAAGCCTACATGGCAAGCTTTGGGGGAGCACAAGCATGGATCCGAGGCGCAGGTACTCGAAAGCTGACGTGGGCATGTCGTAGTTCAACAGGAACTTCACCTGTGCTTGTCGGCTTGATGCGGATGACTCGTAAGCAGAGTATGCCACGCCTTCGGAAACTGGAAGCCGCGGCCAAGCATCGTTGTGGCCTCAGTCTCGGGCTTCTTTGCGATCATGATGCGGGACGTGGGTGAATCTGTTCTGATCAGCGTTGCTTCCTCTGATTTTGCATCGCTGGCAGAAGATCCAGCTGCAGAGGACGGCTGTTTACCGAGGCTACTGTAGCTAGATATTTGGAAAATGCACCTTGAGAGCTACGTGCTTGTGTCCATGCAGATCTCCCGATCATTGCAGGGATCTGTCGAAAACAGTGGACGTTCAAACCGCTCCTGCTGGCGATCCAGCTACACCATCAGGCGCATGCGCAGCCGTGTTATGTGCGCATCTCCGGAGGTGAACCCTTCCAAGCCATAGGAGCCAGCGATGGATCTCCTGGGCCTCGGCACGTTTGCGGCTGCTCCCAATCACAAAGTTACACCGGACATAGACATGAGGAGCCGACCATCCTTTGCAGACTGCTCTGGTGGCTGAGAGTTGTCGGTGTCTGCAGGATGCCGCTTTAGCTGCTGGGTCGTCGCACGCAGCTCCTGTGAAGAATCGTGGAGCCAGCTCAACTTCCCACAAACATCGCAAGGCCGCATGGGCTCCTGGAGGACAGCCTCATGGCGCTTGTCGGCCTCACACTCTGATCAGCTGAGGCGCATCTGTGATGCGAATTAGATCAGATCTTCCAAGGACAAGCGGCGCTCGCGCGCACGGCGCCGATTTCACTTACAACCTTGGACTGGGAGCTCTCGAGCTTTGCAAGACCTCAGCTGCTCAGCTCAGCGCAGCTCTCCAAAGCGGCATGCGGTGCGAAAGCCAACTTGAACAAAGCGGCGCTGCTCCAGATTTTCTGCTTTGGCGGTCATCGCCTTGATGCCTTCAGCACTGAAGCGTCAAGAGGCTCCGCAAACGCCGCGAGTGCTTGTGAGAAACTAACACATCCATGCAATACAGTCCCAATCAGCATGGCTCCCTGTCACCCCTTCACACCTCTCAGTTGTTTCACTTCAACTGCTGCCCGAAAAGCCCTGTGCTGCCCGGGGACGCTGCTCCGCGGCTTCGAGCTGCCCAGAGGCTGTCGGAGCCATTAAAGGCGTTTTGGGGGTAGCTGGAGGTATGGCCGGTGGCTTTTCTCGTGGTGGCGCTTCTGCTACTTCCAAGCCATCCACGCGGAGGCTCAGGCTCTCCAGATTTGCCTCCGGTTCAATGCTTGCAGCAGCTTGCATGTGCCAATATGTATGAGCGCGGCCCAGCGGCGGAAAGTCTGTTCATTTCCTCCGCCATCTTGCTAGAGGATTCTCTTTCTGCCTGGCACATGCAAACGATCCCGATCATAGACTCATATGCCTGAGCCACGAGAGTAACGTTGCACATGCAGACGACACAGCCACACAAGTTTGTGTTGGCTCTGCATGCATCTGCTTATCGAAAGATGGCGGGATTGCCTCCAATGCCTCAACCCGTGCGGTGAGCCGTAGCAGGAGGGCTGCATCTCCGGAAGCCACCACTGCTCTCTTGTCCTGGGAGCCACCCTGAAAATCCCTGAGCCCTCCACCTTGGCAACCTCCCAGACCGTCCTTGTCGCCTTCCTCTCCGTGGACGTTTGAGTCCGCGGGCAGCCGCACGTCTTCCGGAGGGGCACTTTGGCCCAAAGCCTTTCGTGAGCACCCCTTGCGGTCCCGCGCCCAACCATACCCCCAGGCACAGCCCTCTCTGTCTTTCCGTTCGGGCGAGTTCCTGGCGCTCCATGTTCTTAATGGGTTATGGGGGCAAAAGTGCAAAGCGCCGGCCTCGGATGCCTCGGCTTCGTCTATCTTCGTCTTCATCTTGCGGAATTTTAGCTTTTGTGCCTTCGGCAAGAAGTACCACCTAAGCTCGCGAACGATACCGGATAACGCGGATTGCCCCCCGCACACTCAGGTAGCATCCAGACCGAGACACTCCAGCCAGGATCGACGTCGTTTGACGTCGAAGAATGCCAGGAGGTCCTTCACGTGCACCGTCTGGCCAATGGCCATCAAATTTGCAAAATGACCTTAATTACTCGATCTCAAAGCCTATTTCATTAATCTGTCTCGCACAATCTGCCTCTCCTTTCCATAGCGCTTCTAGATTCTAGGTACAGATCGACCTGTCAACTGACAAGAAACAGGCTTCGTCTTCCAAACGAAGTTCGTTCAAAGCCTCATGCTGCTTCTTCCAGGCCACTGCAGTGGATCCCGGGTTTCGGTTTCTGATCCGCATCGCGCTCGCAGTGAAAGTGGCCTTCGTCAGCCATCTCCCTGCAATGTCGGCTTCACGTGTTTGTGATGCTTAGGGGCCAGTTCGCACGAGCACCGTGGAGTAGCTTCGACTGAAATCGAAAAACAAGCGCCTGAGCATCTCGTACACGTGGTCTCCGAAGCTGTCCTCGGCTTGCACTGCTCTGAGGAGCTCCACTGCTGGCAGCAGGCAAACCAAGAGCTTAGCGACTTTAGTGATTCGAGCAGGAGATGTCATTGAGCCGTCAAGCCATGCATATTGTACCTTGAGGAACAACTGAGCCTGCGTCGCTGATTCTGTCCAGGGAAGCACTTTTCTCATGAGTTGTGCAAGCAACGATCTTGCGCAGCTCTTCTTTTAGCCTTTCCTCCTCGATGCCTGCCACAGAAACAGGACACGAATGATATACGTCGTAAGCATCCCTCCTCTGTCTGGTGCTAAGTAGGCAATGGTGGAATAGATCCTTATAGTAGTCCCCCCAAGAGTAGTCCCAATAACCCATTCCCCCATGCCCTACTGAGCTCCGGCGGAGTCTTCGAGCCATTTTAAACTAAATCCCTATAATAATGGTAACTGAAAGTAAATCCCTATTATAGTAACTTAAAATTATGGTAACTTAAACTAAAGCCCTTAACAAGAACCCAGTTTTGGCTGAGCCTGAGCTTTCCGGGCTCCGAAGTGCCGCCAGGGCCAGGGAGTCCGACACCAGCCGTAGGCCGAGCTGCGCGACCCGCGTCGGGAGCTTGAAGGTCTGCAGTGGAGAGCACCAAGAAACATGATGTGTCAAAATATTCATATAGTAGTAGGTTATAGTAATACTATTATATAACTCTAGTAGCAACAAAACAACATAGCAGTAAATGTCCGTAACAAAGATGAAATATAATCATAGTAAACATGACCATTAGAGTACGGATAGCACTCCTCACTATTGTTATATAACAGCACGAGCGCTGTGACTGTGTGCTCCACGCAGACGCCTCCTCGGTCGCTCGCTTGTAAACCTTGGAGAGGTTTCCCAGGCACATGTTGGCAAACATCATCGTCACCGCCTGCGGCACCTTCAGCAACACCTCAGTTAGGACCAGCCATCCGAAGAGAATCCCCTCACAAACATCGCTTGGAAATTCGAAGAGCGTCTTGCGGCCCCAGGAACAAACAGAGAAACGAGGTTCAACAAGATGGCAGACAAAGATGGCATCCTGTGGTGACTGCTTCCTCTGCCGGTGTCGATGCGAAATCTCGACCTGGAAAGGACAACGTCGTTGATGCCATCCATATCTTGGCCAGCTGCGAAGGGCTGCAGCTCTTCAATCGTCATGATGCATAGGGGAGTGTCGGGGGTCGGGGCGACATAGGTGAAATTCTCCCAGTTGAGCGTGGAGGAGAGATCATAACCTCGGTTGCTCTGGTCTTGGTAGAATTATCCTTGCCCCTTCTTCCAGGAACCCTGCTGTAGCCCAGGCACCATCATTGTAGCAGTTGACTTCCGCATAGAACTCTCCTCCCTGCATGATGGTCTGGACATTCCACTCGCGCCCAGCGAGCACCAACTGACGAAAGCTGCATGGTGCCAACATGTCGCATGTCAATAACATCGTGCAGTCAGCGAACCGCGGCATGAATCGCACTGCTTCTCTACCGGCCATGGGGACTCGTGACAATGGTGCAAGCAAGGCACAATTTCAGCTGGAGTGAGGTAGACCTGCTCGTGCATTCAAGGATGCAAGGATGCATGCACTGCAGCATTGAATGCCCGTTCTGTAGCTCATTTTTGCCCGGTTCACAATGATACTTGATGGCATTTCGGCAGCAGTGGACGTGGACCTACTATAAGCACTAAACTTGAAGCCTATTCACGTGCTGGAAAGACCTGCTTCGCGCTCTGAAAGGAGGGCTGGGGCCCCGCGGATTAGTATTCTGGCCGCAGATTCATGCGCTGTTTGCGCGGCGGATTCACACATGACGGTTAGAGCACTGGCAGAGAGCATTACTGCACTGGAGATTCGCACACCGAAAGCGCCGGATTCGGATACAACGGATTCGCGCACTGACCGCTCATCTTCGCGAGCCGGAACGATTCTTGCATGCTCCTGAACAGTGGATTCACACAGGGCGTTAGTGTGCTGTACCCTCCCTGCCAGGCCCTACACCACGCAAAGCAGCAGGAGTAAGCTATATCGTAATTCCTGCACCCACCCCCGAAACCGTAAGCTAGGGTTTCATGTGGAAGCATTTGGAGCAAGCATCCCCAAAACCCAACGGATGAAAATGGGTGGCAAGGACAAAACCACGAAAGGGGGAGTACCCAAAACGAAGGATGCCTGGAATAACTGAGTCAAAACCCAGAATCCTAAAAGGCGTGAGTGGCTGCGAACAACCCGTAGAATGGGCGGCAAGCAGAAGGAGCAGACGGAGTGTCCGAAAAACGAAACCAAACCTGTAAGCAACTACTCTGGCCTCATTTTCTGGGTCTCGCCTGGTCTACTTCCCCCTAAACAAACCCCGATCAGCCCAACAACACCTACACAACAGTACAAACAAACAAACCCCATGAACCCATGATTACCTACATAACCCCATACGATCTATTGAGACCCTTGTGGAAGCTTGCAAGACCCGATGAATCTTAGGGTGTGTGGCTTGCCGATTTCGGGGTTTAGGAGCAAGAGTGGATACCGGGATATCGCCTCTCACGCAGCAACGAGCGAGTGTTTGGGGTTTCCGGGTATTTCAGCGATTGGTGGTATAGGGTTTCAAGGCTTCAGCTTTCGGGTCTTGGGCTTTAGTGTCGCTGGCATGTTTGATGTCTCAACAGTTGGCTTGGCAGGTTCAAACCACTAACCCCGAACCAAAATGTCTCGAGCAATGATTGGCCGCCATGACGGAAACTCAGGAAACACGAGCTGCGAACGGCCGAGTCACGAACCAGGACGGGCTGGAGTCGGAAACGTGACGGGGTGGGGGGATAGGTAAAGGTTGCTTAGGGTGTTATAAGGGTTCGAGGTTTTTTCTGAGGCTATAGGGTGTTGGGGTGTACAGCTCGGGAGTGGTTTGGCTTCAACAAACCACTCGTGGCATGTCGATCTTCTCCGGGAAAGCTGTTTCTCGGTGTTTTTGGCACTTCATGCGCGGCCGACGAAACGGATGAGGCTTTTTACAAGCCAGCTATTGATCCTATTGCAAAGTCCTTACTCCCACGCCTCTTCTGGTAAGGTGTCAACAGAGCCAGCTGTGTCTCTACGGCAACAGATCGAGTATCGAACATCCCATGCACGACATTGCACGCTGCATGGCATGCCGGCCGCCATGGTTGCCAGTCATAGACTGAGAGGATAGATCGAGATTGGTTGACAAATATTTTGGTTGAACATCTACATTTTCTATGGCCAATGTCGACATGTGGAATTGCCTTCTCCTGCGGATGGAAGAAGTGCTTCACCTCCTCCTTTCCGTTGATCATGGCCTCGCACCGAAGACTCAACGCTGTCGCTCCCCAACAACTCGACGCGAAATCGGCGCGAGGAAAGTTATGAGCAAGGACCGGCAACGACAAAGCATCCCTCAGCCGAGAGACTGTGTAGGCGTCCTGGTGGCCCTTGCGGCCGTTAGCGGACTCATAGAGCCCAAAGAAGAACCTGAAATGAACTCTGAGAGCGTGGGATTCAGATCTGCATCCTGGCTGGGTGACTTTTCCTCATGCCAAGCTACGGTGCCGCTTGCGTCATTTGAAAGATGTAGGTGAACTCCACCTTTGCATATCTGATGAGGGGATGCATCAATATCCACATCGGCTGTGGTCTGCCCGAGATTAGGCCTTGGATGCAAAAGGCCGAGAGGCTCGAGACACTGCTTCGGTGCCGAGCCCCGCGCCTCGCCCTGTGGCAGTGAAGGGTGTAATGGTGAGCGTGCGACTTCCTTTCGCATGAAGCGTCCAGTCCGAGTCATGCCGAGCTTGCAGCAAGCGCCCTGGGGCCCTGCCTGACTGCTGAAAGGCGCTCGGTGGCAGGAAGCAGCTGGGATCAAGAGCTGCGCCCAGCGCACAAAGCCGGCTGCCTAGCGACAGAAGCGCCCGAAGCATGATCCAAGAGCCCAAAGAATCCTAATCAATTCAAGCGGCAAGCCAGCATTATTTCTACTTGCATCTGCGACATGATGTCCTCATTCGTCAGCTCCTTAGCGGAAGCTTGGAGAAAGCGCTGGAATGTCGAAAAGCACATCGCCTTCGGAAGTTGAGCATGAAAGGGACAGACTGAAGAGACAAGGTTCCAAGCAGAGGCCCTGATAATACAGGGAAGAGTTGTGGCACCAGTACGGGCCACCGGTCATGTTCCGACACCAGAACGCGATTGAGGGTTCGGGATCGAGGCGCGGATCCACTCCATCATATGGCCTAGCTTGTGCAGGGCAGATTTCCGGCATGCAGACATCTCCTAGTTAGTCACTAGATGTCACTAGACATCAACAGTTCACTCCGTCAGGAAAGCACAAATTCACACCCGCATCCGGCTAGGGCTGCAGCGACGCGTCGAGGGCGTTAACGTGGAGCATCAAGAAGGGTGCATTTCCGATGACTTCCGTGTACTGCTTTTGATACTCGAAAATGAATATTGCCTCAGCTGGAGATTGGTTGAGCGGGACTTCTCGAGAGAGCACTGCTACAAGAAATGACGCTTCCCGCCCTCATTCAAACCACATGTGCAAGAGGGCGGCATAACCAAGAATGGGAAGGTGAAGGAAGTAGTAGAGGGCATTTAGCTTCCAGTGCTCGAAGACGACTTTCTTCTGAGCCTTGGATGAGGTGAATGCCGTCCGTGTCTCGTCATCCTCACTGTAGCCGTGTTTCAGGACAGTGCTGACCAAGACACATAGACTTTTGGGAGCAGGCTGCTCAGGGCCATGGCTCAAGTCAGGCTTCTTTTTGGCGCATGATACTGGCACAGAGCGTGTGAGCGAGTGACCATGTCCAACAGACGGGGATCACAGAATCTCCTCCAACCTCGAAGTTACTTGGACCTAGGACCTAGTGTCATCGGCTTGGCGTCTGCAGAGCAGGACGAAGTCATTGTTGCCACACGGCAGCATCATGCCACGACTGTTCACAGCCGGAACTGTTTAGGAGAAAAAGAAGGCGAGGTCCTGGCGACAAGCACGGAAGGCCTCTCAAGGTCCAGGAGCCGTTCGGAGGCGGCGGCCTCTGATGCTGTCCGAGACAGAACCGACGGGACCCACTATCCGTGTAGCTTCAGCTGAGATGCCGAGGGCATCTGCTCGTGAAGCGCTACGATGTCATAGTCTGCCGAGTGCTCCCCAAGCTGCTCTGCCACCTGGCGCTGGGCGCGAGACCAGACAAGCCAGCGACCGACGCGTTCGGGTCCGTCCTTCTCAACTGTAGCCTCGTTGTTGCAGAAAACAAGGGCCACACAGCCACCTTTCTGCACCCGACAGGACAAGCATATCGGCATCTTTTCCTCAGAGTGCCTTCAGCCCCTTTCCTGCCTTGCAGCTTCAGAAGCCCGAGAGCCTCGCGGAGCGCGTCCGGCCTCAGTCGATTGCTTTAGGCTCAGTCGGCTTCCATGACGTCCCGATATGGAGCTCTAACCGGAGACCCGGAGGAGCCCCGCAAGCACCTACCAGTAGTTTCATGAGCAGTGCCACGGCTCCGAAAAAGAAACGTTGCATGTCGTGGCTCAAAGCACAGTCAAGGTCCTTAGGAATGTCTTGGCGTGGATAGCTTGCATGCCCACAAGTCACCATGTCAACAGAAAGGCTTCGGAGATGTGGCACAAAGTTTCACAACACAGTCCAGTCTGAAGGGCAACAAGATCTAGAAGTATTGAGAACTGCCGCAGAACCCGTGTAGTCAAACTAACGGCAAAAGAAGCAACCTAAAACAACCAAAGTCGTGACCTAAGCAGCCTAAGCATGCAGAGTTCATATTACCACGTATACCGGAGCTTTCAGGAATGGGCAGCCAGATCACACAGCACGGAGCGTTTTCCATCCCATGCAACCACCAGCTCACAAATCACAACTGCATCGGACGTGAACGGGAGGTTTCGGGCTGAGGAGCATCTCTTTGGCCGAGGAAAATGCACGCAAGACGCAACCTTGCGGCAACTGTACAGCCGGCCTGGAGGCCTGGAGCCTCAGCCTTCTTGAAGATGTGTCTCTTTCCCACAGTGCGGCTCAGTACACTTGAAGTGCGCATACTGCTTGGAGAGTCGCCTTGGCCAAGCCCAAGGCTTCCTTGCCATGAGCTGTAGCATCCCCACGTAGGCCGCGGACGCAGCCCGGCCGCTTCCAGCTCGCCCTGTGTTGACAAAGGCCTTGCCTCCGCACCTGAGTCCGCTGCGGGTTTAATGTGACGATCAGTGGCATTGCCACAATGCCTTGCAAGTACAAGACGGGCTGCAGTTTGCGCAACTGCCGACGTCATCTGTTCCCGCACTCTTTCATGCTTGGGCCGCGACTCGGGGCACCGGGCCATCTGACCACCTCAGCTGAAGCGAAGAAGTGCTCAGACTCAGGCACACGCCACACGGACCTTTCCGGAGTATGGCTCTTCTCGGCCGTAAGTCTCTGTGCAGCCGAGGGGCTGGGCATCTTGGCCTCTTGCATGGACTCAAGAGCCCAACGCTGACGCTTCGCCTGGAGGTCCGAGCACGCCCACTCGCGAGGGTCCTGCGGTGTGGCACAAACGTTGCCGTTGCCCGCACTGTAGCGGTGCCGTAGTGCTCCAAACGTTCCCGCTCCTGCCGGGCGATGGCCAGGGCCCCCGATGAGCCAGCAGCCAGGATGTCCTTGCGCAGCGCCTCCCGCATCGCAAGGCCCCCCACACATGCGCCGCGGATCCTAAGCTCAGCTCCTATCCCTTGAGATCGGGCCTCGTTGCTCTTCAGGGCAGCAGAGAGTGCTAGCAAGCGCCTGCGGGCGCCGCCGCCGTGAAGTGTAAAGAAGGCCTGCCGGTGAATACCGCACAGCAAGGGGTCGCTTGTCTGCAACAGCAGCACTTCCCCTCCCAGCTCGCAGCAGTATCGTCCCGTCGTTTCTGCTTCTGTTGCATTTCCAACTCACGGAAGGCCAAGGGCTTTGCCCCCGACGTCCACTGCTGCCAGGCGCTTGCCGATGCCTCATCCAGCGGCTGCAGGGCCTGTAAGGCTGCGCGGAGATCTGGCGCAAGCGGGAGTGCCACCTGCAGAGCCTCACTCTTCTCACCCAAGCCAAGCACGGCAATCCGATATCGGAAGAGGAACTGGCGGCAGGACATGTCCGGTGTGCCAGCGCTAGGGGATGCATGGCATCCATACCTGTGATCACCTACAACAGGATAGCCCTGATGCGACAGATGCACTCGGATCTGGTGCTTGCGCCCCGTAACAATGGATGCGGCCACGAGCGTGTACACTTCACCCCCGTGTCCACGGAGCCAAGCACAGGGCAGGATGTGAGTCTCTGCGGGTAAGCCATCAGCGGAGACGATGCTGCCGGAAAGCGGTATTCCACGGATGCCTTGGCGAAGAATGCTCAGGCCCCATGGCATTTGACCATGGCAAAGCATGATGTACTCACGTTCCAGGGCCAAGGTCTCCTGCAGGGACAGATGTGAGCACCGACTTCTCTGTAAGACCTGGAACTTTCCGCTATCTTCGTCTAACCACGCCCGCCGCCCAGGCATGCCCGATGCCCTGTAAGTCCTGCTGCATCCGGAGTGCGTAGTAGGCCTGGTATGTTGCAGCAGCCAGCACGACGCCTTCAGACGGCAGATCCAAGCGTCCCAGAAAGCCAAACCCGCATGCTAGGTCCCGCAGCACGGGGTGATGGGAGAGTTCGCGAAGAAACGAAGACAGCTGAGGGTGAGACCCTGGTCGTTGCGTGGCATCCCTACCTCCATCAACTTCCCACCCAGCTGGTTTGTGAAGAAACAAGATGCCACCGTGCTTCAGAAGAATTCTGGGCTTTTGCTCTCCATCTCCATCCGGTGACGAAACAGCTGTGCTGAGGGTTCCGTCAGACGAAGACCCCAAGTCCCAGCGTCGTCCCACTCCCACAGCCAAGCTGGAAGCCATTGCCAGCAAAGGCTCTGCAAAAACCTTTGCGAAGGAGAAAGCCCATGCCAGCTGGAGCAAAGGATCCAAGAGCTCCCTGTGCACATCTGCCTTGGCCCAATCCAAGCTGTCGAGTTGCTGCAGATGAAACCGAACTTCGCTGTTTGCAGCGGGCATGACGGTGTCTTCCAGGAAGCTCACGCTGAAAGTGAGGGTTGTCCACGACCAGGCGACCGAAGCCAAAGCTCGCAGATTCATGCCTTTACAGCCTCTGCTAATTTCAGGGAACTGTTCCGACCACCCAGGACACACGAAACGAGCAGCCGCCATGGACCACGATACAGCTGCGAGTTCGGTCGCCGAGAACTTACGCAGACCGAGAAGAGCAGCGCCGAGGTCGGTCCATAGCCCTTGTGCCATCTGCTGCGAGTACACGACTGTTGCGAAAGCCCAGCAAGTGTGAGCAAGCTCCTGAGACGAAAAGCTCTCTGTGCGTAGGGCAGTCGACGTTGCTGCTGCAAATCTGGTCCTCGGTGTGAGAGTGCGGGGTGAAAGGGGCAGTGAAGCGGGGACGTCGTGCATTTTAGCACCGGGTTATGTGGGTGCGTCTCGGGAGCTTTGTGCAGCCTAGCCACCAGAATGGCCCCGTTTCTGCGAGGGTCGCGAAGGCCCAAGCAGATGCAGCCAGGGACTTCGGGTGAAGCTGACGCAGCGCATGCTCCGACACGACGGAGACTACGGAAAGCCTTTCCTTGCGCTCGACTGCCACCTTGGGCGCTGTCACGGCCAGCGCCCAGAGCACCGCCGCCGCCTCCTCGGCTCGCAGCTCAGGAGCACGGGCTTTCGCCACCTGCGCCGCCGTTCGTTGCATGGCCCAACCGCCGGAAAGCCGCGCCGTCGCCCAGACCACATTGGCAGCCGCTTGGGTGGAGCAAGTGGAAAGCTTGGAGAGAATGGGCGCATCGGCCTCAGCCTCAGCCAGCAGCTGGAGCAGTGGCTCTTGGTCCTCGCGTAGCGACGCACAAGCCCAGAGTGTGTTGGACACTCCCTGGGCTGACATCTGAGACATGGCGGCCAGGGCATGGCCAACGATGACTCTCACGTGGCTCTGCACCTTTAGCGAAGCGAAGGACCACATCGTCATTGAGAGACCCTGTGCATCCATATCTGAGGCCCTGCTCGCCACAAGGCTTAGCAAGTCCCCTCTTGCACAGCCCAAGTCTGAGCTTAGGTCCCGCAGTTTTCCCAGCGACCAAGCCACCAAGGACAGCTGTCGAGGAGTCATGGCTGCCAGAACATCCGGGTCCCTGAGGTCCTTCAGCTCGCACGGCTTGGAGTCGTCTCGCTTTGCACGCTGGTGCAGCCTCGTCACCGCAAGGGTCGCCCTGCTAGCTTCCCTGTTCGACCGGAGCGATGCTTCCACTGGCCGCCGTAGCCGGGCCGGCATCACGAATCTGTATCAGCCGCTCGATCACTAGCATTTCACCGGCCCAGGTCAGCGTTCTCCCTGAGATCGCCCCACTCCTACAGAAGATATCGGCCTCCATCGTCATTCCACCAAGCGCAGGCGCTGCGACATGTCTCCGTGTGGCGTTCGTTCCATGCTGGCAGTTCCGTTGCTCTTGCCGGGACTTTTTCTCAAGATCTGAGATCTACTTTGATGAGCACTGTCGTGGATCACTCCTCTATCTCGTTTTGTCTGCAGATTTGTACCAGAATGAGTGACGGGAGGTCAGCACAACATGCTCTGAAGTCGGCACTCTCAAAACATCAGAGGGATGGTCAACCTGTGAAGTCAAGGCCTTCAAAGTTCTGTCTTGCCGCTCGAAATCCACCCAAAGGTAAAGCTGAAATGTCCCACCCTTTCAACAACTTGGGTGTCCGGTCGTGTTCAGTCCACGGCTCCTGGCCATGTTTGGATCAACACCGGACCGGATCACTTCTCGGGGGCCTTTCCCAAAACCTGACGACAGAGCCAAGCGGCCTTGGCAAGGGTCAGGGCAACGTCTTCGGCACCTTCCGCTTGGAGGAGGCCGGTTAACAGCTGTGCAGCCTGGCACAGCAGTCAGCTCGCAGAAACTCCTAGCCGCCCGAGCCCCAGCCCTGGCATCCCCTCCGGCAATTTTGCCGCCTTTTCGATGAGGGCGGGGTCTTCCAATCCTGCAGGAGATCCAGGGGTCGAGCTTCCGATCAGGCACTGCAATCAAGCTGGTCTAAGCACTGCATTGCGTCCTGGACCGTTTTCTTCGGCACTGCCCGGCTTGGCTTCCGGATTGCGCAGTTTTCGCAGGCGCCGGAGCAGGTCTGGCCCCGGCAAGACAGCCACGGCCTCCTGCGCAAAGTCGCCCCCAAAACCCATGGTGCGGAATCAAAGCCGCGCTCCTCGGGTCTGGGGCGCGGCCCTGGCCCGAACCTGGCTCTGGCGAAGCATGTGGAAAAGGCTTGACTGTTTTTCCGAAGGGCCGGCGTCTGCCGGTGCCTTCGCCTCACTTCGCTGGCGTCCGCAGGGCGAAGGATGGCCCAAGGAAGCGGGACGCTCGTGCCTGGCCCTGGCAGCAGCAGTCCTGTCAGAACAGCTATGGCTACCGAGGAGCAACCTGCGCGTTTCTTGCATTAGTACTCTCCTTGATGAACGATCTTATTGCCGATGCGCTCGGCCTTCCACCTGATCTGTCGCAGGAGGTCCTGTCAAAAGCTCTCCCTGGAACGTTGGCACGGTTGGTATAGCGCACGAGAGGCTCTCTGCCATGACGGCTGCTCACCAAAACGGCTACCGCGGGGAACAGGAGCATAGGGCATCCGACCGAGCTCCTCCTCCTGCTTCTGTGTCCCATCGCGCTCACGTTTCGAGCGCCTGGGCGGCTCCTGAGAGGCTCTCTGAGGTTCCACAGAAAAGACGAAGTATACTTGGAGGTTCATGGGTAGTTATAAGTAGGGTTATACATAGGGTAACTATACTTATAACCTATATTAGGGGACTTATAACCCCACTTATAACTACCCCCGAACTTCCAAGTAGAGACCTTCACTCCACAGCTCCTCCTGGACGTCCACGGACGGCGGCACTAACGCTGGCTGCTCGGCTGGCGCCTCGAGACAGCATGTCAATGTGGGCACGCAGTTGTCTGCTGGGGGATGCACCGGCCTCTTTGGCGGCATCAGCCTGATGCTCATGCTGGTCCAGCTCTAGTGCCGGCAATGTCTGGCCTCGGCTGCTCAGACACAAGGAAAGACAAGAAAACGACTACACAGCGGCAGTGCTCCCCTGGGCGATCCTGTCTTTAGCCCCTGGCCTGCGCCGAGCACTTTAGCAAACATCCCATTGCCCAATCTTGAACATGGCACGCTCCAGGCAGACAAAGCAGGCTGATGATGTAAGCTTGACTTAGGCCCTAGGCGCACGGAGACTTTAACTGTGGGAGGCAAAGCCACACTGTGAAAAACCCACCATCTGCGCATACGACTCGCATGCCGAACCTAAATAGGTTGGCGTGAAAGTCCTATGCTTGGGCTTGGGTAGATTGCATCGCTTGCATGTTCCCTCCTTCGGCCCTCAAACACAGGTGGTTCCCTACACGTAACACTAACTCCTATAATCTGGTCTCTGAGGCTCCGGAAACGACTTGAGCCGAGCAAAAGGCCACGTCGCAGGAAGCTCAGACAAACCCAAATTCAAAACAATCGAAAGCCGACTTCATCGCCGATCCTGCGATCCCGGCTTGGCAAGCGGGTGAAGAACCTGCACCGACAAGATCTCTCACAAGGCCAACCTGCTTAGCTTCTGGCCTTGAAGTGCTGCCTCACGAACCTGGACTCCAGGCAGTGACCTTGACTCCCATGTGGTCAGTGCCAAGCTCGCTGTCCTACTGTGCATAGCTAGCGGCTGACGGCTACATGTGGATCTCGATAGCCCTCCCGGGCTGCCCGCTCTCAGCATTCTGCAAGCACTCGAAGGCCGCATGTATGATGACCGTGTCGGCTCGCAGGTGCCTGCCACGTGATAGCATCGCTGCGCAGGGCTCAATGCAGCCCACAGCAGCACACCCCAGTTAGTTGAAGATAACAAGGCGACTCGGACGCGGCACTCATTGACACGTTGATGCAAAATGGCATGTACAATCACTTCTTGCAAAATGCTGCCGTCGTGGGTTTGGTCGACCGCCTCCCTGCCATCTGGTCAGCACGTGCCGGCCAGGTCACGGAGAAGAACGCGAGCCTAGGTCGAGAAAGGAGGTTGAGCCGCGTGCGCAGATGCCGTAGGTAAGGCCAGCGGATTCACAGAACAATGCTAGGTCGCGTGCTGTCTGCGCTTAGGCAGCAACTCCAGGATCGTTCTTGCCTGCCGACATGTCTGCACGCGGAAGCACGCCAGCGCTTTTTGTCACGGCCTGTGCACCGTCGTCGTCCCCATCCTGATCGACTAATGTTTGGCTTATTGGCCACGCGAGCCCCAACAAGCAGCAGGAGCGATCCTTCACAATGGCGTCCGCATCGTCAAACACAATCAATACATCCTCTCAGAGTGACAGCAGTTTCTCTTGCGGAGCACCGCTCTTGGAGCTCCCGGCATTTTCATTCCGTAGCATGGGGCAGTCAGCGGCCGAAAATCGCATTCGTTCGTGGCTTCTGTCGAGCTAAGATTCCTTCTCGAAAAAATACGGCGTGGCTTCTGCGTCGTACCCTCCCCGCTTGATGATCTCGACCCAGTAGCCATCGGGATCACGGGCAAAGGCCAGGCCTTCGTCAGGGCTGTGAGGGCTGACAGAGCCATCGACCTGTGACGCGTGCAGCCGCTCAGCCCCGGCCTTTCATGGATCCACCATCTGGGGCCTTCTGCATCGCGTAGCCCGCGGCTTCCAGCTCCTTGCAGGTCTCATACACCTGCCGTCCGAAGCGCAACAGCCGCACAAGGCTCACAAATGGCAAAAAGAAAGACCCCAGAAGCAAGGCGAAAGTTCTACTAATTGCCCGGGCCACGTCGTCGACCAAGAATCCGACATGTCCGAATCCCTTTCTGTCCGCTTCATTCCCACTGAGGTACGAGAATTCGGCCTCATCTTCCGTGCCGTGGTTGTGCGTTAATTCCAGCACTGGCCTGCCTTCCGGAAACTCATTGGCGCCCTCAGGCACGGTTCCCAGATAGTATAAGGAAAAGTCATCGTAGTCCTGATGCGCCAGCAGCGTCATCCCCATGTGCTTGGTGTAGAAGTCCAGGGATTTCTTGGGGTCCTCCAGCCCAGGAGACGTTCATGCGGGCATCTGATGCCAGAATCTGCTAGCTGCTAGAAGCTACAGCTGTTGGGAATGAGGAGGCTTCAACTCATCGAATCTCATCGATAAGCTGATCCCGTCCTTGACACGCAGCATTGTCTGGGCGAGGGTGTGGCGTCCAGGAGCTCCACCCCTCAGCAGCTCGACCCAGTAGCCATCTGGATCCAACGCAAAGGCCAATCCCTTCATTCTCCCTTCGTCGGGCTTCTTCCTTGGAGGTTTGAGGTCACTGACAGTTCCACCACCTGTGAAAGCATGCCAACTTTTGAACAATGTAGAGCTATTGCACTCCGAGGGCTGGAATTTCACTCCTGTTTTCTCCAGGGCTGCGCTCGTCTCGTAGACATCGTTCACAGAGAAGGCCACGTGGCCGAAGCCGTCACGCCTCTGCCATTTTTCCACCCACCCGTGCACCCTTCGCATGCTGCTGACATGAAATCCTCCTCGCTTCGCTGCCTGGCCTGTCCCCCTCCCTGGGCTGGTTGCCAGGATGGTAGATGGGGCCCTCCTCCGCTTCTGTGCCATAGTTGTGCGTAAGCTCCTCAAGTTACCATGCCGCTATGCCTACTTCTCCTTCTCCTGCCCTCTAAGCACAGTCACTGGCAGGTCGCAGCGCTGTAATAAGGGCAAGGCTCCAAGGTGGTACCCGGATATGTCCAGAGATACTGATGTGCCTCTACGGAGCCCGGCTCCGGCGTCTTCTCACCCTCCGGGACTGAGGCTAAGAAGTAGAGGGAGAAACCCATACTTTCGAAATCGAGCTTGTCCAGAAGCCTGGACGAAACCGCTTGAAGCACCAGCATTCATGACATGCCTCTTACCCTCCTTTTATTGACTTGAGGCAAGAAGCCGCATTCCCATCTTGTTCTTATAGAAGTCGAGCGACTTCTCCGGATCCTTCCATGGGCACAACTAGATCTCAGGCTGCAGAGATCAGAAGGGCCCTGAAGTCAAACATGCACCCGCAAAAGAGCTAGGGGCGGCCAGGAGTCTTTGATGCGAAGCATGCTCTGCTGCCAGGACGGTTTGGCAGAGCATGCTGTCCGAACCTTGCGTGCAACAACTCCAGCCACGGCGCATCCGACCTGATTCTGTCACGGGCTGTAGCTGCTGCATCTGGGATTCAGAAACATTCGGGCACCAGCCGAGCGACAACTGTGCTCCATGTCGAGGACGATGGACCCGGAAGGCCCGAAGCTCGAACTGGTGGCGCTCTCTTCGTGGGCAGCGCTGCCCACGTCAAGCGGGGTGCGGCAAAAGCAGTGGCGAGCATCCTAGCTAGGAAACTTACTAGACAACTGTCGCTGCAAGGAAACCCGATAACCCGAGTCAAGAGAAAAGCACGAGGATGCTGGAACTCTCCAAACCATACAAGGCATGTACTATGGAAGGCTTCACGGACCATGAGCCCATAGCGGGTATGAACCTCGTCAAAGGCACTTGCGGGCCAAACGGCTGCGGAAGACAGCAAGTCCCACACCTGCAACGAACAGCACGGCTATGCCAAAAGCTTCCGCGCGGTCCTGCTTCAAAACCTCCAGGTCCTCATCTTTGCCGAGCACCCACGACTGGTACTCAAGCTGCCAGGGTGTAAGCACCAGCACGCCCGCCTCGGCCAACAGACACGGAAGACATGGGCGGAGTTTTTGTGGCGTTGTGGTGCTCCCTGCCAAGACTCAGCCAAGGCGCTCTTGACGCCTCCTTTTGCTGTGCTTTGTCCTCCTCGCCTTGTGAGCTAGGATCCTCCATGCCTGCCCCGGAAAAGGCACAAGTCTCAGGTCCCACACCGCCACGAAGCTTCTGCACAGGGCCTCCAGCAACGAGAACGCGGCCGACGGCAGCAAAAGGAGCGATGAAGGAACGTACCTTGCACCCAGCGGTGTCAAAGCTATCGATCTGATGCTCCCGTGTCCCTGTCCCTGCCTGGGCAGCCACTTCTTTGCTCGGCACAAGCACCACCCCATCGGGTGGCCGCTGGCGCCACTCATCCCATGGCAGCTCGTCTAGGCAGTGGAAGAGCTCGTGGGTCGCGCCTCCAAGCACCGCGGGCGCAGCAGGCGCAGGCGCAGAGCAGACAAGCAGACGAGCAGACGGACCCCACCCCGAACCAACAGGCCCCTTCGAGTCTATGGCCTCGCAATGCTGCAGCACGGATCAACAGCGGCACCGCATAGGCCAGAGTCTTGCCACAGCCATGCTCCGCTGTCACGACGACATCTCGATTTGTCCTTCACTGCCCGTGGTGGAAGCACTAAGTCCGCTGTAATAGGACGCGAAAGGGATTCTGCCGTCTGCCGTCCTTAGCAAAGGCCATGTCGTTGCCTGCAAAGGTGTGGGCGTCGCTTGCTGCCGCCGGAGGATCTGTTCCATCCAGGTCGGCAAGCAGGATTCCAAGAAAGACCAGGTCGGTCTCGGGAGTTGACTGCCTCCATCCTGCGCTAAGCCATGTTCAAACAGAGATTTGTGCTCATGAAGCTCCGCGCTCCTCCAAAACTACCACGCCGCGGCGAAGCCGCCACCTCTCCTGGAGTCTCTCATTTCTTGCAGCCCTTCCTCCCAAGCCAGATCTGCAAAACGCATCCTGCTCGTCCGCATCATGGTCGAACTGTAATGCCGGATGCTCCACGTAGCCCTCGAAGTGACCCGCCGCGCTGTTCCTATCAGACGCTGCACTTCGGCGGATTCTTTAGCCCAGGCTTCAGCTTGCATCGCCTCGACTCTCCAGACCGGACAGGGCCCAAGCGCGAGGCCACGTGAAGTCCCTCTTGGGGCTCTGCTTCCGGTTCCGAGGCCAGGCACGGAGAATGACCTGCGCAGTTGTTCGAATCAGGCGCATGAGCGTAGCAAAGTGGTGCGCCTCCATTGCCGTCCAAGGCTTGCATGGATGCTTCAACAGAAGCGCTTGGCACCAAGCTGTTGCATACAATTTGTAGCTGGATCTATTCAATATGTCAGACCCGAGGTTTTCTTCAATAGCAACCCTCAAACAAAAACATCAGCTTCAGCCACAGCAGCAGAGCAACATCAATGGAGAAGAGCCATGCGCGGGATATGCACCCAGCAATGCCGCAAGCAGAAGCACGACCAAATGTCTTCAGGCAGACGCCATCGAGTCTGAGCGGTCAGGGCGTGCAGAGAGCGAATTCCTTCGGAAAACTTGCTAAGGGCAGAGGCTACGCTTCAGGATCCGGCGTCCGTGTGGCTTCTAGAGGCCGGATGAAGGGAGCCAAAGCGCTTATCCTCGGAACTGGCTCCAGAGGAAGGCCAGGCACCGGAAGCAAGACTGAATCGCCTTCAGCCACATCACTGTCGTTTCGGGTCTCTGGAATCTCTTCTGACTCCTGCCGCAACCTCCCTGAGAGTGCTCATGCAGACAGTCATGTAGCAGAAAGCATGGGCCGAAATACATCCATCCTACATTTGTTCTCAGCTTCGACACAGCATGAAACGACACACCAGCAGATGCCATAGAGGAGGTCTCTCCGCAGTAACTTGTGAAATAGTTGTATTGACACTGTCTGAACAACCAAGCTGTCACAGCAGGCCAACCTACAGGAATCGATTTAAAAGTTGCACTGCCAGACTCCGGCCACTAAATCTTGTGCCATGTAAGAGAAACCTTCGTCGAAAGAGAAAAGTTCCGTGGCCGAGTCCAACCGAAAATGGGATCTGGTCTGCAGAGGACTCAAATGCCCTGCTGAGTGGCTGAGAAAAGTGGTGCCACAAAGAGTAGGTGGGAATCCTGGAACCATCCAGCATTTGCAGTCTGCTTCCAAGGGGAACGGCATAAAGGACGGAGCTCTCTCGCGTCGCATTCTTCTCCCTACAAAAGGGCTCCGAAAGTCGGTCTGTGCATCGTGGCTTCTTGAACCGAGGCGCTCCTACGCCGGCCCTTTATACATACATACATACATACATACATACGTACATACATACATACATACCTACATACCTACATACCTACATACCTACATACCTACATACCTACATACCTACATATATACATACATACATACATACATACATACATACATACACACACACATACATACATACATACATACATACACACACACTGCGAAAGTACACTAGTCCAGAATGCGCACCAAACTACCCTAAAGTAATTCCGTGCACAAGCTCACACGACTTAGACCAAAGTAACCCTGAAGTTCAGCAGCGCCTTTTCTCGTCGGGCAAAGTGGTCTTGAGCCAACGACGGTTGGCAAAGTCTGGGGGAGAAAGGGAGGTGTTATTTTCACACGCCTCCTCGAGATTAAAGTTAACTACTTTATTCTCGCAAAGTACAATAACACATAAAAGTGTACATGTACATGTGTGAGCTCACGGCCAAAGTTTTGCAAAGCAGCTGCTCGGAGAAAGTTGCAACGAGGTCTCCTATCTACAACCTCAAAAGTTGACTTGTAAAAGTAAGCGTTCGTAGTGCTCGTGGTGCAAAGTGTCGTGACTGCGCACGGCACATCAAAGTGCAGCGTGGCCCAAAAGTGGTTGGCCCATCTAAGTGCAGCAACCAAAGTGGCACCAAGCGTCAAAAGACGCCGATAAGTGTGCTGTTGGCCCAACCTCAAAAGGCGAAAAGTGGCCTTCACAACCTCGCAGGGCGCGTCAAAGTTGACGGCGTAGAGCCAGCGAGGGGCACCCAGCCCTCGGGCATATCCTCACAAAGTTGGTACACCTCTGGGAGGATAGGCAGGTGCATAAGTCGAAAGTGACGACACTGCACACCATATGTACCATCAAAGTAGCGATTGAGATCGCCGACCAAAGTGTACGGTGCCTGGCCAAAGTGTCTCACCACGCAAAAAGTCAGAAAAGTAGGCTGCATTGGGATCTGCAAAGTCGCGACTTTCACCAGAAAGTCCACGTACCTCCTGTTCCAAATCCTGGCCTGTCCACTTCCAAAGTTGACTGCCAACCAATGTTGAGTTGGTCGGAAGCCAAACGTAGCGATTTCTTCATTGGCAGAAAAAGGAAAAGTCACTCCCTGCATCTGAGAAATCGACAGCTGGAAAGTGTAGAAAAGATAAGCCGACCGTGGGCTGAAGGAAATGTTCAGGCAATTCTCCAAAGTACCCACCACATCCTGAAAGTGAACTGTAAAAGTTCCACTCTGGCGGGCAGCGGTCAAGGCTCTATCCAAAACACTCATTGGCAAAGTAAGATATAACATGAAGGGCGACCATGCCGAAGGATCGCCTGGCAAAGTGCTCCCCGGACTCACATGGAATACCCAGAAAAGTTGACTGCGCATCAACATGTAAAGTTCGGGTGCCGTCATGCTTGGCGACACCGGGCTCAACCCAGGGAAAAGTATCGACTTTCCCAGGACAAAGTTGTTGTCAAAAGTTGTCCCAGGGCGAAACAACTGCTCCATCTGGCGGCCACCAAAAAGCATCTCAAGCATGAGCTGCAAAGTGCCCCAAAAGCCAAAGTTCGAAAAGTCAGGGACAAAAGTCCCCTGACCAAAACCATGGCCAGGCCGTGGCCGCTCAATCGATGGCGGCAAAGTGGCAGGCGGCCTCAAAGTCTTTGGCGCCATCACGGCTGCGGGTCACGCCCACGACCGAAAAGTCTTCTCAAAAGTTGGCGGAAAAGTCTCCGAAGGAAACCGCCAAAGTTCACGATCTCAGGGGCCACAAAGATGGCCAAATTAGTAAGGCCCCAAAGTGCCAAAAGGGCCAGAAGTACCACCCAGACAAAGTCCGTGGGGTGGAAAGCTGGCGATGGCAATGGCACACCAGAGTTCTCAAAGTCACTCCGGTCCAAAAGTGGCCTCCTGCTCACAGAGGCGGGTGTGGAGCAAAGTTCACTGCCCCGCTGTCCAAACCCAAAGTCGAACTGGGGATCAGACGCTCTTTGCAACAAAAGTCGCAAAAGTCGAACCTCACCGTCCGTGAGAGGCGGCTCTTGCGCAAAGTTCTGTTGCGCCATTACGCAAAGTCTCATGCACTGAGGCAGAAAGTTGCCAGTGCAACACAAAGTCAGACAGCCATGGCATGCGCAGCGAGCGAAAGACCGAAGTAAAGTGAAAACGGTTGCGGCGAAAAGGCGCAAAGTTAAAACCAAAACCCACGACAAAACCCGAACACCCTGAACGGGAAAGTCAAGTGAGCTTACATATGTACATTAAAAGTGGTGCCGTAGCACCTCAAAACCATCATCGGAAAAGTCATCCACCATCAAGGTTTCACGGTAAAAGTTTCTTCCTTTTCGGAACGGAGAAAACGGAAAACAGAAAGGTCACCTTCAAAGTTGGTTCCGGAAAACTGAAAGTTCCTAAATCGAGCGAAAGTCGAAGACATGTCGAGACTGCACAAGCAAGCAAAAGTACATGTCCGCAAAAGTACATGTCCGCACAAGCATGAAAAGTACATGTCCGCAAGAACGTGATTATCTCAGCTCTCAAAGTCTTCTTCTCTCTCATCTGGGTTCTTCTGGGGAAGATGATGAGTGGCAAAGTCCAACCCGAGATGGGGTGGCTAAACCTCAAACCCGAAAGTAGGAAGATGGCGGTGCAAAGTATCCTTCGCGATATACTTCGTAAGGATATCTGCTGGGTTCAGAGTACCAAGAACTTTCTTAATCCTAACCATACCAGAAGCAACAAGTTCTTGCACATAAAGATATCGTAACTCTACATGCTTCGTCTTGCGGCTGGCGCCGAAACGTGAGGCAATACTTTTGCCAACGTTGCTGTCTGTAAAAACACAAAGGTTAGCCTTCTGAAAGATCTTGCTCTCTTCCACCAAAGACCTCACAAAAAGAGCGTCAGCAGTGCCAGAGCCTATAGCGTAAAGTTCTGCCTCTCCACTCGAGAGGGCCACAGTGGCCTGGGTCCTGCTGTGCGAAAGTATATTCGCCCCGAGCACAAAGAGGGAAACTCCTGAAGTGGAGCGTCTGGTGTCGTGGCATCCTGCCCAATCGCTGTCAACAAAAATGTTGATGTCTATTGCTTTGTGCTGCGGTGAAAGTGAGAGGGTTGGTTGCAGTTTCTGCTCAAAGTGCTTTGTTCCTGCCAGGTACTTCAAAAGATGCTTGACCTTTGTTTCGTGTTCTGTGGTCGGTGCAGAAAGTCCTCGGCTCAACTCCTTGACAGCATACATGATGTCAGGGCGCACGCTGGAAAGCCACAAAAGTTGGCCCACAGCGCGCCGGTAGCGCTTGTGATCCTCAGGGTCCAAAGGTTCACAGTCGAGCTGCTTCCTCAAAGCATCTGTTCCTGGCGCAAGTGCCTGCCGGCACTGTTTCAAACCGTAAAGCTCTAGCATCGTATCAATGTAGGATGGGCTCATTCCTACAGAGATGAAAGTGGAGGTGCGCTTCAGGTTGCGGCCTAGAAACGACGAACTCTGACCTTCATCCAAAGTACCTGTCACCTTAAGCAACAAGTCCTTCTGAAGATCCCGGATCAAAGTCGAAACATCAGCCCGCGAACCGAAAAACATCAAGTCATCCACATACGCCAGAACGTAAAGTTGCTTGCTGTCATGTACATAAAGGTTCGGGTCCGACTTCATGCGTCGAAAGCCGTTCTTCTCCATGACAGATGCAAAGTGCTGCTGCCAAAGCTTAGGGCTGTGCTTAAGTCCGTAAAGGGCTTTCTTGAGCTTCCACAAAGTGCGGCCCTCTGGATAGAATTCCAGAGGAGGAATGACATAAAAGTCACCGTCGACCAGGGCATGAAGAAATGCCGTCGAAATGTCTCCGATCGAGATGTGCCATCCCTTCGCAACAGCCAAAGTCAACAACAGCCGAAGTGTGGTTAAGGACGGGGTCGAGGCGAAAGTCTCATCCTTGTCTTCCACAAGTTGAGTGTAA